AGTGTTTTAGTATCATCCAAAGTCTTTATAACCAATCCGAAGCACGTGTAAAAACTATTAGCGGTTTAACAGAGAGCTTCCCTGTCCAGATCGGTGTCCGTCAAGGCTGCGTATTGAGTCCAACCTTATTCAACCTTTATATCAGTGACCTTGTTAACGACTTGAACATGGCAGACATCAACGCACCGCTATTGCACCACTCAAAAGTAACAAGTTTGCTATATGCCGATGACATTGTCTTGTTGTCCGAAAGTCAACAAGGCCTGCAGAACGCAATAGACACGCTTGGTAGATACTGCCAAAAGTGGAAACTAACTGTCAACCTAAGTAAAACAAAGATTATTGTATTTAATAAGAAAGGACACACCTTTTCAAAACTTAGCTTTAAATTATTCTCCAAAGACATAGAAGTAGTTTCGTCTTATTCTTACTTAGGTATAGTCTTTACAGCTGGATGTAACTTTAACACAGCGATGAAATCACTACAAAAGAAGGCACTACGAGCGTTGTTTAGCATTAAATGTACTCTCGGAGACACTAGGGCTCCTATATCAGTTTACTGTAAGCTTTTTGATCAGTGTGTTGTCCCTATAGTATTGTACGGAGCGGAAGTATGGTGCAACAACAGATTAAATGATAACTCGCCGCTTGAACAAACACACTTAAAATTCTGTAAACAAATTCTAGGATTAAGAAGAAACGCTAGTAACTATGCCAGTAGAGCTGAACTTGGCCGCTTCCCCCTATGGATTGAAGCGTATTGTAGATTGTACAGCTATTATTATAGATTAGTTAGAAATGTTCCCGTTGAAAGCCTTCAGTATGAAGCTTACATAGTACAAAAAGACCTTGTTAGAAGTAAAGTACCCTGTTGGTTGTTGAACATGAAGACAATTTTAGAGGAGTCCGGCTATGCCTGCCTATATACACACGAGTATATTAACAAACCATTACATCTGCATGAACTAAGACAAAGATTAAAAGATATATTCATCCAGAAATTCAACTCAGCACTACAAGCACATGGACAAAGAGAAAATCAAGGCAACAAACTGAGAACATATAAAACATTCAAAGTACTATACGACAGAGAACCATATTTAGACATTCCAAATTTTGAAAACCGCAGAGCCATGTGTAAACTCCGTATTAGCGACCACCCTCTACACATAGAATCTGGCAGGCATAGCCGTACACCGTTACAAGATAGACTATGTAAATTCTGTAATAATTCTTGTATTGAAGATGAATCGCATTTTATGCTTGACTGTATATTATATGATAACGAACGTAAATCACTTTTCAGTTCAATCAAGTTCGACAAAAAATGTAAAACATTATCAAAGGAAGACACCTTTAAATATATCATATCATGTACGAATATAGACGTCATCAATGAAGTATGTAAGTATATTTCAAAATGTTTCAAAAAGAGAGGAGAAGCCATTAGACCTTAGATCTGTATCACTTTATATATGTATATTTCTTTTTTAGCATTGTATACCTTAGACCCGATATTAGCCCTTCTTTATCACTATTGTTGTAGTACTCTCTAGTACATTGTACTCTGTACATCTGTGCATTTATCCCCCCGGGGAATGAACATGCAATAAAGTTTCATTATTATAACTAATAAAGAAAAAAAACAAATAAACAATAAATTCGCTCCAGGAGTGTTCCGGCTTTCTCTTCCCCGTGTATGTATAAAGTTTACGCAAGAGTCGTAAAATTCTTCGCCTGTCAAAATTCGCGCAAAATACTAGTATATACAAGCATATCTGCTTGGAGGGCGCTTTATGCATTTCGATGCCGTCAATGTCTTGGACTAAAATGTATTACTTAGCGACAGCTTTAAAATATGGCCCCATAGAAATGTGGTTTTAGGACGTTGTCTGACCGAAACATGATACTACTATGACAGGAATAGGAGAGGGCACATCGAAGTTCTTCGTCAAAATGCATTGTCGCACGTTGCGTTTGGCTGCGTTTATGTTACACAACTTTTGTGCCTTCTGTTACGCAAGCGTTACGCATCACTGATCTTGACCAAGACTTTCGGACATCGGCAAGAAGTTCGGTAGGTGGACACCCCTGTCTTTGCCTTATATTCGACCTCTAAATCATCTCGTGAAAGAATCCATTTCTTTCGTACAAGTTGTTTCTTTCCTTCAAAGCATTTGGGGTTGGAAATAGGTGGAAATTATCGTGGGAAGCTGCTGTATACTGTGGGCACGTAGATTACTGTACCCATGTCAGCTATTATAAATGCAGAATGCGTTATGTTCCGATGCATGTATACTCTTCGCTCTATCCTCTCACGTTCAACACATACACACAGCTATACTTCCAACTTCCTTGGTAGGACAGACAGCGTACTTGTTCATACGTCTTTTGCTGAACAGATCAAAATAGTCTGAGAAAGCAGGTCATTCGTGTGACCTGGTTCTGAAAATAATGCACGGCTTCATCATGTCCTTTCAACATGTTTTAGGTGGCGGGCGGTGACACTGCACTAGAGATCCCATCCATTACCTTACATGTTGTCGGGTACCTGTAGCCTCTACCAGGCACCGCGGATCGCTGGAAAAATAGTAGAAATTGGCCGAAATAAATTAAAGGGATAGTATACCAGAGAAGATCCAGGGCCATAGAAGCTCCGTGGGTCGCAAATTGGAGCTTCTATGGCCCTGGATCTTCTCTGGTATACTATCCCTTTATTTCGGCCAATTTCTACTATTTTTCCAGCGATCCGCGGTGCCTGGTAGAGGCTGGGTACTTTCGTTAATATGATTATCACGTATATCCGTGGCGCCGCAAATGTACTTCGGTGTAATTTTGTGTCAGCTAAAATTACGCCTTAGTTCGAGGCGCCACCATGGCTATAGTAATTATACCCATGCCCTACTTTTCCAGTTGTCTGTTACCCCTACTGAATATGGAGCGCTACCGTGGCCTATTTGTGATAAATGTTGTAACATCTGTGTCCATAATATCGCCACCTTGAGAAAAAGTGTGCTTAAAGATATTTTTACTGCAACATACCCTAGGTATGTGCATTTGAGGTGTGCAGGAGTGCATACCCAAAGTATGTTGCAGTAAAAATATCTTTAAGCACACTATTTCTCAAGGTGGTGATATTATGGACCCTGGTGATATTATGGACACAGACGTTAGTAGAATGAGTGGAATTAGTTTCATAATTTGACATGCTAGTGGAGCTTTAATATATAACAAATGGCACATCCTCTTTGCTTTGTCAGTGTTGACATTAGCGATCCTTTTAATATAGGCCGTCAAAATCTATCAACATGCATGCTGTAGGATGGACGGGTCATGCCGAAGTAGAATTGTTGGAAGAGAAGGGTGTTCTTTTCCCCCAATTCTCTTGTTATTCTGACACACGGTCCCTCCAAGTTTGCCAGAGAATTTTAGTTACTGACTTGCCTCCCAACATCTGCTTGGAGATCAGGAATGCTGTGGGTACGCATGCGCAGCTGTCTTGTCTTCCCGAGCTACCCGGCGCGAAGGTTGAAGATTTGGATGTTCTCATGTTTTGTGCATTTTCAACGTACATGAACTATATCCTCTTGTTTAGTTTATTCTAGTGTCTTATATACGAAGTTCAGCATCTTTGGAACTAGTTTAGGAACATAAATTATAAGTCGTTAAGCGTTAGTTAAAAATCATGTGATGGATTTTGGATTATGGATAGAGGGAGGGGAGCTGGCATACTCATGAGTGCCATAGATGGGGAGCTATACAAGCCTATAGGGCAACATGAATTACAATCTGGTGTCAGCATTTCAATTGTTAGTTCGCACATAGTAGTAGTAATTAAGTCCTGCGGAGAAAATGTTTGAAGTCCCTAAGTCAAGGCTAGGGTTTATGGAAAAGGATGTCCTGGCTAGCTAGACAGAGTGATGAAGTGAGCATGGGAAAAGAAGTGAAAAGAACATGGATGGATGCATGGAGTATTATAGACCAATATATTATATAGAGACAAATAAGCCAACTGACCTGAGGTCAATATGCACTGATAAGTGACAACTTCATGTACTTGAGACACTAGCCTCTGTACACTTGGAGAAGCCACACAGGCGAAACTGGTTGTGTGACAGGCTGAATTAATTCTAAACGGGAACTATGCGGCTCCAGATGTCTTAGGGACGACTGCGTGTGCAAGATGTCGGTTAGCTTGAGGAATGAATCCCCTGTACTATATATAGAGACAATTAAGCCCATGTTTGACCAGTTGCTATCATCTTCGGAATTCTTCCCAGACCCACAATGTTGACGCTACTTGTCCTGACAACTCTGGCCAGCCTGGCTGTCACCAGTCCTGTTCTCCCCTCCCAAACATGGCCGCCGGCTTTCTGTAACAAACTGGAGTGTCCCAAATACACCATGGTCAAGTCTACTAAGGTAGGTACAGATGTGAAGACCATTTTACAAGTCACAACATCACAAGTCTGACAATTATGTCATTGATACAATGATTGCATGCTCTAAACATGGCAGTGTGGTGCAAACCACAAAATGTCTTTAACATTGTCAACTTTGCCCAACAGGAAGCATTAAAAGTTTAATCACATCTGGGACAGAAGTATTGTTTTGGGTGTCACTACTTCATGCTATGTTTGTGTGTTTGGATTCCAAAGTAAGGAGGTGGACATTGCATTGGAAATTTCTTAATAGACTTATTTTTTTTCCTGGTGGCAGATATATTATATGTGACCGTGTGGAATTATTGTAGAATATATTTTTCCCTTTCCCCTGTTCAGGATTATGAGGAGCGTATTTATGATGCAGCGAAGTGGACCAGTACTGTTGTATCCGGCATGGAGTATAATACTGCAGTGTCTGAGGGCTTCATGAAACTCTTCTCCTACATTGAAGGCAACAACAAGAAAAGTAAGTTCTTTGTTCTTAGCTGTAAGTGGTGGCCTGTTTGCACTTGAATCAAAGAGGGACTGGGGTTGTAAGGGGAGGACTGTGTGGAAGTAGAAGCAAAGAATTGTAGTGAATGAGAGAAAAGAAATTGCATGGACAAAAAAGCATAATAAGAATAGAAAAATGTACATTTACTTCACACTCCTAATGGCCCAGCTGACGGACTGACTGACTTAGGATTGACTATGTCCTGTTCAACGCACACTGTAGTTTTGTCATGATCATAGCAGTTTACATTGATTTATCTGTCAGACTCTCAGACCAAGAATATGTTGTATGAGAGGGAGAGGAAGTATATTATTCTTCAGGTGATATATAGAAATATTGGTGCACATGATAGTCAGGAAATGCATTGATTATTGCTCTTTGTTCTCCGCACAGAGGTGACAATCCCCATGACAGCGCCTGTAGCGACCAAAGTGGAGCACGGACAGGGACCGTACTGTAAGACAAACTTCACCGTGTCGTTCTTCGTGCCGTTCGCTGACCAGGCCAGCCCACCCGAGCCGTCCACTTCTGATGTCTTCACCAACCCTCTCCCACAGATGACTGCCTTTGTCAAGTATGGGTCTTAAGCTTAAGTTCATTTTGCTGTACTGGTATCTCTTTAAAGTTGTAACAGTACTCATTCATTCACTCATTCATTCCTTTGATCCTTCAGCTCTGGATTCATTCATAATCATACTAGTATGTTCCTCATCATTCATGCATTACTTGATTTATTCATGTGTCCTAACTGAAACAAGAAGTCAAAGATTGCAGACTTCTGGGAAGTATGCAGTCCTTGTCTTTATTAATTTCCCCATGTTGACATCTGATTCATGTCATTCTGTTTGTCACTCTGCCCACCCATTTTCTGTCAACCTATACTGTCCTAACAACAGATAGAATATCCTATAGCTCAACCTCCCAAAACTATATGTTCTAAATGTCCACCTTGCATATTAAAATGACTATCACAATTAGCAGTGTAACCAATGATACCACGGCAGTTGGTGTTCCAGCCCATGCGAGAGTGGCCGCATGTCTGTCAAATATTTGTAGTTTTGTTTTGCATTTCTATGTTTTGATATAGGTTGAATTTTCCACATTGTTTTTTTTTCAGGTCCTTTGGTGGGTTTGCCAGTGAGACAGACTGGACTGATACTGCCAAAGCCCTGGCCAAGAGTCTGGACAACGCCACAGTCAGCTATCACAAGGACTTCTACTACACAGCCGGGTACAACAGTCCCTTCCAATTGTTTGATAGACACAATGAAGTCTGGTTTATCAAGAAAGACTAAGGAGATTAACAACTATTGTGTTTATGGTGTGTATATATCATGCTTAAAGCATAATGACACCCTTGTATCATGTGTGGATTGACAGAGCAGGCTTCTTGTTTTGTTTACTAGTAGTGGCTCAGAGTCAGGACAATTGCAAGTTTTGTTTATTTATTACCACTGACAAAACGCAGGCTTGTAGGCAGTGCAGCTGGCTTCAAATATGAACAGAATCATATAGTACAAACTGGAATTTTTCAAACAATGTCTGCTTTAATTAAGAACCCAATGTTTGGCATTAAGTCATGATCATCATGAGAAATCTTTTATTTCCCAATGAAGGCTTTTGACTATACTACAACATACTAGTACAAATGTATTTCATAACACAGACTTTTGTACTGAGGAACAGATGTATATGATATTTTCTTTTGTATTATAATGATTACACCTTTCTTTTGTTGGAATGCAAACTAGCTAGACCCCTGAGCACATGTAATGGAGAAATGGGGATGAAAATAAAGATTTGTGATATCTTACAATGACTTCACCTACTTTCTGTCTAATTTGTTATCCAGTATCCAGTTATAAAGTTATAAACTGATGAATGCTGACAATGTGTATTGGTATTAGTAAAAAGAGGCTGTTCTTTCAAGAAAGGTTACAATTCCTTCAGTTGTGGATACAACAGTAATGTTCTTCCCAGGTAGCGCACATTGTCACGAGGCTAAACACGTGTGTGTGCCAACGTACGTACTGTTATCTAACTAGGTTAAACAAGCAATAAAGTTTAATTACTTACGTTACCTAACCTGAGGGACAAACCAAGAAAGATGGTGGGAGAGGGATGGGATATTATCATGATACAATTTTGTGTTTCAAAACAACAGTTAAATTAGCGCATATTCTTCCATATTCTAGAAGGAGTTTGCCAACTTTCGCCGTCCTTTGGCTTGCCCCTTCGCAAACATTGCTGGTACATAATTACGAATACGTAGTAACAATGGTCGGGCACGTTTTCTAGACAGTCGCCAGGTCAGTTGCGGTCCCAGGATGTTTGGCTGCTTTCCGGTGGCTTCCTCTTACGAAAGTGTTATGCAAGAAGTTTTCTTATAAAAGTGTCACGCAGGGATCTTAAAGTATCATCCGACGTGAAAGAAGCTTAAGGATCAGCTGACTTATTGGTGAGTAATTTCCCATAATTTTATTTTCACATTTTTGCGTCAAATTACAATGTATCATGATACGATGACCAACGGTGAATGTTGCAAGAACTCATGCTAAGTTATCTTAGACAATGAGATCATCAATTGCACTATCTTTTCTCAGCCCCAAAGCCTACAGAATGTTGAGCCTGCTCATCCTGACGACAGTGGCCGGCCTTGCTGCAGCCAGTCCCACTCGGACATCGCCGCCAACCTTCTGTCACGGGCAGGACTGCCCTAGATACTCTGTGGTCACGTCCACTGCAGTACGTATGAATTATATATGTACATTGTATATGAGTCGGAAGTATTGTTTTGGGTGACTGGGTTGTACAATTCTGGTTTGTGTCAGTATGTTGCCCCGATAACTTTGGTTCTTCCATGCCGTACGTATGAATTACATATATATGAGTCGGAAGTACTGTTTTGGGTGGCTGAGCTGTTCTGGTTTGTGTCAGTCTGTTTGCATGCCTTAATAGTTTCGGTTGCATGGTGGGTGGGAGGTGATTTTAACCACGGTGTTTTAACAGTTTATAAGCAAGTGACACAAAGAACTCAGATTACACATGTAGAGCCTTTAATGACACAAAACTTATAGCTGTTTTCCCGAGAAAAACATGAATAGATTGTATATTACAATGATAACATGTTGCGTCAATTTTCAACCTATAAATTTTCCTCTTTACATAGGATTATGAGGAGCGCCTGTATGAGCCAGCTAAGTGGACCAGTGCCAGTATCTCCGGTTCTGAGTACAGTTCTGCCGTGAGCGCGGGATTCGGGAAACTCTTCCAGTATATCTCAGGGAACAACAAGGACCGTAAGTCATCTCACGTTTTGTGGTGACGTAGGATGGATCGCCACTCCTTGACGAATATCCTGGATTTCAGAATCCATATATGAAAAGTATCACTTCCCTGAAAGTTCATGAAATCAAAATAGGCAATATTATAGTTGATTACTAGTACATTGTACTTGTCACTTTTATAGCTGCTGTTGACTTGTAGCCCGTATTCAGGATCTATATCTTAATCGAAATTTCCTTTGGGGCTTGTTGGTCCTGGAGCCGAGTAGCCCAGTCCTCAGTGCGGGCGATAGAAACAGTCTTGCTTCCAGGCTAGTTGACTCGGCTTGTCTCCAAGATCTCCATCAAAAGTTCATATACTGTTTTTCTTCACTAACCATTCCCTCATTGCGCTTTCTGCTTGTATCAACAGAGGCTAAGATCCCCATGACAGTACCCGTCCTGACGAAGGTTAAGCCGGGGCAGGGATCCTCCACCGACTTCACCGTGTCGTTCTTCGTGCCGTTCGCGGACCAGACCAGCCCGCCCGAGCCTTCTGATCCCACGGTGTTCACCAACCCTCTGCCACAGATGACCGCTTATGTCAGGTAGGAGTCGACTTTAACACGAAGAAATTGTTACTAAAAGAGTTAATATTAGTTTGTATAGTTTAAGTAAGATATTACTGTAATTTTTCACCCGTACTTAGCTAGGTCCAAGAGCATAGACGTACAATAAAGGTATTTCATTCATTCTTGGGAACTGGATAGATTTTCAAGCAACTGGATAGATTTTCAAGTAGCATCAACTACTTTTCGTCGGTGACAGTTTTCAAATAATTATTCAATATATAGACCATCGTCATTGTCATTGTAAATGTCATTGTCGATATAGTTCAAATACATAAAAAAAAATTATCACTTCCTGGAATTCTGGAATCTCTAATTTCTTGTTTTCCTCTTCTTGCCCAGGTATTTCAGTGGGTACGCTCATGACGGCGACTGGGCCAATAACGCAGCTGCCCTGGCCCAGAGTCTGGATAACGCCACAGTCAGCTATCACAAGGACTTCTACTACACAGCCGGGTACAACAGTCCCTTCCAACCTACAGACAGGCACAACGAAGTCTGGTTCATCAAGGCAGTTTAAGACGACAACAGCTACTATAATATTGTATTATCACTTGTTCATAATAAAGATGTATTATATCAGCATGTGAACGTGTGAGACCAAACTTTTTTGTGAGCTATTCAAGGTGTCCCAACAGTTAAGCATACCTGGTACTTTTGAGATATCCATGGTATATATATGATGACAACCACAGAGAGAATATAATAAGTTATTCTAAGCGCTTACATACTCGTTTTATTTGCTTGAGAGCCAAACAAATACGAAGGACCAAAAGTACAAATGTTATCCTTCGTAAAAAAAAGGGAAGAGAATTGCAATTGATAATAGCCAATCACTGTGTCAAGTTTTGTTTTCCGAGGATATAATCTCCGGGCAGATCCTAGGGTGGCAAAATACACTAGTATTAAATTAGCCAGGCAGTATACTTGGCCGGCAGATCTGCTTGGAGATTAGCAACCACTAGTATGATCACTACCGGTAAAGCACGTTGTATATAAACATGCATCATCACGAGAAACCACACGGGAGTATTTATCTATCTAGGCTAAACAAATATTGGTGTTCATCTATTTCGCGTGATCAGGTGGACTTCAATCTCATCAAGGACAAATTACAAACTTACACAAGAGTTACGTAACATTCCTTACCTAAACTTTATAGTACAAGTCCTGAGTCGGAAGAAACAGGACATGTACAGTATAACCATGAAGAGTATGAATAAAAAGTAGTATAATTCCTATCATATTGCTGGATGCAAATATGTTATCACACCTGATGAAAATGGTACGGGGAAAGTTTTAGTTGAAACTAACACTAAAGAATTAAATCTCGTTCGATCAGTTGCGTTTGGCTGCGCTTGCGTTACACAAGTCTTTTTATTTACGTTTGTCACAAGTTTGAGATGTTACGCAAGAATTACGTGTTGTAAAGTCATTCAACGCGAAGAAAGCTGAAGAACCAGTCAGAGATTTTGGTAAGTCCAGACAAAACCAGATTTGTGTCACTTTTACTGACTTATTTGGCTTCGCCCTTGCCCGTATCAGTCTACCCATGGAGGTAGACAATCAGATTTTCTACCCCCATAGTCTATCTAAGCCATCTTAGTTGCCTCAAGGACATTTTGACTAAAATCCCATTGAAATGCATGCATTCTAAACCTGTACATGTTCACATGGGTGTTTGTCACGATTTCGCCTCTGATTTACATAAAGGTTACGACAGTGCATCAAGCGTTCAGCATGCGGCGTATTCTTTAATATAATACCCTGTTCTTAGTCATCTTTGGTGAGCATTTCTGAGAAGCCGAGGAAAGGCATACTTGTGACCTGTAGCGACAGTCTACGCCTACATGTCATGTAAACATGTTGTAAAGGTGGTGACATTGCATTAGGTACACCGCGAATTGTTAAGCCGTTTCCTGTGTATTGTTGGAACTATCTTTGTGTTATATTTCAGTGGCTCTGCGCGCGGTAGCCGGTTGTGGCGCCAGTTGAAAGTATTGTGGACTTTTTGAAGAAAAAGAAAACTGTAACTTCAATAGTTCTATATAACTGTATACTAATTATATCAAATAGCGCTAGCGTCCCGATTAAATTATGACAAACCAGAGCAAAGGCTTATAACTTTCTAGCTTAATGTCAGCGTGCAAAGCAACGTTCGAACCAATTACAACTGTGGCACGTAATCTCCAAGCAGATCCCTCTCGGTGGCAAAAAGACGGTATCAAATTGGCCAGGCAGTATCCATTAGCCAGAGAAGGTCCGCGGCCACCGACGGTGGGGATCAGGACAAAGAAAAAACGGCCATATATAAAAAGGTAACGATCATTCCCCCACAACCTCTGCTTGGAGAGTATGTGACACGTACAGTACACACATAAGCTTTCGCGTCACGTTTTCTTGACGCTTGTCGGATCGAGGACACTCTTGTTTGGATTCTCACCATGACAAACACGTGTCACGTGCAGCTGCATATACATTTACCACACCGAGCAGTTTATAAATGAACAACACATGTGGTATAAAATATGACTAAGAACCGCAATAATATCTCTCCACAGACTATTAAAGAACCACAATGTTGACACTGCTTGTCCTGACAACTCTGGCCAGCCTGGCTGTCACCAGTCCTGTTCTCCCCTCCCAAACATGGCCGCCGGCCTTCTGTAACAAACTGGAGTGTCCCAAATACACCATGGTCAAGTCTACAAAGGTATGTATTCGCGATATAAACGATAAAAAGTTACCCATTGGTATACGCTTGTATGTTTAAGCATCGCTGAAAATATGAAAAAGAAACATTTTATACCTGTGCACATCCAAAGGAAGCAAACAGTAACCTGCAACTTGGCATTGCAAAACGGAGTATAACAGTCAGAACAAACAAACAAACAAACAAACAAACTTTTAGTTGTATCGAAGCAGCATTTATTGATCAGCACAATATGCGTTTCGGGTATTACACGTATTTCCATATAACCTTAGTAGCAATCATTCTTTGGTAACTTTTGTAGATACCGTTGATATCAGCATCGGCCAGAGAATGACCAGTTTTGTGAAAGCTGCTTGGGCATTGGGAAGTTTTTGCTTGGTACAAAATCAAAATTGTAGAAAGTTAATGTTTCGAATTCCTTCTCCTGTTCAGGATTATGAAGAGCGCCAGTACGACCCAGCTAAGTGGACCAGCACCACCATCTCCGGTATGAGCTATGACGACGCCTCCAGGACCGGCTTTGAGAGACTCTTCAACTACATCTCAGGATCCAACAAGGGCCGTAAGTACCTTAAAGTTTATATTTTATCTTTTTATTGCCCGCTATGGACTCTGCGGAAGCGCCTCCTATCGGCAAGCATATAAACTACATGGCTGAATCGCCCCATCTGGTGATATCAAGATAAACTGCAGCAATGACGCTGAGAATAAAATGACGAAGCTTGGCACAAACACGTATAAACTATAATGTCCTTGCTTTGAACAAATCGTTAACATTACAAAGACAATGACAATGTTAACATCTTACAGTATTATTAAAATCGTACTATTAACACAAACATATACCGAACACATCAAACACCTCTAGCTCTATATTTAGCTGATGTTCATGTTGTTTTGTGTGTATCTGGCGTAACAAAATACTAGTACATGAACGTTGTAACTTGTGTGTACGCCACATTGTCCTGTCCTTTAGCTTTATGTATTGCAAATGCTATCGTTATTTTCCCCACCCAGAGGTTAAGATCCCGATGACAGCGCCCGTCCTGTGACACAATATAGCCCCTTCTAGTATTAAATATTATGACAACTTGCAGCAATGGCGTTGAAAATATATGAGTTGTAAACATGTTAAAGATCTCCTATCCTTATTTCCCCAACGCAGAGGTTAAGATCCCGATGACGGCGCCTGTGCTGGTGAAGGTGGAGCCCGGACAGGGCCCGTTCTGCAAGTCTAACTTCACCGTGTCGTTCTTCGTGCCGTTCGCGGACCAGACCAGCCCGCCCGAGCCGTCTGACCCTAACGTCTTCACCAACCCTCTGGAGGGAATGACTGCTTTCGTCAGGTACGGGTCAGGTTCATTTGTTCACCTTATCCCTGCTGCATATCGCTGTAACCAATAGCCAAACTTCTACTTTAGTGACAGTGATAAAGGTTACTACAATCACATTACACAGATATGCGACGGACCCCTGCAGTTGGGCCATTGTAAATTTGTCGCGACTGTGATCCTTACTCTCCAAGCAGAGGTTAGACCATGAATCATGATGTCCATACCAAAAGAAAATCCACCAAAATAGCTATATATATAGAACGCCTGTCAAAAGCGAAATAAAACGTCTGAAAACAGGCATAAACTCTACATGGAGGGTACGAGATTTGTACAACGGTAAAATTTTATTCCATTGTGTTCTATCAATGCAAGCTCTTTAACTTCCCCCCATATTTTTCAGATCTTTCGGTGGATTCGCCAGCGACACAGATTGGACCAGTAACGCTGAGGCCCTTGCCAAGAGTCTGGATAACGCCACAGTCAGCTATCACAAGGACTTCTACTACACAGCCGGGTACAACAGTCCCTTCCAACCGACAGACAGGCACAACGAAGTCTGGTACATCAAGGCAGACTAGGAAAATAGCAAACTTTATATATAACGCTATAATTCATTGCCAATGCTGCGCCTTTACCTTTTTCTCTATACATATATGATTGTAAGTAACAACAATTATCAACGCTTTTTACTAGGCGTCAATGTTGATATTTCTATATTTGGGAGCACAAAAACTAGACATTCTAGCCAAAGTATTCGACGCGCAAGAGTACATCAGTTATGCACAAAACGTTTTTAGGACAATAAACTTAAGAAGTAATCTGATGGCTTTGATTTCATACTTGTGTGCGTTTTCTTCACTCATAACAAATTTTAGGAATGATTGCAGTCAAATGGCTTCAATTATCATTGTTAAAAAATCCTAATTTTTGTGGTATACATATGGTTGATATAAAACATGCAAACACTGCCGATACCTCAAAAATATCATTGACAGGGTGTGTTTTATGTTATACCTAGAGCTGGCTTGATCTAGATGTAAAAGACCTTGATATTCGGCTTTTGTAGTTAGCGACATATCAAAGACACCGCCTGAACTTATCATGTATTATTTATCATTGGCGGGTCAGCATTTGAATCCTTTTTTCTGTATTTTTCTTCATTCTTGCAAGGGCATTACTAGTATACAGAAGTATAATGTCATTGATTCTTGTGAGTTGGAGTTTGCTGAAGATATCGTTAGAATTAGTAATGTAGTATAGACATGTCTATCTGGTGATAGATAAGACAATTGTCGTTAAAAAACACGAGCTTTGCCTGGCGTAAATAACACACGAACTTTCCCAAGTCCTCAAAAGGGGGAAAACAAAGTTTGAAAATACTAGTAACTGCTTGGAACGAAAAGTCAACGATTATTCCGAAGCCATGACTATGGTTTCATGAAGGAGTTGTGACTGTGTACTAGCTCAACTTTTTGAGCAATTCAAAGTATCAAAGTTTCTAAAGCCATAGATGCGTTCGTCTGATTTTGCAATCTTTCTGTCTAGTACATGCATTGTTCAAACTCTAACACCACGCGCGAACCGACAACAATAATACTTTGTCTCTCAACAATTTCGTACAAAGAATTGAAAGAAAGCCGTCGGCTTCGCCGCCTCTTAGACCAATCAAGGTATTCCAATTTGTCGAGTTAGCACGCCGTTGACTACAAGGTAGCGTCGCGAAAAAACTCGCGTCACCACTCAAGGTAACGTCTGTTGGTTTTGCCATTCATGTCGGCGCGGTGTGATCAAAGAAGCTACATTACCGTATGAAAGGAAACCTTACAAGCGGGCAGGGCAGCACGTTAGATTACAGGCCGGGCCGACTCTCATCATACCGGCGCGAGTACTTTGCATCACAGATCCCAATAAAAAAATCAACTACTCTGCCGATTTTCCCACATCTCATTTTCCACTTCACTAGGACCCGTGCTCGGATTTTCCCAGGGTTTCTATCATGCATATATTCATCGTGGGAAGATGATCAAAGAGTTTAGGGTCTTCAAAGTTTTTCAATAACTTTTACGTACGACAGTGAGTTAAAAACAACTATTGCAAACGTACATGTACAATGGGGAGAAAAAGAAAATAAAGTTGTATTACCATGAGAAACTTACACGCACATACACAAATTTTGTACTACGTGCATCTTTTCTGCTTAAAATAAGACAATTGTGTGGCTATACTAGTCTATAGTGTTGTTGCATAGATAGCCGATAGATAAACTTCTCGTCTTCAATACGATTTGGTATTCTAAACTGGATTTATCGGATAAGCCTTACTATGGTTTTGTAAATTGTAAACTTCAACAAGATTATGTGGAAAACAATGAAAAGAAGCCAGTTGTCTAGTCATGTCCGCATTCCGACAACCCTATGCTATCTTCTTAGAAAAACTGGTAAAAAATACAAACTGAAGTCAAATCATTGTCTTAACAAACTCAGAGCTTCAAATCATTTTTGTAACAAACTAAATGCTATAAAAACAGCGAAGGAATGCGCTTGGTGTAATTAGCATTTTTTCCTGAAACAACTCGCGCCGAAACCTCCAAACATCACAGGGAGCGGTATCCACTGATCCAATTAGAGAAATCAAGCCATTTTTGCCGCAACTGCCAATCAGAGCACCTCGTGGTCTCTCTCCCTTCAGCGAGAAGCCGATTTCCGCGACTTCAAAGGACGCCGACAAGGTGCCGCGCCGAAGCCGTAGAATGACATCAAGGCGTTCGCCGCGCTTCATCGTCAAGTGCTACAACAACACAGCTCGGCGTGCACAAGCCAGACCCAAGCGGCTACTCTGCATATCCAAAGGCCGATAGATTACAAAAACTCGACACCACTCCGGGAGAAGTTCACTCTCGAGTCTGACTTCCGAATCGACAAGTGCTCTCTGCTCTGCGTTACGACTTCTTCCAGTTATCCAGATTCCTTGATCTCACGTCCTACCTTATCTACAGGTATGTACACATGCGGTCGTGTGGCAATGTTTGCTCTGCTGTCGAATTTCATCACCTCAAGCTTTCTCTGATTTCATTTCGTGAATTTTTTGTTGTAAATGTAAGAAATCTTTCTCGTAAGTTTTTGGCAAAGATACTGACCAAGAAACACTGTTTCACCAAGGGCCTTATACCAAACAAATACCTCCTATTTCGAAGTTTCCGGCCAAAAAATAACAAACATGTAGCCTTTTCTGCGATAGAATGTTTCTTGTTTCCTGACTAATGTTAAACCCGTGTTCTTTCCATGTTACAGCAGCATGTCTGTGACCGCAGCCGCTGGCCTGATGTACCCCTACCCCGTCCCGATGTACCCGCCGGCCGCCCCGTGGCCAGTCTTTCCCTCCTGCTACGTCCCGACCGTCCCAAGCCATAGGTAAGAAGACCATCTCTTTTTGTCGTCCGGTATAAAGTGCTTTTGATATACTTGGGAATGCTGCTTGTCGTATATATAGACGACTAGTGTCGGCATTTTTAGATAGAGTGGTTATGGAAACAATCGGTAAAGTCTAGGGTCTACCGTCTTCTTCTTTTTTTTCAAATATATTTGGAATATGTTCTTGTGTCCTGCCGTTAACAAATTGTTATTATTGTAATGTACTGTATTGTTGTATATTCTTTTTTTTATAACTAAATGTGCCCTTCTTTTCTTACTTCAGCTCTCCTAGCCGATTGGCAGCCTCTGCTCTGCTCACCCTCGGCGAGACCCCCGCCATCCAGCCGACGAAGACGGTCCCCAATCCGCCGGGCCGTCGCTCCAGTGGCTTCAGCTTCGCCTCTCTCCCCAGCGACATCGCCCGCGAGACGGAGGCGAAAGAGGCGGAGGTCAGGCGGCTGTCAGTCAGTCCCATCCCCGTTAGATCATCACCGTACCCTGTCTCGCCGTCCTTCGGGAGAACCAGCCCGCCCCTCCCGTACAGCGTCGACCTCCTGTCCGGTGTGCAGTTCCCCGTCGGCGTCGACGCGCCGAGAACCTCCAGCCCAGTCCTCAGACCGGTGTCTCCGACCGAGAACACGCGGGAGGAATCCCAGGCCAAGTTCCCATGCGGGCAGTGCGGGAAGGTCTACTCCCGCCGCAGCACCCTCAACGCTCACCTCCGCACCCACGACGGACAGAAGCCGTTCGAGTGCAAGGACTGCGGCAAGACCTTCACCCAGGCTGCAAACCTCACGGCCCACCAGCGCATCCACACGGGAGACCGACCCTACAAGTGCCCGATCTGCAACCGTGGGTTCTCCCAGAGCTCCTCGGTGACCACGCATCTCCGTACGCACAGCGGGGAGAAGCCGTACCGTTGCACGGTCTGCCCCCGTGCCTTCGCCGACGCCTCGACCCTCACCAAGCACGTCCGGACCCACACCAACGAGAAGCCGTACCAGTGTAGCGAGTGCGGACAGAGCTTCACCCAGTCAGGAAACCTGAAGAGGCACCTCAAGGTGCACGCCAAGAGGAAGATCGCTTCCTAGACTCAACTTCAGAGACATTTCACAAACTATGAACTTGCTTTTGCATCGATCTAAACTATGTATGATACTAAATGTAGTATTCATTGTTGATACAAGTTCATTCTTCATATGTATAATGTGCTTTTTTTTTATAACGTATTGACTGTTCCTTCGGAAGAGTGGAACTTTTTGTGTGTTTCATCTTGTAAGTGCTGGATAAAACTATGTTCATAGAGTTTATCTTTCATATGTAGTACCTTTTTATAATCTATTGACTGTTCCTTTTCGTAAACCGAAGAGAGGAACTTGATAGTGTTTCATCTTGAAAGTTGATAAAACATAAAATTTGTTATTTGAAAGAACTCACTTTGAGTTCAACAAGTTTCAACATGTTCTAATACTTCTATTGTAAATATTTTCGCGTGCCGGTCTCGCCTCTGATGCCATACACTGTTGAACAGTCGAACAAAGGAAAAAGATTATTCTGTGATCCCGATTTACATTTGTATATAATCTGTGAAAGAAGTCTAGCGTCTTTAAACGACCAACAATCGCATATACCTGCGAATTGCTGCGACTTTACGATGTGTGTTTGTTTGACATTGATTGTTGAATAAACTGTTGTCTGACAATGGATGTGTTCGTGTGTTTGCCGGGGTGTACAAACGCAAGTAGAGTAGTAGAACAACATCCAACCTTCCGCCGGGCATTTCTAGAATAAACTTCGTAAAATATCGTTTAAGTGTGAAGAAATTATAATCAAACTGACACCAAGGTGGGAAAGAAGTTACAATATAAACGCTCGCTTTTTAAAACATGTTTGGATAGCTAAGTTTGCGTCACGTTAAAAACAACAATTCCTAGATTGTGAAGCAAAATTTAGTATCATAATGCCAAAGTTGAGAAGGCCAAGGACATTCCTTGAGAAGACAAAGTAGTATATAGGGAAACGCAGGTTATATTGATATGTCTACGAAATGAAGTTATATTGAAATGCCTACGAAATGAAGTCGTAGAGGTCTAGGCATATAGGGCGACATTATTAGGGTAACCAGGACGCATATATGCCTACGAAATGCCTACGAACAGATATGCCTACGAACAGATATGCCTACGAAAAGAAGTTATAACTTATATTGAAATGCCTCCCTACGAAATGAAGTCGTAGAGGTCTAGGCATATAGGGTGACATTATTAGGATTACCAGGACGCCCATGTCACCGAATCTGACCCTTGACCCCCTTGGCGCCTTTTTCGCTCGGGTCACGAAGAAGGACGGAGCGATGGCCGGACGTAAGAAACGTAAATCGAATATTTTAGACGAATTACCGCCCGATTTGAGCCTACAATGTCTCCCTTCTGCCCTCCGGGACAAGCTGATGCCTTTTCAGAGAGAGGGGGTGAAATTTGCGCTGAAGAAAAACGGAAGGTAGCGTGTGAATTTGGCTGTTTTTGTGTAGAAAGTTTTGACATCTGCTTTGAGTTTAGAAACAGGCCCAGGCTTGTCTTGTTTTGATAGTTGGCCGTGACGTGTATTCTTGTGCATATAACGTTACATGTACTAGTATGCGTATCAAATATCGTTTCGAAGATCAAACGTTTTATTTTTCTCTGTCTGAACATCTGTATACTAGTATACTATTAAAGTAACGTTAATGTTATGTCTCTTCTGTTCTTGTTACAGATGCCTAATTGGTGACGAGGTATGTAGCTTTCTGGTTGTAAATTGTAAACTACGTACAAGGAGGTTTTATAAATATTTTGTATAAATATTTTCTTCAATCGTTTATAAACAATGTAGAATGACCCTGTCATGTTGGCATTTACAGGTAATTTTTTAATGAAATTTTATATCCCTGTCCAAATAAAGATGGGCCTAGGTAAGACCCTGCAGGCCATAGCTGTGGCATAAGTATCACTACAGACAGGAGTGGCCAGTTCTGGTGGTGGTCCCGTCCTCCCTAAACTTGTTATACATGTATTTTTGTTCAAAGATGGGCCTAGGTAAGACCCTGCAGGCTATAGCAGTGGCATATCACTACAGACAGGAGTGGCCTGTGCTGGTGGTGGTCCCGTCCTCCCTGAGGTACCAGTGGGTGGAGGAACTGGAGCGGTGGGTACCTGACCTGGAACCTACACACATACACGTGGTCAGCTCACGGGATGACATCAGGTACTGGAACTGTATCTGTAACGTTATCTGTTTGGCTTGTATAACTGCCCTTAGGGGTGACACACCAGTTTCTGTATCTGTGTAGCTGGTATAACTGCCCTTTGGCATAACACACCATGTACGAGCTTCTGTATCTATATATAAGCTGGTATTAATTCCCTTTGGCGTAACACACCAGCTTCTGTGTCTGTATAGCAGATATAACTGCTGTTCAGCATAAAATGCAGATTCTGAAATAAAAAGAAGCAATGTTACAAATACAAGTTTAACTATAAGAGCTCTGAAGAAGTGACTTTTGTTCCAGGAACATCTCCACTGCTCAGGTGACCATCCTGGGCTACGGACTGATACAGAGACAGGATCAGCCACTGGTGAAGGCTCTTCATGACCAGAACTTTCAGGTATACCATAATCGACAGTTTTCCCCTCCTCAAATTTTACAACTGCCTGCAATTTAAAATGGTTGTAAGACACAATTCTACTTAAAAATCTCAGTTTGTTTAGAGTAGAATTTCGTTTGTTTCAATATCATAGTACAAAAAAGCCACATTTTGTTCTTGTACAAGCCTATAAAATTACTGTATACATGTTTGTATCCATTGACACACAATACATTAATTTTGTACTTCCATACCCAAAGGTAATTACAATCCAGGTGACTTGTTTGGGAGATAAAGTACATGTAGATGTTTAAATGTCTGACCTAAGTTTGTGTGAAGTGTAAACTTGGTTTTTCTCTCTCCCTCAGGTGATAATAGTTGACGAGTCCCACTACCTGAAGAACAGGAAAGCTGTGCGTACCCAGGGTCTGGTGCCGCTGGTAAAGAACGCCAAACGGGCCCTGCTACTGACAGGGACACCTGCCCTGGCCAGGCCTGCGGAGGTGAGGGTTAGATCTCCTATAGTAGCTACATTTGTACTTGTGTGGATGGGCTCTAGGGACGCTGTTATACTCGAAGGACCCTTGTATACTCTGAGTTGGAAACCAAGAGTCAATACATTTAGTTTTGTTGTAGGTGTTAGTATGTCTATGTTTTCCCTAGTTAAGAGGGATTACAGCCCAAAACAATGGTTTCGGAGAGTTGACTAGTCTGTGGTGCTGTGGTGGGTGACAAGTTAGTTTTTCATAACATTATGTATTGTCATACAGGTTGTTTCATAAGAAATAAAGAAACTTGAGAAATTCTGTGAAGAGTCAGACATTTCAGATCGCATTCGCTGTCTTTCATCAGTGACAGGTGTTTATGAACTGTTCCCGTTAATGTTGTCCCTCCCCAGCTGTTCCCACAAGTGGATGCCCTCCTGCCGGGGAAGTTCGGTAGCTGGACGAAGTTCTCCAAGCGCTACTGTAACGCCCACCAGGTGTTCTACGGAAGGTTCCCACGCTGGGACACCAAGTAGGTTTTGGGGAACAAAGTATTGTTTTGGGTGGCCGAGCTGTGTGTTTGTATATCAATTTGTCCAGGGAGAATAGGTGGACAGCACAAAATTGACAAGCAGAATGACTGTAGGCCAAATGAGTTGAACGTGAAGGTACACATGTATCAGATCTGGAGTGGTTACTTTGTGGATGTTTGAAATGTCTGATTTCTTGCTCTGTTTTTGCAGTGGAGCTTCCAACCTTGCAGAGCTCCACAGTAACCTACAGCCTCTCATGATTCGCAGACTGAAAGCACAGGTGAGACCTTATAAACAACAGGCATATCACAAGGGTTGAGAACTACGTGTAATTAAAAATTTATATTTTAGATATTAGAGCCCTCTATCTTAGCATTCACAACTGCAGGTGATACGTGTATCTGATTATGATGAAACAATGATGACAAACAATACAGAAGCCCATAGAAACACCAAGGGGGCTCTCAGGAATCGAACCTGGGCCACCAGCTCGAAAACCTGACTGTTAAGCTAAAAGGTCTGGACCCATTAGACAAGTCAGTTGGTTTCACTTGAAACCTCACTGTTACAAGGACATTAGTAACTGGTATCACTGCTTTTTATCCCATAGGTCCTTACCCAGCTTCCCCCCAAGAGAAGACAGAGGATTCCTTTTGATGTACCTGAAGGGGAGCATAAAAAGGTGCGTTTAGAAACTCCTGCTTTATATATCTCTTTTCTCAACATTCTCTAGAAAACACTTCTCAGAAGTTTGAATTCCTGCGACATTCTAAAAGATTTTACTGTAAAAAGATTTATTGTAAAATTGTCTGGCAATCACATCCCTACTTTCTTGTTAAGATTTTCTTGTAAAATTTTTGTGGTTAATGATCAAACTTGATGAAAGTTGTCCGTGTGTATCATACAGGAGTTGGACAAGCTTGCAGCTGAATGGAGGGACCTGATTGGTCGAGGGGCTGTGCCACAGTCACATGACCAGCAGGGGATGCCTGACAACCCAAGCTTCCGAATCCGTCAGCTTATCACAGAATGGTACCACACGACGGCACTTGCCAAGGTAAGGCTGTGTTGAATTGATTATGTGGATGACATTCTCTGGGCACCCTAAAACTGATGTTACTTGTTTAGGTACAGGTCCAGATCTGAGCCAATATCCTGGATCTAAAACCTGTTTACATGCACAGGTTTGCATTTCAATAACATATCTACAAGAAATAGTCATGACTACAAGCAAGCATTGAGGTGTTCAAAAACTAATTTTTTCCTAGAACTATCTTAGAGTGGAACTTGCTGCCACCAAGAACAGTAGTGGCATCATCACTAGACAGCTGTACACAATGCTTAGACTTCGATGTGCAAAGGCTTAGTAAGTGTAACAAGTAGTGTAATATAGCCAGCTGCCCCCCTGCCGCGTGCCTGCAATGCTGGTATGTTATGCCGAAGGGTGGTTATACCGGCTCTGTAGATAAAGATCTATAGAGCTACTGACAAAGACTTTTCCATTGTCTCCTGTAGGCAGGATCTGTACAAGAGTACATCAAGGTTCTACTTGAGAATGAGTCCATGAAGTTTATCGTGTTTGGTCACCACAAACACATGCTCCAGGCCGTCTCACAGACACTCATCCACAGCAAGGTCAAGTACATACGCATCGACGGATCTGTGCCCAGCGCTGAGAGGACGGTGGGTTTAAGTTATACAACGTACCTGAAAAACTTTATGTTTGTAAATATATACAATATTATTGATACATACATACATATATAGTGTCCAATTGCAAAATGTATTTGTAACTGTACTGGTGCATTTTTTCATTTAGGCTGAAAATGCTTTCGTTTCCTCTTTACAGCATCTGGTACAACAGTTTCAAGCAAACCCAACTGTTAAAGTTGCAGTTCTGAGCATTCTAGCAGCAGGGACGGTAAGTAACTGTGTGTGTGTGTGTTTTATGTGTGTAAATGAATGTGTGTGTGTTTTATGTGTATGAATGAATGTATGTATGTGTGTGTGTGTGAATGTGTGTGTGTGTGTGTCCCTGGTAGCTTCCAGGGTACTGGACCAAAATATCTGGTGTTGATATCTCAAATTCTTTTCTACCTGATATGGACCTAATATTTCGTTCTAAACCCCTCCCCCAGGGTTTGACGTTGACGGCTGCGAGCCACGTGGTGTTTGCGGAGCTGTACTGGACGCCCGGTGTGCTGGAGCAGGCGGAGGACCGCGCCCACCGCATCGGCCAGCACAGCGCCGTGCACGTGCACTACCTCGTCGCTAGGAACACCATCGACGACTGGATGTGGAGCATGCTCACTAGAAAGGTATCAACACACTGTCCATGCCAATTTGATTTTGTTTGCCTTGCATGGAGTTTGTCAGGAAGGACATTAATTGCCAGGAGGTGCAGTGTGACGTCTAGTGGACTGCAGTCTGGTGCCTACCTTTGTGTCAGGGACTCCCACAGCAGTATTACATCAAAGACTGGACATTGAGTGAATGAGTGCATGGCCAGTAAACTGCCTTAAAGCACGACAAACCAGAGTTCCTGTTCTGGGCAGCTGTCTGGTTACCTCTGTTCTCTGTTCCCCCCAGGCCAGCGTTGTGACCAGTACCCTGAACAGGAAGCTGGCAGTGCTCCAGGCTAAGTTCCTCTCTAGGGCGACCGAAGGGCGATTATACGGGCTATACTGATACAGATAGAGGTTACCAATCCTACCATTCTATGTTCTCCCCAGGTGAGTGTAGTGACCAGTACCCTGAACGGGAAGCTAGCGGTGCTCCAGGCTGACGAGTGTGACAAGGACCAGGCTGAGTTCCTCTCCAGGGCGGCTGTGTGGTTACCAGGGGAACAGCAGGAAGAGGACGACAGCTTCTTCTTCACACAGGTCATTGTAACAGTCATGCCTTCAAATATGTGTTTGTGTTTGTGTGTGTGTGTGTGTGTGTGTGTGTGTGTGTGTGTGTGCGTGTGTGTGCGTGTGTGTGTGTGTGTGTGCGTGCGTGTGTTTGTGTGTGTGCGTGCTTGTGAAGCTGGGATGTTATGCTGAAGGGAGGTTATACCAGCTATACCGATACAGATACAGATTTTCATATAGCTGACTTCTTCGGAACCCAAAATACTTCCTGGCAGTCTGAAATTTCAGACTGCCAGGAAGTATTTTGGGAAGTTCTTATCTTCTGTATCAGTTTTATGCAGTTTTATGCTTTACAGTCATTTTTGTAACATGTTTTTTGTCTAATTACAGCCAAATACACAGAAGGACTTGCGGTCGTACTTCAAACCAAAGAGTGGCCATGGACAAAAAGCACAAGACAGCCAAAAACACAATTTAGGTACAGAAAGTGTGTCACTCATCCAAGATGGTGATGATGATGGCACAGACTTCAGAGATGTGCAAAAGACACACCGCGCAGCCAGACCTGACGTGTTTGTGATTGACTCCGACACGGAGAGCACAGCTGATGAAAGTGAAAAAGGTTCCAGCACGGCTCACTTGTGGTCGGATGGAAACATTGAGAGAGATGCTTCTTCGTCATCTGATGACACTATCATAGAGACGGATCAGACAATCAGAGACAACTCCTCTCTCATTGGTCAGAAAGCAGAAACAGAATCGGACATCGCCACACCGAAGACTAAGAGAAGCAGGTCCGAAGACACAAGATCTGTTGATAAAAAGGGAGCAGAAGGTTTGAGCAGTGTGGGAGTGGGGAATGATGTAGAGGAGTCAGGATGGGGATGGGGCTGTCCACTTTGCACCTTTCAGAACCACGAACTTCTGAAGGTCTGTGAGATGTGTGAGACACCCAGGAAGAAAGGTGAGATTTTGTGTGCTTTTGTCCAAAAAATAAAACCACTGCTAGAGAAAATGCATATAAGTGGTCAAAAGTTGTGGTATTGGTGTTTTTGCCTTTTCACTATTGGTATTTTATTTTAAGGGAATTTTTTTGGAATAATACCATGTAGTTATACTTCATATATTCTGGGTTATTAACCACTACCAATAATTACCTTGGTGGTATATTTTGGTTGAACAATCTTTCATTAGATACTTTAATTTTCTTTCTCAGAGAAGCCAACAACTCGGAGCCAGCAAAGACAATGTGACATTGATTTCAGCAGCCCCACTCTTGGTGTCACAAAAGCAAGAAACATGAGATCGAGAGGAAGTTCTCCTGATACAAAAGCAGTTGAAGAGAAGACAGTTTCTGTTGCACAGGAAGAAGGTCTGTTGTCAGTTGTTCAAGAAAGAGAGAAACCCTGCGTTGACACACCAACAAAACCTTCATCATCTCATAGCATTCAAAACACACCAACAAACAGAAACAGGGAAAGTTCATTTGTTAAGAAGTCTACAGACTTCTTGGGAGCTGAAAAGGTTTCAAAGGTACAAAATAACAACACAGACATTGTCGACTTGACTACGTACTCAACTACAGAAGATGACACTACATGTGAATCAGACACCACCACAGAACAGACCATTGCCACATCCTCATCGAAAGTTACATCGTACGAATCCCAAAAGGACAACATTCCCAAGAAAGCACAATCAGACATCTTGTTTTGTAGTACACCGCCTACTGTGCCAGACAGTTCCCTGGAGTCTAGTGTTGCTGAAGACTTGGCTGTAGCAGCAGAGGTATTCAGGCCCTCCCCAAGGCGCGGTAAGTCCACATGGCAGTGTGAGAACCGTAGCTGTGGCTACAGTAATGCCGACAGTGATGCCGAAGACTGTGATGCATGTTTCTCACCAAGACCAAGGAAAAGACTCAAGCTGAGTTCAACAGAATCTCCACAAAGCAGTCTTGGTGGCACTGCAACACCTAGTCTCAAAACTGCTGCCATCAAAGGTACACCTTCCAGATTCAGCAATAGTACAAGAAAACCAGGTGTTGAAATGACAAGAAGTCCTAGTCTTCAGAAAGCAGTGAACACGTCATCAACTAGCAAGATTGTTCACAGTGCACTAAGCACACCTGGTAGAAAAGATACATTGACTCTGCAAGGAGGCAAGCCAAAACTGCAGTTTCAAACAAACAAGTCAAACATTCCAACCAGCACTCCACCTTCCAAACAAATCCACAAGAACCTTTCCTCCCCCTTTGCCAAGTCCCCGGCAAGTGGTAGCATTTCCAGTAGCCCTTTGCATGGTTCGGATTGGTTTGATGATGACGACATCTCAGATGACATGTTGTTGAGCAGTGAGAAATCCGTGTCTCCTCGAGGCCACCTAGCAGGTGGCGCCGGTATTGCAAGAAAGAGTGGTGGCAGCATGTATGACTTGGAGAATTTCAGTATGAATGCAGACATTGGTACAGACGAAGGAGATGTGGGCTGTAGAAGTAAAGATCCAGTGGTTAAGTTGGAGGACGTTCCAGTGTATGAAGAGTTACAGTTCTGTGCCAGCATGCACACTGACCGAATCTACCTCTACGATGTGGTACAGTTGTCACTTTTACTTGTCTTTGACTAGTATTTCTCAATTATGCCACATACTGTATATTGTTGGCAAAAAACTTTCCTATTCAATGTTTAAACAGAATATGGCTACAGATATTGATAGAATAACGGATGGGGTAATTAATAGAAACAGGCAGAAAAAGAAAACCCTTAACTATGTCATGCAATGTATTCAGACTATGATTTATCCATATATTCTTAAACCTTACCTTTAAATAACATACAAGTATGAAATGCAGAATATATTCTTAAACGTGTTTATGTCTTATATCTTTTCATCTTCGACAGGATGACCAGCCTCTGAGTTGTAACTTCTCCGTGTTGGACGTGGAACAGAGGAACATGGACAGTCTGCCGCCGCTCCTGCATCAGCCTGGCAACTGGCGCCTGGTGCTCAGGATGGTGCAGGAATGGAACAGGTTAGGTCTAGGAAAAATGCTGTGTTTCCAGTTTCAATCCTGAAAAAAATTACAGTCAATAGGTAGTAATTTTGTCTCCCTTTTTCTTTTTTTTTTTTCATTTTGGCTGAAGTGATCCAATGATCCAATTTCAGGGAAACAGACCTCTGACCTTGCTTGCAATATGGGAGAGTGGAAGCTTGCAGTCACCTGTACAGCAGCCAAACGATGACAATGATGATCCAATAAATAATGTTAAACTGAAATGCATCAATACCAGGGCTGTCTCCAGAACCGGTTGCTTGTGGGGAAGGAACAAATATTTCCCCCAATTCTAATAATTTGCTTCTGAAAATAAATGCAATAAGGTTTCAGATCTCAGAAGATTCAGATGTCAGATCAAGAATTTATGGCCTTGCTACAAAATGAATAGGGTCAGTTGATTTTTCACAGCAGTGTATTGAAGAGAAACTGAATGGATCTTTATCAAGGGATGAAGAGATGTTCAATGCTTCTGTCTTTTCCAGGCTGAGTGAGCCCAAGAAGAGAGTCGTGCGGAGAAGCGGCCGTATGTTCATCAGTCCGTCCCTCCTGGCTGAGGAGCTCAGTCAGAGTCAGAGACGAAAGGCCGCCTGCAAGAACCAACGCTTCATGTCCAAGGTCAGTCACACTCACACACTATCCGGTTTAGTGTCTGTTGTTCCCCGGCTTTCGAGGATTAGACGAGCTTGCACAGTAGCCAGTGGATGGTTAACCTTATAAGCTTTATCAGTTCAGCGGATACGTGTATACTGTAAATGCATTTACTGTGACGGTGGTTCTATTTTTGCAGTGTCTTTGATAATTGTGACACTTTGAGTATGTGCTGTGTAGCTTGTCTCTCATACTGTGAAATAAAACCACTGCAAAAGTAAGTGTATTGACGGCTTTATATATTTACTGTACTTGTTTAGGAGGACTTCATGCAGAGAGCATTCAAAGTTGCTGAGAGGGAGGGTGGGACTGTTCAACTTGTGTCAAGGCAACGACGTCCCAGCAGCACGGTTACGAAGCCGGGGCAACTGCAAACTAGTTCTGACAAACCGGCTTCAGACAGTACAAGCAAACAAGAGTTCAATACAGCTGCTGCCAGCAGCAGTGATTCCTGTACAGCAGACTCAGCTGCAGAGGATAGCCGGCCGACGGCGCAGGAAGGGGACGAAACCAGGCTGTGTGGCCAGCTACAGGTGGTTGAATGGTTTATTGAATGAATGAATGGTTTCACTCACACTCACTCACTGTCCAGTTTATTGTCTGTTGTTCCCCAATGTGCTTGCATAGCAATACTGAGGCTTGATGGCAGCCCGCTACTGTATTTCTCATATACATCACAATAAACTCTACTTAATACACACATTGCTTGACCTGTCAGGTAAAGCACTTGTTATATTGTGACAATGAGATAAGTGAGATAAAACAATGAAAGAATTTGTGAAACGTGCTGAGAACTTACTGCAATATGCATGTATAATAGATGTATAAACACATCATATGCTACAGGTGGTTGACAGCGCTGGAAGGTCTCTCTGCCTCTGGTGTCAGAAACCGGTCAGTCAACAACAGTCCAGCCTCGCAGCAGACACAGAGGGCGCATCGTCGCACGTAAGGCCCTCCCGGTACTGCTCTACAGAGTGTAAGGAGGAGTACAGGATTCGGATGAAGGGAAGTCACCACTCACGGCAGCAGCTGAGGGACACAGAGTTTGGGGTTTGCCAGATCTGTGGGACCAACATGAGACAGATCTTCCAGCAGGTTAGGTCCTTTAGACTCTTGTGTTTAAGTCCCTATCACACAAACCGGACCTTCTCCCAGCCTTGCCCAGATTTAGGCCCAGTCAGACCAGATTAGGCCACACCTACCTTTATGTTTGAATCAAAACGAATTTGAGTCAACTTTGACCCCCTAACACACCCAAAAACTACTGACTTACTTCCTAATTGTTGGCTGGTGTTCTCGTGCCTTACAGCAATCCATGTCCGAACCTCCCAACCAATCAAGCCCTGAATGTTCAAGCGCAACGTTTTCCTGAAATCAACCCTTCTTGGTTTTCTGTTCATAATGTTTCAATCAGTGTTGTGTCAGTCCATTCTTTTCAGTTATCCTCCCATGTTTCCATTGCCTACCCCTCTTTCTTCCACATATGTCTGCAGGTGAAAGATCTGCCGATGTCTGAGCGCAAGGTTTTTCTGAAGACCACCCCGCTATCGTCCCTCCCCGCTGCACAGCTGAACAAGATCATCGCGGACCCGAAGGAGGGGCAGTTCTGGCACGCGGACCACATTGTGCCCGTGGCGGACGGCGGGGGACTCTGCTCGCTGGACAACTTCCGCACGCTCTGTGTGGCGTGTCACCGCAAGGTGAGGACCCTAATAAGGCTCTTTTTCCACTAGGATAAAATTGTCTGGATCGAGCCGAATAGCTTCGCTTTGATCCTGCTTCGAACTGGCTTTGAGCAGGATCGGGCAGGATAGAAGCTGGTTCAATGCAAATCAATTTGGCTTGATCCGGACAATTTTATCCTGGTGGGAATGGGGTCTTGACACATGGAATAATGATGTACGACCTCCAACCCCCCCTCACCCTTCTCGACCTTGGTGAAAAGCGGCCTGTTGACTGAACAAGTATTCTAGAATAAGGAAAGGTATTCATTCATTAATTCATTAATTCATTTATGCATTGAAGGTCACGACACAGCAGAACCGGGAGCGAAGGTCGGCACAGAAACAGGAGCGAAGGTCGCAGGACGGGTACAGGAGCATCATGGACTTCATCAAACGATAGGACAGAGCAGTCAGGAAGCAACCTTTACCAGGCTTCAGAAGCGGCAGGAAACGATTTGGAAATACTGTTGTCAATTTCTACTCATTCCAGTCGCATCTGAAGCCTGGTAGAGGCTAGTCAAGAAGTACACTGAGTGTAGTTTTACTCTCATAGAATTTAAGTGTTTTTCACTGACATGATGAAATGTGATATGAATAGGTGCTATACCAGGTAGTTGTTGATAAAAGACATTCAATTTACTAGTATTCATGAAAAGGAAACCAAAAGTACTTTTTCATCACTACTTTTATCCATTGGTCTATGAACAGCTTGATAATCGCTTTATACAGTGCCACAATTTCATAAGTCTTTTTTTATGTTATACAAATGTATGTTAAAATCTCCTATATGTCTCTATACACATTGAAGGTCATAGACAGGTTTTACACATGTAGAGTTCCACACTTAATCCTTAAAACAAAATGTTAATAAAAGTTTTACAACGAAAAAACATGATGTCCAATAAATTCCCATTATGATTTCTTGCTGAAATGTTCCAGCTAAAGCCACGTGACACGGTCATCTTCATCAGGCTCTTTTACTTCATTGATTGAGTCTCGCACAGAGCTGTCTAACCCTTTTGTAGCCTCACCAACGAAGCCAACGTCAACCTGGCTTTGGGTTATTTTAAATCTATCGCGCCCAGTCCAGAGATGATCTTTCTTGGCACGCAAGGCATCTTCATTTCCGACAACTGCCTCGATTTTCTTGCTCCGGGCGTCTTGGTCATTTTTGACGTTCCCAACGGCCCCAAAGTTGCGTTTGTGTGGATGGGCGTTTTGGATGTTTCCAGCCGCCCCAAAGTTGTGCCTGTGTGGACGGGGAGACTGTCTAGTTTCGGTCCTAGTGGGCAAACGCAAGTCCGTGTGGTAGGTACCTGCTACAGCAACAGCGTACGGCGTGATGACATAGTCGTTCTCCAGTTGATCGTCTCGGATGACTTCGTAATGATGACAGAGCGGGGGTTGGCCATCCACGGTTTCGTACGTGTGATGGGAGAACGGGTCATCACGATCGTGGTTCATATTGTCTTCCTGTCGCTTGCGCTCGCGTGCCGCTCTTAACGCGGTAACCAGAAAACAACCCAGTGCGAAAACCGATGATGTCAAGCACGTGGTGATGAGCAAGTCGTAAAAATTAGCGGTGCGTTGTTCTGAGTTTAGGATGACAAACGTTTCTTCTGTTCCTGATCTTTTCTTTGTCGACATGCCTAGTGAAGAGGGCGTTGCGTTAAGTATGTCATGAATGATCCTAAACGATGTCGTCTTGTCTACCGGTCCTTGCACATTGTGATGAGCTGTAATGTTTGTTCCGTCTGAGAGAAAGGACGCTGTACAAGATAGATCTTTACCATTCACCAGGAATTCACTGATGGTGACATACGAGAGCGTCTTGCTCACAAAGTTGCAATGTTCGGTAACGACCGTTGAATCATTGTCAGGGACTGATTTGGGATGGCAGCAGTTGAAACCACTTGGATTGAAGGAGAAAGATGTCGTGGCGTTTATGTCCCCAAGGTTGACTTGTATTCTCGTTCCAAACGATACGTTAGTGATGATTTTAGTGTCGTTCGGAAGAGTCCATTCAATCAGTTCGGTTGGTCCCTCTTCCCAACACACCTCACACCGGAAGGTTCGGCCATCATCCAACGCTGTTACGGTTGCTTTTGGAGTTGGGCACTGCATGGTCGCTTCCATGTCGCTTGTGAAGTTGCTCAGCTTGGTGCCTTCCAACTCTTTAGGATAACTGCAGGCCAACAGCCCGAAATCCGACTGAGCGTTGAAGAGCCGACCTGATCTTAGGAACCACCGAAGAGCGCACGTGCAGCGAATGGGGTTACCCTCTAGTATCAAGGTGATGCTTGGGAACGCCGGCAATGAGTACTCGAACCTGAACTGATACTCGTGTAGACTCGTGATCTGATTGTTGGAGAGACCAAGAAACTCCAAAAGAGGGGCATACATGAACGCCTCGGGTTCGATGTATTGGATTTGATTCTGTGCCAAGTCCACGCGACTGAGCAGTCTCGGTCTTGGTATTTCTATCGGAGGCCTAGGGAACCAGTCTGAGGTGACTACCTTTAGCTTGTTACCGGCAAGAAGCAGAATTCGGAGTCGGTACGGCGCATTGAAACTACCTGAAATAAGATGAAGCAATTTGGATAAATACCTGTTCAACTAGAGAGATTCTGTCAGTCGCTGACGGAAAGTAGTGGATGCTACTTAAAACGTCTGACAGTTTTCAAAACCTATCCAGTTGCTTGGGTGACAGTTTTCTTCGGTATCTCATTACCTGGATGTCCAACCTTCTATTTTCTTAAAGTCAAGGTAGACCAGTTCAGTGGCCTTGAACATGAATAAAACATAATCAAGAGGCAAATAAAAGAAAAAATAAACAAAAATTAAAGTAAGTACAGTAAACATAAGGAGCGAGGAGGGAAGAAGAAATAATGGAAAGAGGGACAAAAAACAGAAATATACTTGCAAAAAAAGTTGAACTTTATCCATACCTTTGTGTATGGTGTGAATTCTGTTGTACCGAAGGTCCAGGACCGTTAGCATGCAAAGCTGTCTGAAGTAACCTGGTTGGATGACGTGCAGCCTGTTCCACTGTAGCAGCAGGACCATCGTCCGACAGTCGCCATCCACCGAGCCGAACGCCCCGTCCTGTATGTAGGCTATGTGGTTGTGAGCCAGGTTAAGGCGGCCGTTGGGTTGGATCAGCCACCCCGTTCCGAGAAACGCCAGCTTGTTGCGTGTCAGGGACAGGCGCCGTAGGGAATGCAGCCCGGCAAACGTGCCCATCTCCAGACGGACAAGGTTTCCTGATGAGAAAAGGTGATCCTGTGGTTAGGGTTAAGATCTAAAGGATCGGGATTCGAATCCCAAGCAGACTCGCTTCCTAATGAGAAAAGCTAAGGTGGCCCTGTGGTTAGGATTTTAATCTAAAACTAGTAAAAGTTCAGGGTTCGAATCCCTAGCCTCTAATGTTGGGCCGGACATTGAGAATGACACTTTTTATCCATTTCCCCATTTGGCAATTTTTTTTCTACACTATATAGTACAGTAGAGGTATTATCACCATATAACTTTACAAAGATGTGCAAATAAAGGTTATAAGTGTAACAGATAGTTCGCTGTATTATAGCCATGCAGGTGCTGTGTGTTATACTAGTAGCTTCGCGTTTGTGCCTGCGAAGCCGGTGTGTTGTACGGGCTGTACAGATACGGATTGTTTGGATCACTTGGGTACCTCACCTGGTTCTATGTAGAGATTTTCCAGATGTTTCAGATGTCCCACGTCAGACGAGGACAGGGTGGCCAGGTGGTAACTTCGGAGCCACAGAGAGGACGTCTTTTCCACGGACGAGCACGTTGGGATGACGTCCCGACCCCCGCCATAAAACGGCACGGCATCGCAGACGACACACTGCGGAGAAAAGGAGGCTAGCGCCCCGTTGTTGTGCACGCTGGCACTTTCGTCCATGCTACAACCCGAATAAAGAGCTCGACAATTTGGACAAAGGTTGGGAATGCATGAAACGCACCTCAGTGCAATCAAAAGAGGAACCAGGGAGAAAAGTTTGGCCATTTTCGTCTGTTTTCCGAAAAGACGAAACGAAAGTAGCTCCTATCTTTCAACGGTGTCGCAAACCACACCAGCACGTGTGGTCCAAGTGAGACGTGTACAATTCGGCCACGCTATATGTGTATTCATCGTCCATCTTTAATGATTTATTCATACAATTTCCGCAATTTCTGTTCCACGTACGCAGCCTTTGGGCATTTGTCGGGATTTGATTTCATGAACATATTGAACAATATCAAAACCTAACGTTGCTTTAGATGTATAAGTATGATATTCCCTAAATTGTGCTCAACTTCGAATGAAATACATTAAACCTTATATATTTTCTTACGCATTTATTGAAATGACCTAAAAATGAACCAATTTTGACGTGAAAGCTACTTGACACGCAGTTTACATAACATGGTCGTCTATGTCGGTCGAGTTGAGTAAATTTTCCTGTTTTTTGTACGTCGTTGTCCTATTTACATTCATGCATACAAATTTGTATTGTGTAAAAGAAAAACATTTAACAGAAAACCATCGTAGATCCATCCATCAGGAGGTAGATTTTTTTTTTACATTTTTACTGATTGCTTAATTAAAAGCCATGACTTAATTGAGCGGTGTCAAGTGGACACATGTCTTACTAACCGGTATAGACAATTGCTAGACAATTTGAATTGTACTAGCACAATTGCATGAATATACACTATTTTCAGAAAGCACGTGTTGGCAGCATGCATACATCATAACATGACTAAAAGCTAGCCTCGATGACGGCCCCGGTATAGCAAGAAGAGAACAGTAACGTTACATAATGCGTGTACAGTGAGCCTACTACGGTGCCTGCGTCGGAGGCTAGAGCCGGACAACACTGCGGATGGAATTCGAAGCGGATGAAAAGAGTAGAAATTGTAATCTCCTGTCATCCGGGCGGTTTTTCCTTTGTCCGTAGACAGTTATGTACCGCCCCGGGCCGAGGATGATTGCGATCGGTCGGAGCGGATGTAAGGATTTCTAGTTCTAACATCCGGCAAATGTGTAGCCTTCCTTCCGTGTGCTACTTTAATTTCTTTGCGAAATGTGAAGGTTACATATTTGAGGGTCTGGATGGGGGCATCAAGGCAACGCTTCACGGTAATTTAGGAGGGCTTCCAACGCTCCAAGGTACTAGTAAACAGTTCTTGAGCAAGGCCTTGGGTGATTTTTTCGGGAAAAATCTGCAGCAACTAGCACTTGCTTCGAGCATCCTTCCTCAATGGTTTTATGTTTCATTTTTGGGGCCATTTGAGAGACACTAACTCCCCCTATAACCTCCTTCTTCCTTGCACTAACTAGCCTGAATGAAAAGAAAACGAACTAGTAGAATGTTTCTGTTTTAGGTTATTCTTTGATTTTTCCCAGTCTATTCTTGTGCAAAATACATCTTCGGTATTTTGCTCGTGTATTTCGCCCCAACAAGTTGTTAGGACGATTAGACTTGCTATAAGTCATTTGTTATAACTAGACAACATCTGGGTCATCAGGTTTCTTTTCTTTCTATTTCCTGGTCCTTTCGGGAGGCATTTCAGTATCATCATCAGCATGGCGGGTGAGTACAAAAAAATGTTTCCTTTGTCTCGTCTTTTTCTTTGTCCTTCCATTTTCCAATGCTAAAAGTTACAATTTTGTTCGTAGCAGAGACTTTAACTTTTATATGATCTTTATCGTCCTTGTTCATAACAATAACTTTGCTAATATAGTGGCTATGTACTGGTATAAACATCAAGTCAAACAGAAGCTAGAAGTTCTGTCTGACGATGAGTTTTCCCTGGTTTTCAACTAATAACAGCGCTACAATTACAAGTTAGATATAGTATTGATAGGTTAGATATCATATTTTCTTTTCTTTAGATACAGAACTACAGTCTGGAGTTTCCAAAGCTGCTAAGAAGAACAAGAAAAGGAGAAACAACAAGAAACCGGCACAAAGCGAGGGCCGCGTGTCAGACTGGGGTGACAGCACACCACATGACGACCCTCTGGAAACACTGAAAGAGAAACTGGCTGAAGCAAAGGCGAAACAGGACCATCCTCTAGCCTCCAAACTCAGACAACAGATATGGCTTCTACAGGACGACGCAGCTGGTGTGAGGTAACTAAGCATGATTATACATGTGTATAAATCTTTCCCATAATTCTCAGTACATTTGTATTAGTATTAGTAGTAATAAGTACTAGTATCATACATGTAGAAGTCATTTAACTTAACGTTTACATCTGATACATGTAGAAAACATCCAACTATTAAGTTTTATTTTACTACAAGGTGTAGCAAGAGATTGTGTAGCACAGTCTTCTTTTTTTATTACCGAGTGTTTGTTTTCAAGAAACCATTTCTCTCTCTCTCTCTGACATAGTGGATAGCATTGCAAGCTAGTAAATCCATTCAACTTTAGACTTCATGACTCCAAAGCCTATTAGTATAATATGATATAACATGTAACATTAATACATCTAATTGTAATCCAACATCCATTCCTGACAAGTCTCTACTTACCTTCCCAGGCCAGAACTAGACCCACAGATCCTTGCCTCTCTGGACACAAATCTGCCCAAGAAAGCGGAGAAGAAGGTTGAAGTAGAAGAAAAGCCAGTCTCGAGCTCGGCCGGTTCCTCGGTAGACAAGCAGCTGAAAACCCTCAGGAAAAAGTTACAACAGATCGAGAAACTGAAGCAAAGGAAGGCTGGTGGGGAGAAACTAGAAGCAAATCAGGTTTGTGCCTCTTTCTTCTTTCTGTAAATGCATTTATCTGAATTGATTGGTATTATTTGGCAGTAGGAGGCCAAAGGAAAAGGAAGTTTTAGATGCATTTTGAGCTCGGGGATGAAACAAGTGTGTACTCCCAGAACTAGTACTACATGTATATAAAATACTTGTGCCGATATATGTTTATATACGATGTTAAATTCATGTATTTTCAGTGTTATAATTTTGTGAGATGTCAGTGAGCTTGCAAAAACTTTAATGGTAATATACCATTTCTGCATTTGCAACAACTGTGAAGTTATTGTAACAGTATTAAAATGGTGTCATGTTATTTTCCAGATGGCTAAAGTGGAGAAAGAACAAGAAGTCCGAGATGAGATAGAGGAGATTGAGCTCCTGATGAGGCAGGCAGCACTGGGACTGCTGTGATGGGGAGGCCTGGATAAAGCCCTTTCCTCACTAAGGACCTTTTACTACTAAGGACCTTTTTGTACTAAGGCCCTTTTTCGACTAGGATAAAATTGTCCGTATCGACCCAAATAGAGTGCTTTTGGCGACCGGCTTTGATCTGGTCAACTTTATCTCAGCAATACCCAGCGAGATGGATTGTTTCTGAGCCATGCTAAGCCGAACTGAGCTGGATTGGGAGCGTTCACACCGGGGTAAAGTTGACAGGATCGAAGCCAGTCACCATTCCCCGCTGCCGCCAATCTATTCAGCTTGATCTGGACATTTTTATCCTAGTACAAAAAGGGCCTAGTAGGATGCAATAATAAATACCAAATGGTAACACCAGTGCCAAATCTGAGATACATTCCTCTGTTTGCCTGGAATAGATTGAAGTGAAATGACAATGCCTAACTCTACTCACATTTTGTTGCATTACAATCGTACAAACTTATGGTGAGGAGGCACCTTCTGAATACTAAAGGCTGAATAGCGAAGGAAGTAGTGTAGTCCAAGCACCCAAATATCCAATAATACACTTGTGTATTTTTCTAATGCCCCCCTTTCAAATACATTAACCTCACTAATATTGAAGATAATATTCTTAAAGCCAACATTACAAATATGCAAGTTTTAGATGTCAGCTTTAGTTTCTTTTGTAACTAAATGTTTCATAAATAGACTTGACAACTCAAGGACACAACAGCAAAAATAGGCAATATCTTACTATTTTATTACAACTCAGTCATAGTCATACAGAGTGTGTATGCTTGGCCCTTTTGCCATGGGCAGGCCTCTGAATTCTTTGATATGTCTCAAAAATTAACACTGTAACATCAAGTGTAAGCAGCAAAAGCAAGATACACCTGTACAAGTATATATCATTCCTTTTATACGTATCTTGTGCTTAGTTTATGATATGAGAATTATGATATGTGGCACTGAATATGATATGTAACACGTAAACTTTTTTCATTAAAAATATTTGGAGGTAACATAGTACTAGTATATAAAATCTCTGAGTCTGACTAGTACTATTATTAATCAAATATTTACAAACACTGATTCATTACAACTATAAAATTGCAGCATTTTTCTAACATTCCAGAAACTGGATGAAATTTGAAGAACAAAACTACAAAGGACGTAATTTACACAACAGTTTCCATAGAAAAATAGACTAAGTATAGTCCTATTTGTAGTCACAACATTACTAAACATATAAATGATATGTACACTTGTGCGGACTTCTTTCATTGATGAATGTTTTCCACAGCATCAACTTGTCCACTGGATATGTTCGTTATGACACAGGAAATGGCCACACGGGGGGAATTCAGGAAGCTGAGAATCACATGAGGGACCCTCCAGTACTTCCTGGTAGTCTGTGAAATATCTTATTTCTTGTTTGGTATAGGGTCTGTATAGCCTGGGTACCATCAACTGTTGGCCAGTAGCAACTACAGGAACAGGTATAAACTAACCAGGATGGTACCCAGGCTTGGGTCTGTGTGCCAGAAAGGTGATGAAGTACATGTAAGTACAGTAAATCTTTGCTGTTAGTAGTGTTGACAAGAAATCAGTCGTCTTCGTAGAGTAGTTTTGAGATAGAAGCCGTGCTGGTCATGAAGACATTGTGACAATGTGGAGAGCAGGCCACAAACAGGAAGGGGAGTTTCCTGATGCCGAAGATCTTGGAGCAGGGCCTGATGAGGCGGATACCTGGACCGTACAGGGGACCGTGGCAACAGTCACACACTCCGTCAGTACTGGGGAGGGGAAAGGGTGACATTTATTAACTAGAAAGTTAACATTAAGTATTGATAATCTTTCATCACAGTACAAAACACTGGTATGAACTAGCTTCAAAAGCAGTCTCAAGAATGCCATGGAAGCATTTATGTATACTCTGTGTTGGTAGTAATCATAGTAAAATGTACAATGCTGAACTTTATTCCAACACAAAGAGTATGCAAGGATTAAATTTTCAACGACCACTGTAGCCTTCATCAAGATAAGTAATGACCAATCACTTGGCAAAGCTGGTGTGTTACACCGAAGGGTGGTTATACAGGCTATACCAATACAGATACTTCCGAACATCTAAAAAATGACCTTTACTTTTGACCTTGACCTTACAAAAACTCACCTGTCCAGGATGCTTTGTGCGGTAACGGGCAGGTTACGGTATCTGCGGTACAGGTCATCCTTCATAAGCACCACCGAGCACATGTCAATCAAACGCTGTGAGCCAATCAGAACACCTCTTAGTAGGTAATTCATTATGAGTACCAAAACAGCAAATCATTTTACAAGTTGAGAGTTCACAAAAGTACATGTAAGCAGTAGTTGCTACCAGTAAACAACATTTTCAATCATTTTCTTCAATGCATGAAATGTTGATGTTATGCTGAAGGGTGGTTACACCAGCTATACAGATACAGAAGCTACGTAGTGTGTTATGTCAAATAGCAGTTATAACAGCTATGTAGATACAGATACAGAAGCTGGTGTGTTACACCAAAGGACAGTTATACTGGCTACACAGACACAGATACAGAAGTCATTGCAAACTCTGAACCCCAAATAATGACAACAGTTTCTACCTGAGGCATTTTCTCAGCATTTTCCTTCCACAGCAGAGGGTGCATGAAGTTGTTCTTGACCTTGAGATGCTTGAGACGGCGCAGTTTCAGGGCACCACAGGGCATGGCTGCCAACTGGTTACCCTCCAGGTTCAGGTCATACAGTTTCCTGCAAGAAAAATGGATCCAAACTTAACATTGCATATATTCATTTCTAGTTGTTATGTCAACCAAGGGCCTAGGAGAGTGAACTTTTGTTAGGATCTGTCTGTATGTTTCTGAAGGAAGTGAAGTCTGCCATCCCTGATTTTGTCCATGGATTGTAAGCGCCGCAAAGCATAAGGAGTAAGGGGGTGATAAAAACTGTCATATAAAGCCGATAGATCTATCTAGTATAGTATGGGCCCATTCACATGTGATCTGAGAGCAATACTTGAGATAGTCACATGCTTGTGTCCTGCAAAATTAAGCTGTCTTAGATAGAAAAGGCTGTCTAAGATCCTTATTGGCAGTTGGTTTTATCACAGCTTGCTTCAAAATTCTACAAATCAAAATTGTACCATAGCCTGCGATGAATATGACCGCAGCATAAAGCTCTGTAAACCCATACTTACTGCAGTCTCCTGACATCATTTGGTAGGAAGGAGATCCTGTTGTAGGACAGGTCCACATACTGGAGGTCTGTCAGGGTGTAGAAACTAGGAGAAAAAAACAGTAATTAAGCCTCAAAACTTTTGCCACACATTCACAACATAGCAAATACATGTATGTGTTTTCAATGTGTACTGTACTGCTGAATCATTTTTAACCGCATATTTAAACCCAAGAGCACAACATCAGTGGCACGGCAGGATTTGAACCCAGGACCACTTGGTTCTGAGTCAAACACCGCCATTACGCCACATGACACCATCAATGAAAATACATACAGATGAAATAAAGATGAGCAATTGTAAATACATACCTGAGAGGGAGGCTTGTCACCATGCAGTAGGACAGGACAAATGTTCGCAGCTTCCTCAACTTGTAAATACCTGGATGGATAACAAATGAGTGTTTTGAATCTTCTTGCAGTACTTTTAAATATGGTTTACTTACATGGCTGTATGCATCAGCAGTAACAATGGGGCAGTACATACAAGTCACTTGTGATTCAATTGTACCTGTAGATTAGTACATTTCTTCTGAAAACAGCAATCCTGCACAGATCAATTAGCTCATATCACTACCTTCTTTGGTGTTTTTCCCTTCTCTTTGGAAAGAAATAGGTGTATTCAACAGGACAATAGGTCACAGAAAAATCAATTTTTGTCACATCTCACCTTGTGGGATCTCATTGATGGGGTTATTCCTCATCTTCAGTATCTCCAGATTCTTCAGGAGCAAAACTGCTGAGGGGAATGACTGGAGAGGAAAATACATGGACATTAGACAGATATTTTAATGGTGAGAATTTCAGATACACATACAGAAGGTCATAACTATCTTGCACACATGTACTTAAAATGCTAAATGTACAAGTGGCCAGGCTAGTGGACACAAGATCGAATAGTCATGGGTTCCATTCCTTGCAGACATTGTGACCTTGGGAAAGACCCTTAACATGACTTTCCTCCCTCCACCCAGGTGTAAAACGGGTACCTGACTTCGGTAGGTAAGGTAAAAGGCAGTGGAAGGGGAGGGATGTGCTTTGCCTTCCATTACCGTGCCCTAGACACAGTGGATCAACAACCCACTGCCCCTACATCCTCAAAAAGGCTATGGGACTTTATCTTTACATAAAGTCTACTCACATGGAAGTCGTTGAAGGACAAGTTGAGGTAGACCAGTGTGTTGGTGATGGGTGCAATGTCCGGGAGTTGGTTGACAAAGTGGGCCTGAATGGGTACAAAACAAAAGACAGATCAGAATTATCATTCGGCTGTGTTTCATTTGCATTAGATAAGCTGGAAATTGTTACATGTTCATACTTACTAAACCTCGTTGGATTGTTAAGTTGGTAATAAACTGAATAACAGTTACATTTAGAGTGAGTAGTAACTACTGTTATGATCTGCCAAAAAGCAACTGGATATGATTATGGAAACGGTCAGACATTTCAGGTAGCATCCACTACCTTTTGTCAGTGACACTAAGAGACTGCAGGAGAAATGCAGGTTTATGAACACAAACTATTGTTAGGATCCTACCTTGATGCTAAGAACATGTCCACCGTTGACAATAGCATCCAGCACTGCCAGCTCTGTAGGGGAGATGGTGTCATCCTCTCCCTGTGCCTCTGTACAGGCAAACACAATCACAGGAGTTGTCACATCATTTCAATTCACTAAATTTCATTCTTCGTTTCATTTAAACTTTATTTAGCAAAACATACTGCCCCTTGGCATTTTTCAATGGGCCCTGCTAGGACAACAAGGGATCGTATTCAAGCTTCACAGACATCAGAATTTCAAAATCAAGCTATGCAACAACAGCAACAATGCAATTAAACATACCAAAAGGAGAGCCGCTCCTCCGACTGCCCATGAAGTACTTGTTTGTGACTGTGTTGAACAGAGCATCAGCCTCGGGGTACTCAGAAACCAACCTGAGGTAGAAAATGAAGAAAAGCATTACATGGAGTACAGAGTTACTACATGTTCCATGTTCCTCAGATGAAACCAAAATTTCAAGAAACTTTCAGGAATGATAAAATAAGTACAAAGTATTACAAAACAGATTTAAAAAATACCAAAGTGCAGTCAACTGTCTTGCGTTAATGTTAATGTCACAGCACAACAATTTTGTACTGGTTAGAATATGTGTTAAGCATAAATTGTTAAATGTGACAGTAATGTGACTGAATATTCGTTTATCTATTAGTAAGTAACTTTTTTCTCATTAGCAACACTGCAGTCCACAGTTGTTAGGTGAATTCAAAAAGGTTATCAAAATACTCCACACTTGTGTTCCTGTACAAAAAGAATGGATTAGAATAGTGATAGGTGTTTTAAGACAAAGTGTATTTTCTCTGCAACCTGTGAAAGAAATAAACAATAATTCATGATTCTATTGAAGAAGGATATTAGTTATAGAGGTAGCTTAGCTTAACAATATTTTTGTTAATATGGCTTTAATGTCTAGCTGACTGCTCCATAATGAAGTCTCCTTCCCGGTTTCTGCACCTAATATGTAAAGTAAAATGTAAGATGTTATAACAGATATTGATTAGTTTCACTCAGTGATCTGGAAAAGTGAGATACAAGAAGTAATAGTACAAGGGGCATTACAAGGAATGTATGGCTTGTGAGGTCCAGTGTTAAACGTTAGTCTCAGCGCACACTGGTCACACCCTGCACGACTTACTGCTGCCTAACTGCCTCTAACACCTCTTTTTCTCTTCTCGAGAGCCGTCCTGGCGTCTTTGGAGTTCCCTTAGCTGTTCCTGTCGCAGTGCCCCGTTTGCTGGGCTCTTCTGATATCTTTGGCGGGATTTTTTCTTCCACCGTTTCTGTCGTGACGGTTTCTTCCTCGAAAGTTGCAGTCATAGGCATGGACATCTCTGTTGGTGGGATGCTTGCCCTCTCACTTGCTATAGGGGGTAGCGTTGGGTACCCCTCTAGTAATAACCCCCTTGCAGGGTCCTTAACCTTCTCAGGATGGGAGGGTAGCAAGCCAGGGGCCGTTGATGGTAGGGGGACCGATTTGACTGTATCAGGGGGTCTGACAGGGGCTGTACTGGGCATCCTTGAGTACAGAGCCCTCTGTGCCACAAGTGCGGCAGTAGGAGGTGTGTTCAGCTGTGGCATGGAGGCCTGGGTGGTGGTGTACGGGGTTAGGTAGTCTGTAGGCTCTGCGGTAGGTGGTGCAGACAGCGGTAGGTCGGTGCTTCCAGCGGAGGTGGGGAGGGCCGTGCTTGGGGTGTCCGGGTGGTACAACATGAGCTCTGCCGTTCCGGGTGGCTCACTGGGAGTCGCGGCGTCGTGGAAGGGGGTGGGGGATGCCGTCGTAGGGGGTAAGGCTGTGCTGGGGTATCTGGAGAGCTGCTTGGACACGGGTGCAGTGGAGGGTGTGGATGGGGGTGCTGCGGTGGGGGGTGCTGTGAGGAACACCCCGCGACTGACGGTGTGGACAGGAAGGTTAATGTGAGTGACAATGGATATGTGATGACTTACTTAACCAACACTCACGACAATGACAAAAATACATGAACAACACAAGGACATTGTTAGCTGGAACAGTTTCTGAAGACATCTTTTCCTTACGATTCTGTATCATCACCACATACATGACACTGGTATCCTTAGAACATATAGTCTTACAGTACATTGTATTTCTATGACAACAGTACTTGCAAGTTTTCAGATGGTGTGTGGAGGGGGTCTCCTAAATGTAGTGTAATGCCATAACAACAGTAATTATGACAATAGTACCTATGACAAAAAAAATTACTAGTATGACAACAATAACTATGACAACAGTAGCCATGACAACAGTAACCATGACAACAGTAACCATGACAACCGTACCTGTGAGTTTTCTGGTGCAGCAGAGGTCCTGAGCTGACCCGTGTCTCCAGCTCCTCCTCCTCATCTTCACTCTCCATCGTGGCTCTCAGCAGCTTCATGGAGTCACTGATGATGGCTGCCATTTCTGGTGTGGATCATGGACGCAAATCATTAATACAATCACATACCCAACATGCCCAACCCTGTCTAATCTCATTATCCTTTCAGGTAAACATTACATATTTAAATATCGCCAGAAAAGGTTAGACTTACAAGGTTTCATTTCTTACATTTCTTACTTTCAAAAATTGGAATACATAATTGCAAAAAGACAAGATAAGATTCAGAAACATATTGGGAAGTGGGGTAAACTTTATAGTGTCCTTTCAGCTTAGTTTCTTTAATAGTTTGTGATTTCTAGGGTTCCTCATCACTTATATTATTTTCTTTTAATGATCATACACCATTGTCTCCTGATTTTGTGTTTTACTTTTGTGGTTTACACATGTGTTTCTTTATTTTGTATACATGCCATACTTTCTGTCCAATATATATGTGAAAATATCAATAAAAAGAAGGAGTTAAAAAAAAAAAATACAATCACATACTAATGTTTTGTGTACAAGAGCCTTAGCCTTGTTGTGTATTCTTGTTTCAGCAATTCACAATTTTCATCCAACACTGAGAAACAGATGTTAGTTTCATCATCATATGCCTTTTCTCCATCACAATTTTTTGCCATTTATATGTACTACCCCGGTATGATATGAAAGAAGTTTACAACATAGATAAAGATAGTCTGATATACAATGATCTCTGTGTTCAGTCATTTGTTCCTTGCTGAACACTTTGTTTTCACAATGAAGGCAATTTTTGGGGAGCCAAACTTTGTTTTCTATGCAGGCTCTGGTGCCCACAGGATGTCATCAACATATTATTTAAAATCAAGTCAGTATGACCTTTAGCCTAGATACTCACCAATCATGAGCTGTCTCTGTGGGATTCTGTGTTTGAACTCAGGCACTCCAACATCCTCCCCACGGACCTCTGTAGTGTTGACTTCCTCCTGTCTCGGTGAAAACTCTTCACTTAACATCTTAATCATCTTATTATAGTTCTGTTTCGACAACGCTGCTCTCTGCAGCTCTCTCCTGGGCATTGTTGGCACCTGAGACATGTCCACATGAAAGTCATCTAGGGTAAAATCCGGCGGCTTCTTCTCCAAGATGTTTTCTTCTCGGAATAAGTCCTTCAGCGAGACGGGAGGGGGTCTTCTGGGTGACCGGTGGGGGAAGAAGTCTGGCCCGCGTGGCTTGTACGGCAGGAGGAGGCTCTGTTTCAGCAGGAACCCTGACGTGTCGCTGCGCTGCTTCTCCGCCTTCTGTGCCACCATGAACTTACTGTCAATGGTGGGTACCTGTTACATGAAGTAAGAGTTAGTACTAGTAGCACCCCTCTGCTCTTTGTATTAGTATAGGCCATGAATATTAAGAAGCAAGGCTCCAAGAGACTCCCCCCTTTCCCATCTGGCCGGGGCTGAGCACACTCGCTATACAGGATAATACTAATAGTATATACAATAAACAACACCATATAGAAAAAAGCAGCTGTGAAATGCAGTGAATTTGTATCTGTATAGCCGGTATAACTGCCCTTTGGTGTAACACACCAGCTTCACAGGCACGCGGCTCGGCGGCAGCTGGCTACATTACACCAAATGACTAATGTTACACCTATAACCCTTGAACATCTTACTCTAATGAACATTGTTTAAAGCTATCTAATGATGTCTATATATATCTGTCTGGTTGTCCTGACCAAAGAACATACAACGTAACATTACCGGGGACTGGAGGCCATCCCGTGGTGCCTCGAGCTGAGACAGCTGCATGCCGGACGCCAGGCTGGGCACCACGCTGGGTAGGCTGGGGACGGGGGACAGGCGCAGGGGGTGGGGAGGGGTGTGCACACGGTAGATGTCAGGGCTGGGGCTGGGTGAGATCATCGGCACCTAAAACATGAGGGATAAGGTAAGTTCTACTATAACAATTTCTTTAACCTTCTCCCTGCTAAGATTGCTGAGAAGTAAGATAGCCATTTGGCTAAGATAGATTTTCTTTTACAGAGAACAAGGACATTATACTATGTGTATAATGTCCTTGCAGAGAACAATGTCAAAGTGTTACCAAGTAAAGCAGGGATGAAATTTGTAACATGAAGTACATCTTAACAGGAAAATGGCAATGACACTGGTTAAGGATAAACTTGTTAATTACAACGAATTACAAGGAATAAATACAAGGAATTTGGGAAATGTAATTAGCTTTAAACCTTTTAAATTCTATTAGTATTTCTTTGAATGTTTTATATAAATATGCTGAGCAGATTTCCCAAATCACCAACAATTTTGAAGACACCGGTGATGTTCAGTTTCTTCTGTTAATTTACCAGTATACCTCTGAATCTGATATCAATAGCTGTGGGACCAACAAATTATATTCTGATAAGGTTATACATGTATAAGCTTAAACTATAAGATCAGATAACATAGTCTTCTTCTTCTTCCCTTGATGCCCACAATCGAGGCGTCGATTATTCTGGCATTTCAGGTCAGAGGTAGAGTCTGATAGGATTATTACTTACCGATGGCTGTTGCCGCTCCTTGGGTGGGAGCGGCCTCCTTAGCAGAGTTCCCGGCATTGCTTATGTTATTTTCTTGGCTGTCATAAAATCTGAAAACAGCAAAGTATTGGTTACGAAAATGGCAAGATCTAGATGTTTCGCATGGCAACAACTCGAAGTTAAACTTTTTACAAAACCCCGAATTCAATCGCAAATAAAAAGGGATCGGTACACCGTGTTTCGCACCAGCTTCTTGTACGCTTACTTTTATATATCATGTATTCTATGAAAAAGTTGTTAGTCTCATCACGTATGATTTTGGGGAGAAAATTGAGGAGAAACACGACAACTTACCAAAATGTTCTTCTCCAGTCAGCCATTTTGTATTGTTTTGGCAACTACAGATTACCCACAATGCTCATCGAGCCGTTGCCTCGTTGTGGCATTCAAGACAAGACCCCTCACCCTTCCAAAATTTGAACATTGTCATTTATTACTCTACAAAAGTTTGTCTATATTTTGTCATTTTTATATACTTAATTCTAAATACTTAAATTCATATTAGCATATTTTTATTATCAAAATCAGTATTTACTGAATTTAAGGAGATGACAATGAAATGTTATAACTTTCTTTTCTTGCTGACTATATGAGTATGTATGTTTTCTGTAGTGTATGGGGCCTTGTCACCTTCATCTCGATCGTTCCAGCAAAAATGGCGTCGCGAGCCGCAGCGAAACAGACCGGTGGCGTGTTCCGGATGCTGCAGAAGTGGTACTACGAGCGGGCGGGCTTCAACCAGATCGGGCTGCTGAGAGACGACACCCTCCGCGAGACCGACGACGTGAAAGAAGCGGTGAAGCGGCTTCCCGAGGACGTGTACAACGCCAGAGCTTTCCGTATCAAACGGGCGCTCGACCTTGACATGAAGAAACAGGTAACACTTTTTGATCTATCGTAGACCCTACAAAATTATCTTTAAAAACGAAAGTAAATATGTTTTACTGTGTAAAAGACACAGGTATATGTTAGCACGTTAGGTTTTTAAAATCTAAGTTTTGGATGCCTTTTATGGTAGTTACATGAAGGGCACTGCGGTACGACAATGCCGCCCCCCTCCCCACCCTGTGTGCTACACATGGGAATCGTGGACTGCAAGTTACTGTGGAAGAAAAAAGTAGCAAAATTAGATTCAGATACAGCAGCAAGGGCACTATATCATGTCCAAACCTAGAACAGTTGTATTTACAAGTGGATTGGAACTCCATAAAATATGTGAGGAAGTACATGTAGTTTCACATCACATTCACAGTGGACTTTGTAAAGTTGGGATATAATTTACCTGAACATGGTTCAATCCTGAACAAGGTACCAAACCCGTTTTTTTAGTAGGATTTTTTTTACTCTGTAGGGAAAAATACATTTGTACAGAACAGGTTTTCATTTGGAGAAAGGACTTGTAACAATTTTACCATAAACTGTCAAACCATTTAAACAGTGATTGCTTCAAACTAATCCATCAAATCTCTTCTGTCTTTTCTTCCAGATTCTCCCCAAGGACCAGTGGACGAAGTTTGAGGAGGATGTTCGGTACCTACAGCCTTACCTGGACGAGGTTTGGAAGGAGAAGAAAGAGAAGCAAGAATGGGACAGTCGCTATTGATGGATGATTCAGAGATCATCTATCTCAACAACTAGGACTATAGCTATGAAGTTCCAACTATTTTTACTGTGCTGAAGGACTAAGGACACTTAGTCTTGTTCAACCAGTCAGACAAAAAGTTACAGAAATTCTTAGATTTTATTCACAAAGGAAATGCAAATTTAATCACACCGCTACCAGTTCATCACATTGAAGCAGAGCTGAACAAATAAACAATCTACAATTCTACATCACCAAGAGAACATGAGGTCTCAAATACAGCTGGAATCTATGACTTGCATGGATCCTGTTCAAGTGTTTGTAGTACACATGCATATGAATTTTGGATATCTCATTGTATGGTTGCAGTATTTAAACGGATGAGCATATTAAAAGTTGAGGATTCAGTTGTTAAGGTACATCAAAATTATTACATTAAAATATGTTCAACTCCAAGCACTACTTCCATATTTTTGTCTACAGGTAACTCTTATGAGCTAGGATGTTCACTACAAAATGTATAATATTACAATAACTTAATACAAATGTATAGACATTGTCTATACATTTGTATTAAGTTATTGTAATATTATACATTTTGTAGTGAACATCCTAGCTCATAAGAGTTACCTGTAGACAAAGTCACATTACATGTAGTATTACAGTACAACTCAAAGGCAAGCAAATCAAACTATTTTCTAATGTGTAAACCACTCTTTTACCACTAAAATACGATACAACCTCTAAGAGTACAACAAAACATAAATATTGACATGTCAGACCTACTAGTAACATCCTCTACTGGTGATATAATTCAAGACTAGACATTGCACAAAAAACAACTCAGAAACATCTGCCATAATAGCTTGTTTGTCATAATTAGAATATTAGGGTTTTCTTTTACACAACCAGTAATGTTGAGTTAGTTTGTTAAACACAAAGTGTAATACTAATACCAAAAATTTTATGTAAAATCTGCTCTGCACTATTATGTGGCACATAATAGTGCAGAGCAGAATTTACATCAAAACAGTGCTGAGATATTTCAGTAGACACTTCTACTGACTTATTTCTTCAACAGGCAGAAAATAATTTATGCATTAGGATTTTCCACATACATGTGTCGTGAAAGGCATTTTCTAAAGCCATCGTGCCAAGAAGCGCTCATGTGCACCTTAGTGCACCCAAAATTGGAGCTGTGCACCCAATTATTTTCTGTGGGTGCACCAGTGCACCCAAATATTTTTGTAGGTTTGGGTATGTAAAGATGTTAAATGTATACTACTGTAGTGATACAGCATATTGTTGACATCTAAGTGTCAGACAAACAAGAAAATCCTTGTTGCAGTATTTTTCTTTATAAATGAAACATAATTAGTTTTTGCTGAAATTCTATTTAATGCACCAAAACAACAACCCAATTTTTCGTTTTTAAGTTGGGTGCACCTATTCCCAGAAATGAATTTTGAGCCCTGATAACAATTGAATGTACATGTAACTTGTAAGTACAAATCATTGAGACCTTGTAGCAGGCTTTTAGCTAGGATTTTTTTGTTGGGCGTCCATTTTTTGCATTGTATGCTATGCTCCGCAAAGATGCACGGTGCACAAGCTTTTTTGAAAGTCAAAATGCTCTCAAACACTACTTTTTGCATTTTGAGTTACAAATTTTGAGGAATTTGAGTTTTTGTCCTTCAGTAAACCATTTTTGTATTTATAGTAAGGCTGAAGAGAGGCATAGGTGCATGGCAGGGGTTGGGAGTGGAAAAAAACAGGGCGTCTTTAGGGTGTCCTACCAAAAAGTAGGGCGTCCAATTTCTTAGTATTTTCAGTACAGGGCGTCCAAAAGACACCCTGGACACCCCCTAGCTAAAAGCCTGCCTTGTAGCATGGTGATTGGCATTTACACAGAGACTCAGGGATAGCAGATGAGTTTCCCCAGGGTGTGATAGCCTTCTTCTTTGAGCTCACCATGTCCACTGGTATCCCCGAACCTGAGCTGGCTGACTGGCAGGTCATCCTTGTGGGCCAGGAACCCAAAATCCTCACGCCATCTCAAATCATTGGCATCACAGTTGCATTTATAACCACGGCATTTGCCTGTGGTTCAGAGAAAGAACAACGGGACGATGAGAAGATTTTGATTTGCTGGTTTTGAAGAAAAATAGCATATCAGGACACAGAAACTGTATAAAATTGTACTGTAACATACAATTGTACAATAGTACAATAATAAAGCTGTATAAAATATGCTATCTTTGAAATGTGGACACAAAAAATCTGCTTATTGCTATAATATAAGATACCCCAAAGTGCCTAACTAGGTTGATGCCTCATATAAGTTACATGAAGGACATATAATGTCCTTGGTTACACTATATACATATAGTATAATGTGTATACAATATGTCCTTCAAATGTCCTTCAGGTCACAACTAGAAAGGTATACGTAACATCTGCAAAGCAGATGCATAATGCAATACCTTCACAATTGGTCTAGCCTAACAAACTACTGCTCTGTTCATTGTTACATTTATATACTATATGGTGAGCTACTCTCCAAGCAGAGGTTTTGGGCTCTTTTTACCAGGGTTTCTTTTTGCACTGGAATTTTTTTTCTCATGCAATCACTGACATTTTTTTGGGGGGGGGGGTAAAAGAAAATACAGTGCAAAAGAGAACCCTGATAAAAAGCCTAAAAACATGCCAAAAATAACCTTAACTTCTGCTTGGAGAGTAATGGTGAGCATAACTAGAAAGGTAACATTTGCAGAGCAACCGCATAATGTTTACCTTTGCATACGGTCTGCTCAATTAATTTTTTACTCAAACACATTCATATATGGCAAGACACTAGTCTAAATCCCTCCTGCTATAAAATTACAACATGATGTAACCCAACACTAGTTACCATGGTGATAGACATCTGGTTCAGGTTATTGACCTTATTTATTTTGGAGAAGAGGAAGAAACCGAGCAAAAACAATCAGTTTTCCTTCTATGAAGGTATACATAATTACCCGTTTCTCCACAGGCACACTTCCCACTCTCAGGACTGGCACCTCCCCAGTAGTCAGCCTTGCGACCGTCCCAAGTCACCCACCAGGAGTACCATTTGTGATATAGACGATTGTCCCAAAGGTGAGAGTTGAAGCATTCATACTGGAAATGCATATTTTTATGTGCAATTCTTAGCTCCATATCATCATGAGCTTTACAATATCAGTATAGCTGATATACAACCGCCCTCCAGTATAACACGCCAGCTTTGCCGGCATGCGGCGTGGCGGCAGCTAGCTATGTTACACTGAACACTGCACAAGTATCCTTCAGTATCTCTGGTTGCCAGTAAAACCACCCTTTGGAGTAACACACCAACTTCAGAGGTACGGGGGCATTGTGGCAGCTGGCTTCATTACACCAAGCAACCTGTATGTTAAACCTAACCTTTCCACATGCCCCTACTGTACTTGGTGCAAGAACCCAGTATGATGCAGATTACAGACTCATAAAATGCTACAAAGGCCATCATGTGCTGGCTTGTTGTACAAAAAGTCATTTACAGCTTCAAATTTGCTGTACCAGCTTAGTTTGTATTCCTGTGGTTTGGCTGAACTTTTTTTTATTCACCCGCTCACATCAGTTTTGAGGTCTTCAATTTCAAAGGATGTCATCCATAGAGTGTGGCCTTACCTTGATGTGCTGTTTGCAGGAGCTTGACTGGTTCACCACAGCTCTCACTTGTTCCATGCTGTTCCAGTATGTCACATCCTTGAAGTAGCCACCTGGATCCTCAAACCCTTTCACATGTGTGCGGGCCTCGCTGTCGTGGCCAATCAGGGTAATTGCTGGAATTGCAATGGAACATATGATTAGCAGGCTGCAGTTTGCGTGTGTGTGTGTGTCTGTGTGTGTGCGTGTGTGTGTGCGTGCCATGTGAGTGTGTGCATGTGAGTGTGTGCCGTGTGTGTGAGTGTATGTGTGTGAGTGTGTGTTTACGTGCATGTGTGTGTGTCTGAATCCCCTCAAAGTTAGATTTGCTGTGTCTAAAGTCTCCTAAATTTGTTTTCAGCACATTGCTAACCTGTTTTTTTCTCAAGATCACACTGAACAACCATCGGCAGGACCCCACGTGCTGGTCCATCTGGGTCAATCACGTACAGCATCTTGTTGTTAATTTCACCTTTCTTTGCCACTTCAGTGCAGTTGGATGGCAGGTAGTCTGTTAATGAGGATACAGAATACACTGTACTGAAGTCTACCTTAACAATTTTGACCCTATCATGTGCAGGACACGAGATTTCAAGATAGGATGTTCTGCTGCAGTATCAAGAAAAGCTGGCAGGTCGTCAAAAATATAATTGTTTCTTTGATAGGTATCAACCTGAGCTCATAACAAGTTCATGACAATCCATCCAAAGCTTCTTAATTGAGTTACCATGCTAAACCACATACACACATGCCAACACTACCTATTTGCGAAGGTATTAAATTAACTTGAGTGTTATAGTTTTATACACAGAAAGAAAGGGATTCTTACTGCCCTTTCCAGGGGTTCCAGGTAGACCAGCTGGCCCCCTTTTCCCTGGTGGGCCAGGAGGGCCAGGTGGCCCGCTAGGCCCACGAGCGGCTGGCTCCATGGGCCCCATTTTTCCTGGCGGTGCAGGCATTGCTTGAGCCCCTAAGGAAAACAAATGCAACTCTTGCAAAAGCAAAGGCATAATGCTTACCTTTACATGGTCCAGACTAACAAACTACTGTTTATTCTTTTGTATAAAAATATGGTGACCAGCCCCCCCCCCCAACTCTGTCCTGCTACAAAATGTAACCCAACACCACATTGTGCCTGCTGATAAAGAAAATTATTTCAATTGCTTCTGCAATTATATTTATTGCATAATTCTATACAATAGGATGTATTGTAAAGTTTACGTGATGCAAAATGTGATGTGTATTGTGTTCTTGGAATTCAAATAAATACAGAAATAATTGTTTTATGATGTTAATATATGACGTAACTCACGTTCTTCTAGTTCACTTTGTCGCAACTCCATTGTATTGAACCGGTTATCCATCACCAAAGAGAGTTCTGTCACCTGTTTGCTGACTCTGGCTGCATTTAAGAAGAGATAGAGAAATATAAGGTTCCTATGATTCACAGTACGAAATGTAATAAAATACTAAAAATGAATAATTCACTTCTATTCTATGGCAATCACTCGTGATCTTTATTTGCAATCAGATACAGATTCATGTACAGATACATATTCATGCACAGATACAGATTCATGTACAGATATACAGATTTTCCGAGTATGATGACCGTGTCAGTCCCTACACCTGAGTGAGGGTTACATTTGACACGGTAGTCTTCGCGTGGATTTGTTTAAGGTGGATAACAGGTTGCGAATCTGAGACCCACACACTTGGGCATCCGTCTTCCCCAGCGGATCCATCGAGGGAGACGTGCTGGTTCCGGTTCGGATGCTTGCAGCGAGCTGCCGGTGACTTGGTTACGCTCAAGTTCCGCCTTGACTACGCCAGCCCGCCTGGCGCTGCTCTCGTCCGCCAGCTGAAGACAACTGCCGTTGGAGACTTGACCCTCTAGTTGAGGGGGGATACGTGTAAAGTGCCTTTCCCAAGGGCACAACGTCGGTGCGCATGTTCGGACATGCCCCCGTGCTCCGACCCAGGTTCGAACCCGGGGCTCCTTATTGAGCGCCGAACGCTCTATCCACTACGCCACACGACGCCACGCACGAATAATTCACTAGAAAGGAAACATTTGCAAAGCAAACGCATAACGTTTATCACCACATACTGATGGTGTAGCCAAACAAAATTCTGCTGTTTATCCTTAAACACATTCATATACATGGTGACACTAGTCCAACTCTGCCTTACAACTAGCAACACAATGTAACCCAATACTGCAGGGTGTCTACCATAGCACCTGTTACCATGGTGACAGACGTCTGGTCCAGGTCATTGACTTTAATTTGTTTGGAGGAAGAATAGGAGGAAGAAACTGAGGGAAAACAATACGTTTTCCTCCTGCGAAGGTACACATAATAAATACGCTGACCTGCAAAATATGGCAGTGAGAATGAGAGGAGTAAGACAATGATGCCGGCGATCTTCAACATCTTCCTGCTTAAGTCCCAACATATCTGCTTCGTGCTTGTTTCCTCATCGTTAGACGCATGATGGCCATCTGCTGTAATTAATAAGAACAAGGAAGTGTTTCTATCTGTCTTGCGTATCCCTAGCCTGGTATCCAGTCTATCGTGACTGGGGCAGTTGGGTGCGTCTAGTTTTCCCCGCCCATATATATATATGGTTAGACAGGAGTCTAAATCCCTCCTGCTATAAAATTGCAACATGATGTAGCCAAACACTAGTTACCATGTGGACAGACGTCTCGTTTAGGTCATTGATTGTTGGTTTGGAGAAGAACAAGAAGAGTAAACAGAGTAAAAACAATAATTCGATAAACATAATAATATAACAAGGGAAATCGTAGATTTCAAACCTCCGGGTTTGTTTTTCTATTGGTTTAGGTTATTTGTTTGTGTGTAGTATGAAAGTTATGTGCGTAATATGTTTGTATGCCGGTTTGATGGCTACTGACGGTTGGTTCGGTATGGACTGTTGATTAACGCAGTGTTCGAAATACTTTTTTGAGCAAAGTAGCACAGTGTGCTACCTAGGTAGCGCAGCAGAATTTTAGGTAGCGCCACCGCCCCCCCCCCCCCATTTGTCAAATTCTATGCACGTGTCGCAATACTATATTTCTTCCAATCATAGAGGTATAATACCTCCATGCTCTAATAAAGTTACTATTTTTGAGGTTTCAACTCTGAAGTAGGAGCTCTGGGTCGAAGCCAAATTACGGGTGCGTGATTTATTCTGGTTTTCTACTGAGAAAAATCGGGACAGTATTTGCGCCGGGCAGCCGGCCATGTACGCGAAATGGTACGCCCAGTATAGCAGCGATCTATTCATGTTTTATGTTTACAATTGTGCAAATTTTTTTTACTAGAAATTTGATCACATATGCTTAAAAATATTGTTATACTGATGTTAAAAAATATTTTAAGACACTGAATCGCTGGCTGTGATGTGCAGCAGTGTACGTACGCCGCGTAGCGTGCCAGACATGTCATTGGCCGTGCAAGCCTATAGAATGCCCCACTTGCGACATAAATTTCTGAGGCTTATCGTGCGCATCGTGCAAGATTTGCATACCGCCCGCCCACCGCTTCTGCTGGCTGCTGCCATGCTAGCTACGCGCCGTACTTGAAATAAATTGACGTGTATCGCCGTATTTCTGGAAATAAATGCCGCGACACGAAGATCTAGCGCTGACTCGGCTTGCACCCAGCGTTCAGCGTCACCCGCGCCATTACCCCCGCCGTCATCCCGCGCCGTCATTGCTGCGCCGTCACCCAACGTTTTTATCGGAACCAGACACCCCTCTGTTTGACCCCTTTTGAATGCTAAGACCCAAAACTGCAACCTCCCCATTCCTTAACAACATGGTAAATTCCATTTTCAGCATAACGGGGGTGTCCGGAGCACTTAAAAACCTTTTATTTCGACGCCCATAAACACATATGCAATTAAACAAAAACGTTCTGCATCATCTGCAGCCCAATAGCAATACGTATACCGAACAACAGACCAATCCGTCCAGCCGATCGCGAGAAACAGCTGCTGACAGAAATGTTTCGAACAATAGTAAAACCTCCTCGCGGAAGGATATCTCCTTCCCCGGAGGTAATAATATAAACATAAATATAAAATATAATAAAAACATAAGAAGACGAGGAAAAATTACCTGTTCGGGAGGGGTACATGGGGTTGGGTATGTTGGCGGCGGCGTCCGCAACTGATCTGTAATCAGTCGGAGACTGAGACCTGGGCGTCTTGCCTGCAGGGAATTTAAAATATGGTTATAGCCTTACGCCACTTGTACGATTTTCAAATACTTGTTCAAATACTTGTTCCATATCTCACGACTGTCATGGCGTCAGTGGCGCAACGGTTAGAGCGTTTAACCGAGAGGTCCCGGGTTCGATACTCACCGTGGCCCGACGTTGTGCCCTTGGGAAAGGCACCTTACACGACTTCCCCACCTATACGGTGGAGTGACGCCACCGTAAACCGCAGAAATATTAAGCTGCTATTGTGAATTTGCGGCAGTACATTTTGACGTATACGACAAGCCGGTACATGCTGGCTTTTTGTGGAATTTATGAGTCGACACTCTGCGTAGTAGAGCTTTGGTATAGCCTGGGTGCCATCCTCCAGAGTTACAATCGGCTCCGTATTGTCGCTAACTACCTTGGACTACCCAGGCCAGAGCCTCGGAGGACGTGATCTTTTTTTTCTTCTTTTTTTTTTGAGAACAGGCGAAAATCAATGCGCGCGCGGATGTCATCCATAAAATGAAGTCAGTGTGGCCTTATAGTTATACAAAGACATACACCCTACCTGCTGTGTCCTCAGCCTTGGGCTGCTTCTGTCGTCCCAACATGACGACACTTGTCAGAGGTGTCTCAGCTGAAGGATGGTGTGAGACGGACTAGGCCTAGGCCTGGGCCTGAGCACCTAGAAATGTACGTGTGCGTCCCCTTTTCTACTCGAGGCAAATGTCAGCTTGGGTCCCAATCTTATTTCACATGTACAAAATTAAAACCGAAAAAAAAATATGAATAGCGCACAGGGCAGACCGATTACACAAATTGAAATGCCTTCTTGTTTTTGTCGCAAAACATAAAAAAAGTGATAGCTAAAAATGAAATTCCATTATCATTTGATAGAAATAACATTTATGATATTCTAATATAATAAGTAAAATCGTATTCTACGATGAAAATTGTTCATCAGTTTGAGTAAACGTTTGATGGTGTTTACTATTTATTATTTATTTTGGCAAACACAAAATAACAATGAGTTGAGCTGCTGTATGTACAATGTATTACATGCCACTACCTGTTATACGATGAATGAGTAAATCTTTCACAAAAACCAAATAAATGTTGACAAAACAAACATCAAGTCCACAAACCACTCTTTGCTTTAGTTTGAAATATGACACATTTTCTGTTATTAGATGTAACACTTCCGTCACCATTGACACCTTAGGCCTTGTATCATTTACTGCTAATATAATGCCTGACTAGAAAGTAAACATTTGCAACGAAGATACATGATGTTTACCTTCTCATGCCGGTCTAGCCATACAAAGTGCTGGTCTGTTTATTCTTACTCAAACACATTCATGTATACATGGTAAACTGTCCCTTACTGCGTTACATCATGTAATCCAACATCACAGAGTGTCTGCTACAACACTAGTTACCATAGTGATAGCCACCTGGTCCAGGTCATTGTCAATATGCGTTTGGAACGGAAGAAGAAACTGAGCAAAAATAGTATGTTTTCCTTCTGCGAGGGTAAACATAATTAGATCGTTCACAAAGCGGTGCGTGTCATGACATACATGCAACTTGGTGGTTGAATGTGTTAACTTATAAAACGCACCTTGTCAACAATAAATTCAAAACTTGTAGAAAATGCAATAATCAAATTGTGTTAAGTCTGTACTATTACAACACATGTGTTTCAGGCACATTTGACTGTTAACTGCTGCACCGATTTATATATACTAGTATTCAACAGGCAGACAAGGATTCACACAACAGGGCTCGAAATTTATTTTTGGGAATAGGTGCACTGATGAAAAAAAATGTGGTGCACCAACTTAAAATAAGAAGAATGTCAGCAAAAACTAATTATGTTCCATTTCTAAAGAAACGTGCGTACTACAATAATGTTTTTTTTATTTTTATGACACCTACCTAGATGTCAATAATATGCAGCATTTTAATACTATTATACATTAAACATCTTTACATAGTAATTACTAGTACGTAAACCTACAAATATATGGAGAGAGAGAGAGAGAGAGAGAGACTCAGGGATAGCAGATAAGTTTCCCCAGGGTGTAGTAGCCATCTTCTTGAGAACCACCGGTATCCCCGAACCTGAGCTGGGTGACCGGCAGGTCATTCTTGTGAGACAGGAACCCAGAATCCTCACGCCATGTTAAATCATTGGCGTCACAGTAGCAGCTACCAGAGCAAGCGCCTGTTAGACGAAGGAATATAGTGAAACAGAGGCTTTGTTTGTGTTGTGGATTAAAGATGTGTGGGTTAAAAGAAAAGCAAAGAAAGAAATTCTGTGATCTGTCAAGCATCGAATTGTATTGACACAAAGAAACATAACCACTCAATGAAGTGTTGAGAAGTAAAAGAAGCAGAATAAACAAGAAAGGTAACATTTGCAAAGCAAATGCATAATGTTTACCTTCGCACATGGTCTGCTCTGTTTATTCTTACTTATTCTTACATATATATATATATATATATATATATATATATATATATATATATGGTCAGACAGGGGTCAAAAAGATTGGAACATTATGTAACCCAACACTAGTTACCATGGTGACAACAAATCAGGTCATTAGCCAGGTCAGAGGTTAGTGTTTGGAGAAGAAGAGGAAGAGGAAACTGGGCAAAAACAATGTTTTCCTACGGTAAACATAATGAATGAATGAATGAATGAATGAATGAATGAATGAATGAATGAATCGGGAATAAGCTTGCGTGTGGAAGGTTGGTGCTTAATAATTACCCGTTTCTCCACAGGCACATTTCCCACTCCCAGGACTGGCACCTCCCCAGTAGTCAGCCTGGCGACCGTCCCAAGTCACCCACCAGGCATAGGGTGTGCTGCCACTCCAGATCACGGAACCATGGCATTCATACTGGAAGTACATATTTGGCAAAGTTTCATTTTTATTTTTTATCATCAATTATGTAAATTATTATGTAAGTTCTGCTGCAGGACACACACACAATACCTCCATTTTTCACGGAGGTAACAAGACTAGATCTCAGACTTGTTCCTGACATAAAAAGCTGTCAGCCACAACAACATCGACACCATAGCATGTCTAGGACAAAAAATACACAAACCCTGAAGTTATGTTGTAGTACACAAACAATACCTCCATATCTCATGGAGGTAACAAGACTAAGTCACCAGGCTAACCTCTGGCACTTCTGAAATTTAGACAACACACCTTGATGTGCTGTTTGCAGGAGCTTGCTTGGTCCACCACAGCTCTCACTTGTTCCATGCTGTTCCAGTATGTCACATCCTTGGAGTAGCTACCTGGATTCTCAAACCCATTCACATGTGTGCGGGCCTCGCTGTCGTGGCTAATCAGCGTAATTGCTGAAATTGGAGTAAATATCACTACAGTGTTCAAACATTAGACAGGCACAAGTAGTTAAACTTTGTGCGTGTGTGCGCGTGCGTGCGAGTGTGCCGTGTGTGTGTGTGTGTCTGTGTGTGTGTGTGTGTGTGTGTGTGTGTGTGTGTGTGTGTGTGTGTGTGTTAAGACTAAGGGTTACATTTGCTTTTCAATGGTCTCCGGAATTTGATGTCACTGACTTGTAACACACTCTTTTACAATTTAAATGCTTACAACAGTGAGCAGATTATTATTGGAATGAGCAGAGCACTTTGGACTAATCTCTCTGGCTGTTCACAGCTTAGAGGTACGTATCCAAGATTCTGTCAAAAACATCTCTGTTACATAGCGGATCATAATGAACCCCAGCGGGGGTCTTCACGCTTCGTTAAAAATGGAAAAATCTCAGGATTTATTCAAAAGATCTCAATATTTTAGACAAACTCTTGAGATCTTATGAGACAATCTTGAGATTTTTCATGACAATCTCAAGATCTTTCAGAAAATCTTAAGATGAAAATGAAAGGTCTCAAGATATTTCCAAGTTTTTTTCAAAGCATCTTGAGATTTTTTCATAGCATCTCGAGATGCTTTAAAAATCTCAAGATTCCCTTTATAAATCATGAGATCTGTAAAAAAATCTTGATATTTTTTAAAGCATCTCGAGATGCTATGGAAAAATCTCAAGATGGTTTTAAAATATCTTGGAAGATCTTGAGACCTTTCGTTTTCATCTTAAGATTTTCTGAAAGATCTTGAGATTGTCTCATAAGATCTCAAGATTTCGTCTAAAATATCGAGATCTTTGGAATAAATCCTGAGATTTTTCCATTTTTAACGAAGCGTGAAGACCCCCACTGGGGGTCATAATGATCCGCTATGTAACAGAGAAGTTTGTGACAAAAGATTGGACATGTACCTCTAAGCTGTGAACAGCCAGAGAGATTAGTCCAAAGTGCTCTGCTCATTCCAATAATAATCTGCTCGCTGTTTTACGTGTTTCTCCCTGAAGATCACACTGAACAACCATCGGCAGGACCCCACGTCCGGGTCCGTCTGGGTCGATGACGTACAAAGTCTGGTCATGAATTCCACTTCTTTCTGCCACTTCAGTGCAGCTGGACGGTATACTGTATGTACCTGTTTTGAGAAAAATAGCAGAAATGCGTGTGTACATGACAACTTTAGTTTGTTATACTTTTTTGCCATCTCAGTGCCAAAAATGTGATGATAAGGGTTTAACCAGCTGGAGTCTTTTACAAAGCATACGCCTCACCTCCTGGGCCAGGCATGGATGTGGTCTCGGTTCTATTCTCTAGGTCGGACAGCCTCTGCTCGAGCTCCCGATACTGCCTTTGTAGTTCATCAATCTCTGCGTCTTAAATTTAGACGAGAAATGTTGAAATATTCGAAAATAAGTATGCCACCTGCACCTACTCATAGCTATCAACCAATCGACTACCAAGCGCCTAATAAAAGAACTAAATTCCGCTCTTTAATGTTTAATGTAATTTGCTATTTTAATGATTGATGGTGCGTGCAGTGTCATATATATGTGAAAATTTGACATACTTCATGTCATATGTCACTCATTGTATATATATATAACATGCCAGTCAATTTTAAATAAAACTGATACTCTTATAGTAAAACATCGAAAGGTGCTACTAGATACCTAGATACCCTCCAAAGTCTATTCTATTGTAACATATGTTTACGACCATACCTTTTGTTCCACAGGGACAGTCTCGGCCATCCCTACCGTCCCTCCCGGGCAGACCTGGCGGGCCCTGGACAGAACAACTGTGTACCTGATAGTATGGGAGAGTGCCAAATCAACTACTCAACTATTATGCTGTAGGGTAACAAGCACTAAGCAACAGCACAACTACCACATCACGGACCAAAATCAGACCGCTGATAGCCCCGCAGTGCGGTGGGTTCTTTAACGTTGGTGGGTGTGGCTCTCCTCAAACACGGATCCGGATCCGGACATCCATTTAACGTCCTATTCGAGGGACGTCCCTAACCGACGTTGGGTACTCATTTCCACCTGAGTGAAGTGAGGAAAGGCGTTACAAAGGGGCCAAGCTTAAGGGCACAAGATCAGTGATGACATGCGTAGGATGTCATCACTGATCTTGTGCCCTTTACTAGTAAGTACTTACCGCGTACTTACTATATACTATATATATATATGTACTTACCGCGTACTGACTATATATATATATATATATATGTATATATATATATATATATATATTTATCATCATAGTAAGTACTTTTTTTACGTTAAATGGTCGATTACCACCTTTACATGCAAATGGTCGTGTGGCGTAAACGGTAGTAGTGTTCGGTTCATGACCAAGGGGTCCCGGGTTCACGAATCCTACGCATGTCATCACTGATTTTGTGCCCTTGGGCCCTTTCACAAGTTGTGACGCCTTTTCTCACTTCACTCAGGTGGAAATGAGTACCCAACGTCGGTTAGGGAGAGCCACACCCACGGACGTTAAAGAACCCACCGCACTTATCGAAAAGAGCAAGGGTCCTTCCCTGTGTGAGTGGTTCCAACCTTACAGCCCAGCAGATTGTAGTTACAAAACTGGTGTGTTACGCCTAATAAAGAAGGCGGTTATGCGAAACAAACACGTTGATCTGTACTCAGTCGGTAGAACTTACGTACCCCTTGGACGGACTGGCCTGAAGCGAAGCCCGCGGTGACCAAGAAGAACATCAGACAGACAAGAAACTTCATTTTCGCAGCTGAAAACTGGGAGAAGCCAGTTATTATCAAGAACTTCGGAATAGTGCTCTCCTTTACACCTTGTGTAAATTTTTAGGGCTACTTCCTCGTCGCACTTCCTCTCGCATATTTACACCTTGTGTAGATTTTTAGGGCTACTTCCTCGTCGCACTTCCTCTCGCATATTTACACCTTGTGTAGATTTTTAGGGCTACTTCCTCGTCGCACTTCCTCTTGCATACATTACAAGCACCAAGGAGGTTAAATACACTTAATTGCATTTAACCTACTTGCATGCCCGAGTGAACTCCAATATGCCCTTCTGAAAAGGGCTTCTTCTGAAGTCGTGAAGACGTCATCTTTCAAAACATGAGCAGTGGTGCCACCTAGCGATTCTGTCAGGAAGTGCAGCGGCGAGCAAGTCTGGGCTGGTGACGAAACGATGCATTGTGGGTGTTACGAAATATGGCGAGGTCTAAAACAGGTGTTTTTTCTGCACAGATTACACAAATTGAAATACCTGCTTGTTTTTGTTCCAAAACAAGAAAAAAAGTAATAGTTGAAAATGAAATTTAATTATCCTTTGATAACATTTGATATCATAACATTTATGATATTTTGATTTGATAAGTAAAATCGTATTCTACGATGAAAATTGTTCATCAGTCTGAGTAAAAGTTTGATGGTGTTTACTATCCATTATTTATTTCGGCAAACACAAAATAACAATGAGTTGAGCTGCTGTATGTACAATGCATTACATGCCACTACCTGTTATACGATGAATGAGAAAATCTTTGACAACACAAAAACCAAATAAATGTAGACAAAACAAACATCAAGTCCACAAACCACTCTTTTCTTTGGTTTGAAATATAACACGTTTTCTGTTAAATGTAACACTTCCGTCACCATTGACACCTTAGGCCTTGTATCATTTACTGCTAATATAATGCCTGGCTAGAAAGGTATCATTAATATTTGCAAAGCAAATGCATAATGTTTACCTTTACATGGTCTAGCCTTACAAAGTTCTGCTCTGCTTATTCTTACTCAAACACATTCATATACAATGTATATGGTAATCCTTCACTTGCTACATCTACAGCACATGCACCCAGTATTTCGAGCCCTGGCACATAGACTCAGGGATAGCAGATGAGTTTTCCCAGGGCGTAGAAGCCTGCTTCACTCGGAGCATCATCGGTATCCCCGAACCTGAGCTGGGTGACCGGCAGGTCATTCTTGTGAGACAGGAACCCAGAATCCTCACGCCATGTGTTCTCATTGGCGTCACAGTAGCAGCTACCAGAGCATGCGCCTGTTGGACGACGGAATATGGTTACATTCAGTCTTGTATGGTCAAATCATTTTTCCTGGAACTATCGCAGAGTGGAACTGTCTCCAAGTACAGTAGGGGTATTATGGATTTAAGATGTGTAGGTTAAAAGAAAATGCAGAAATTCTGTGATCTGTCAATACATTGTGTGAAAACAATCAAACTTTCATGCTGAAGGTTAGTGCTTTATGATTACCTGTTTGCCCACAGGCACATTTTCCACTCCCAGGACTGGCACCTCCCCAGTAGTCAGCCTGGCGACCGTCCCAAGTCACCCACCAGGCGTAAGGTGTGCTGCCATCCCAGATCACTGAACCATAGCATTCATACTGGAAGTAAGTATTTGGCAAGGTTTTATTTTTATTATCAATTATGTAAATTATCCGAAGTTCTGCTGCAGTACACACACACAATACCTCCATTTCTCACGGAGGTAACAAGACTAGATCTCAGACTTGTTCCTGACATAAAAAGCTGTCAGCCACTACAACATCGACACCATAGCATGTGTAGGACAAAAAATACACAAACCCTGAAGTTATGTTGTAGTACACAAACAATACCTCCATATCTCATGGAGGTAACAAGACTGAGTCATCAGGCTCTCAGTCATGTTAGGTAAAAAAATTTCAAAAACTATCGGTATTATTGGAAAACTTAAACATCTTCTTACTCAAAAAACCATTATTACCATATACAATAGCTTAATATACCCATATCTAACCTACGGGAATATAGTCTGGGGATGCGCCTACAAAACCACACTACAGCCCCTAGTATTACTCCAAAAAAGATCTGTTCGTTCAGCCACCGGCGCCAGTTTCCACGCACATTCTGCACCTTTGTTTACAAAACTTAAGATTTTGAATATTTTTGATATAAACAGACTTCATCTGATGCTATTTACGTTTAAATTCCTTACTTATTCTCTTCCAGACACATTTAACGGTCTTCTAAATCTAAATTCCCATTTTCATACTTACCAAACTCGACAAAGTGCCCATTTCCATACCCCCCTAGTTAGAACGTCCGTAGCTCAAATGAGTGTAAAATATAAATGTATAACTACTTGGAATAATCTCCCGCTCTACCTAAAATGTTTAACATCAATAATTAGCTTTAAACGAAATCTTAAAAATCACCTACTTTTCTTTCCCACCGACATTTGATATCTTATTACTTTGATTTCACCTGTATAAGTTTGAATTTCTTTTTAAAATTCATTTATTTTTTTCTTGAGTTATTGCTTCAATTCTGCCAATTGTCTGTACTGCAGTTAAAGTTCTGTTAACCTATGTTCTAACATATCATTTCTAATTAGCGTTATTTATCAATCACTTTTGTTACTCATTATTACTATTTGTTTTATTACCATTATCATATTGATCATAATGATCAAATGTATTAATTACTTATTGTTATTTATTATTACCATTTGATTTGTTAGCATTATTTCAGTTGTTAATTAATTTTGTCGGGGAAGATCCCAGACAAGCCACTATGGCTTGATATCTTTCCCCAGCATTTTATTTTATTGTCAGTAATATGTTCATTTTATTGTTCTTAAATATATGCGAACCAATAAACAAACAAACAATCAAACAAGGCTAACCTCTGAAAATTAGACAACGCTTACCTTGATGTGCTGTTTGCAGGAGCTTGACTGGTCCACCACAGCTCTCACTTGTTCCATGCTGTTCCAGTATGTCACATCCTTGGAGTAGCTTCCTGCACCTTTAAACCCTTTCACATGTGTGCGGGCCTCGCTGTCGTGGCTAATCAGCGTAATTGCTGAAATTGGAGTAAAGATCACTACAGTGTTCAGACATTAGACAGGCACAAGTAGTTAAACTTTGTGCGTGTGTGCGCGTGCGTGCGAGTGTTCCGTGTGTCTGTGTGTGTGTGTGTGTGTGTGTGTGTGTGTGTGTGTGTGTGTGTGTGTGTGTGTGTGTGTGTGTGTGTGTGTGTGTGTGTGTGTGTGTGTGTGTGTGTGTGTGTGTGTGTGTGTGTGTGTGTGTGTGTGTGTGTGTGTGTGTGTGTGTGTGTTAAGACTAAGGGTTACATTTGCTTTTCAATGTTCTCCGGAATTTGATGTCACTGACTTGTAACACACTCTTTTACAATTTAAATGCTTACGTGTTTCTCCCTGAAGATCACACTGAACAACCATCGGCAGAACCCCACGTCCGGGTCCGTCTGGGTCGATCATGTAGAAAGCCTGGTCATGAATTCCACTTCTTTCTGCTACTTCGGTGCAGCTGGATGGCGGATAACCTGTTGAGAAAAAAAAACTAACTTCTATTTTTTTCTCAGCAATGCCTCCAGTGGCGACTCAGTCTATTTAAGGGTCAATTAAAATCTCAACGCACTCTAGTGACCACTAGTGTAATGACACCGTGGTAATGAAAGTTTCCAAATCTGGCCCCGTGTATGTTCCTATCCACCATGGTTTGAAATGAAATGACGGTTGAAGTTTAGAGCTGTATTCATAAATGCTTAATACTTAGTGGTGCATTTGTAAAATAACATTTGGGGTAGTTCTTACCTGCTGAGTCAGACTGAGTTTTGTTCCCGATGCGGTCCTCAAGGACTGACAGCCTCTGCTCAAGATCTTCATTCTGTTGCCTTAGGCCTGACGTCTGGTCTCTCAGCTCCTGATACTTGCTTTGCAGTTCACTTATCTGTGTGTCTGTTGAGGGAGGTGATTAAGTGTACTCATGTTACTTGAATATACGTCGGTGAAGGTTAGACATCCAGGTAATAAAATACGCCAAAAAGCTGTCAGAATCACTGACGAAAGGTAGTTGATATTACCTGAAACGCCTGACCGTTTCAATCATATCCAGTTGCTTGAGTAACTGCTTTTGGCGTAACTGGAATATAATTCTTTATGGAGTCAACATAAAGTTCAGGGACTTTCGTATGGTCGTCTACAACTTAAGATCTAACAAAGCTAGATACATGTATGAATATAGAAAGAGACGCAAACAAACCCGGTCTTAGATGTGAGGAGAGGTATATTGTAGGAGGTATGAGATTGTTGAACTCTAGTTACTTGTATTTCATAAAGATCTGTTATGGTGCTACTAAATTCCTTCCCGCACCAGGTGACACATAGGGCATCGCCCATCTCCTTTCAATAGCCATTGGGCCACACAACAACGCAATCGCTACAGCAGGGGGCTAGTCCAATTGTATTGGTGTGTGTTCAACTCTCATACTACATTTGTAGTACTCTTTCCCAAATGTTGAGTACAAAGCAGTATGTAGCATTTTTAAAGTCTTTCGTATGATGACTCGGCCGGGGATCGAACTCACGACCTACGAATGCAAGGCGAACGCTCGGTGTCATTGCACTTGGTGCAATGGCCAAATAGATATATTTACGTCTAACGGATAGCACTACTAACCATGTTCACAATTTTCAATTCTGGATCAGTCGTAAGTTCGTAACGTATATATAGTCGTACCTTTTGTTCCACAGGGACAGTCTCGGCCATCCCGACCGTCCCTCCCGGGCAGACCTGGCGGGCCTTGGGCCGAACAACTGTGCATCTACATGTATGTAACAGTATAATGTGAAATGAAGTTGTTCTTTGACTTATCATACAATCGTAGGTTTAGATTACCGGTCGAACACCAAAGGTACATCCTAAATTGAAGGTTTTCTTTTTACATGCCCTTCACCGTAGCCCCCTTTTTGAAAGTAGCAACATCAAGTTAAGTCACTAACGTCGAATGGTCGATTACCACCTTTGTTTTTGGTTATAACGTCAATGCCGGGAGCACCGCCTCCCTCCCTGTTTAAGTTACATGCAACTGAAGTTACAGTCCCGTCTTACGCAGCTTGTAGTTACCGGTACAAAACTGGTGCGTGTGTTACGCCTAAAACTAAAGGCGGTTTACCGGTTATGCAGAACAAACAAGCAAACAAAATCTTGATCTAACTTATACTCAGTCGGTAGAACGTCGAATTCACCTACCTACCCCTTGGACGGTCGACTGGCCTGAAGTGAAGTCCGCGGAGACAAAGAACACCAGACAGACAAGAAACTTCATTTTCGCAGCTGAAAACTGGGAGAAGCCCGGTAAGAACTTCGGAATAGTGCTCTGCTTTACACCTTGCGTAAATTTTATGGTTACTTCCTTGTCGCGCTTCCCTCGAGTGAAATATTATATGCCCTTCTGAAGACGTCATCTTTCAAAGCGTGAGCAGTGGGGTCATCTAGCGATTCTGTTAGGAAGTGCAGCGGCGAGCAAGCCTGGGCAGGTGACGAAACGATGCATTGTGGGTGTTACGAAATATGGCGGGAGTCTAAAAAACAGCTGTTCTTGCCAGCACTGAAGGTTTCCTTCGTATAACTCTGAAGGAACTTGTCTTTTAACTCCAGCGAGAGGGCCACATCTACAAGGTAGTTTGGTTGCTTCAATTTTGTCAATTTTTAGACCAATATGACGCCTATGTATTTCGAATATGCGACCGCTAACTTCGGTCGCCTATGTGGGGAGGGGGGCCAACTAGATCCAAGGAGGTTAAAATATACAAGTATTTAACCTCCTTGCTAGATCCTAGTAGTTTTTGCAACGTGCTTGCCTTATTTTTTATTTTCATGGGCCTATGGGTGACTTTTATTAATCAGGAGGGAGTTGACTAGTCCCTAGACCACATCAGACGATTGTGAAGTGCGTTTATAGTACTAACAGGCCTGATCTAGACGCCAATAAATTTTGTAGTTGAGAGTTCGTGGTCCAGCAGTGTTCGTTTGTGTAATTTGTCGAAAAGAGCTAGGTGAATATTTTCCCCTTTACTGTTGCTGTATAAGATACATGTAACATTATGTACAAATTATGTATATGAATGTTAGGATAAAAAGAACAACAGTTTATTGACCAAGATCATCCATCTAAACATGATTTACTTAGCATTTGCTTTGTTTTTACTCAAGTTGACATTCTTTTTTTTTTTTTTTTTTTTACAAAAATCATGTATAAATTCTGTACCTCACTGAGGCAGGCAGCTGAGCTTGTAGAGGATGGACGCTAGCAGCAGCTACATGGCCTACATGGCAGCAGCCATCGCTTCAGGACAAGGTCCCAACCTGCCACCAGGCTTTTTCAACAACCAGCCTTCTTCAGGAGCTGCCAACAATATGATGGGGCTACCACCAGGCTTTCAAACCAACCAAGTGGCAGGACCCGCTAACAACATGATGGGACTGGACCTGGAGATGACACGGATGGCACAGGAGACGGTACAGGAGACACTCAGGTCAGTGAATAGCAAGAAACTGTGTCAAATAAAAAGGTTCTTTTTTTTTCAATAACCACAGGTTTACAAATCCAACATCTGTCACCTTCAGGGCAACAAAGACTGGTTCTGATTCGTACTGCAGGTAGGTGTCACTGCTGAACAAGTCATTGTTGTCCTGAAGAAGGTGACAGAAGATCACCGAAATGTCAAATGTAGAAGCCCACTGGTTGTTGAATTAAAAGAGCCTACCAAACTACTTACACAGTCAGGTCCGTATACAAATGTATGTATGGTGCTAAGAGGCTAATCTGGCTATTTGTTCAGTAGCAATATTAAATATCATCCCTAATAATTAAGTTGTAATAATCATTCTGACCATACTGCACAACTACAAAACTATAAATCGTTATTGTTGTTTTACAGCGAGGAGGTCTTCACCACCTACAAGGCCAGTGTGCCCACAATCCCCCATGCACAGCCTCATCCAGCAGATATTGTAGAAGCAGGCTCTTTAGCTGTAAGTCATGTTTGAATGATAAATCTCACACAGGCACAACTACTGAACCTTCTCCTTACTGTAGTTATCAATTTTGTACCAACCAATATTGCCTGCTCTTATATTCTATGCAAGCCAAGGATAATATCCTTGTATTATTCTATACTGTCTGTAGTTCCCAATTATACTGTGTAGGAAAATATATCTTATACAATGGACAAAACTTTGATCCAACATTGACCAAACATCCAACAAAAACCATGCTTTCTTTCAGGTGCAGTACATTCTGCCGACGTGCTTTAAGTCTAAGAAATTAAACTGTTTTTGCAAATACATGTATAAACTGTTCCTGTTTTTTTTTGTTATGATAAATTCTGAAGGATGACAAAATGTGTTAGTAAGAACGTTGACAGATGATTGACATGTGTCTGTTTAGGCCATGGCCCTGCCCGCTACAGACTACCCCCTGGCCGACACCATCCCTGATGATGTCATCACCTCGGGGAAGCTGAGCTCCCTACAACTGGAGGGGGTGATATATGCTGTAAGTACCTAAATGTATTTACCGTAAATGCAGAGACTTTGGTTTTATTTTCACGGTGACCTCTTACTGCAAATGATAGAATTATTTCAACTGTGAACATATAACACTTCAAAAATCTCATTGTCCCCCTTACCATAAATTAAGATCATAGCAAACATAAATGCAGTTACGGTAAAATTTCGCTGCTTAGTGAAAATGTAGAGTACAGTTTAAACAAAAGTAGCAATGCTACTGTACAGGGAAGCCAGTATCTGTTTATAGGTGTAATTAGTTCAAACAGGTGACAAGTGGCCAGAAAAAGCTGAAAACCTAAGACGTACTGCAAATATTTCAGAACTTCCAGTACCTATGCTAGGGTGTCTCTTCAGTTGAATGACTGTTCTTGTTCCCAGTGTACCAGACACCAGATGGTCCTGCCCAACAGTTGTCGGGCGGGGTTCTTCATTGGAGACGGGGCAGGAGTAGGCAAGGGTAGACAGGTGGGTTTACTTTTCATTTACTCATATTCTTTATTCATTATTCAAACAAAGGCAAAAGCATGGCAGCAGTACATAAAAATTATGGACCACTGAATTGTACTGACCTTACATATACATACGAATACAATGTAGGCACGAACAGAACACGAAGATTCACGAAACCAACGTATACAAGACATAAAAACTAATTTCTTGCCATGGTTCTTGCCATGGGAACCCTGAGTCCTCCCGCGTTCCTTAAGGACCTCCCTGTGCTCAACAGCCCCTCAACCAAGTATATTGTCAGGGCTCGAGATAAATACCAGGTAACACTGAAAATTACCTGCACCAGACAAATTTCACCTGCACCATTTAGAATTGTAAGAGGTACAAAATATATGGATTATACTCAGATCTTTCGCAAGGTCCCAGAAGATGAAGAGGAGAGGTCGACGTTGTTCACGGGACTTCTCCTGAAGCAAGCGGGCACAGAAAATCATGTCGGTGGTGCCACGAGATGGCCGGAATCCACACTGTGACTCTGGGAGGACCTCCTCAGCAACAGTCAGGAGTCTGTCAAGCAGAACCCGTGCGAAGATCTTCCCGGCAATGCTAAGGAGGGATATGCCGCGGTAATTTCCGCAGACAGAGCAATCCCCCTTCTTGAAGATGGTAATAATGGTGGCGTCCTTCAGGTCTGCAGGTACAGCTTTCGTCTCCCACATGCGCAGGATCAGTGTAAATAGCCTAGTCTTCACGGCTAACCCCCCCTGGGATATGAGTTCCAGGGGGATGTTGTCGGGTCCGGGGGACTTCCCTGCTTTCATGAGCTTCAGAGCCTTTTGAAACTCAGCGTAGGAGGGAGGGACTGACATCCAATGCCTTACAGGGCGAAAGCATTTGATAGTGTCCCAAGACCAGCCATGTGGGCAACGCTGAGACGCTTCGGCTGCCCCGACCACTTTACGGACCTTGTACAGGCCCTCCACGATGGAATGACCGGCCGCGTCGTGGTCAAGAACAGCATCTCAGACCCCTTCCCCATTACCACTGGCCTGAAGCAGGGCTGTGTTCTGGCCCCCACTCTCTTCTCACTTTACCTTGGGGCCATGATCCACGAGCTCCCTGACACGGCCTCTGGTATCCAACTGCGCTGCCGAATGGACGGTGGTCTCTTTAACACCGGACCGCCTCCGCCGCCCACCGTCGTACCACACGTACAGGTACGGAACTACAGTATGCAGATGACACGCAACCCCGCAGACACAGTCACTGGTCTCCAGACTACTGTGAATCTTTTTGAGGATGCCTATTCCCGCTTTGGCCTCACCTCAAACACTGGGAAGACCAAGATCCTTGCACAGGGTGTCCCAGGTCAGCCCCCTCCAGACACCAGCAACGTTCGTCTCCATGGTGAAGTCCTCGAGACCGTGGAAGCCTTCCAGTACCTAGGGAGTTACCTGTCTAGTGACTGCACTATGCAGAAAGACATAGACAACAGAATCTGTGCTGCACACGCTGCTTTCGGAAGGATAGCCAAACGTGTATTCCTGAACCACGACCTCAGCCTCCAGACCAAGATCATGGTGTTTCAAGCCATCGTTCTCTCCACCCTCCTATATGGCTCTGAACTGTGGGTTCTGTACAGGAGTGACATAAAAAGGCTGGAGCGCTTTCAACAGCAGAAGCTCCGTGCAATCCTGAAGATAAAATGGCAAGAACGTGTCTCAAATGATTCTGTTCTTCTGCAAACCAATCTCCCCAGCATCGAGACGACTGTAGCCCAACATCGCCTCCGCTGGGCAGGGCATGTCAGAAGAATGCCGACCACTCGACTACCCCGCCAGATCCTGTTCTCTCAACTTAATTACGGCACAAGACCGAGGGGCGCTCCCAAACGTCGGTTCCATGATCAGCTAAAGGCCACGCTCCTTTGCTGCGGCATTGATCATGACAACTGGGAGACCCTCGCCGAGGACCGAACTGCGTGGCGGAGCACCGTCGCACAGGGAACAACCTACATGGAAACCCAACGACGGATGACAGCAGAGACAAAGAGACGGAAACGACAAGAGCGGCTCCTCCTCCCGCGACCGCCACCTACTCTGACTTGCACAAAGTGCCCCCGACGTTTTTATACTTCACTAGGCCTGACCAGCCACCTAAGACATCGACACCCCCAGAACAGCTGAGGATGTGACGACACGAACCCAGATGCTCGGACCCGAGCTGAGGCCAGACGAGACGATACTCAGATCTGTTCTGAAACCATTGCCATTATTCATTTGATACTTTATGCATAGGTGGTAACAGTCAAGATCACAGGAGACAAAAAACTGAATTTAGCTTGCAGCTTGATAAACTTGTTATTGATGATTAAGTAGTTAAGAAAATGGTGTCCTATAAGTTGTATGGTAATTGCGTAAGAGTATATATATTTCTTGTGCAGTGTAATAGGAAAGGCTCAAGATACATCCAAGTAAGGAATTCAGCTTGCAGTAGATTTAACTATGATTTAATTTGTGATGCACTTCTAGTAGAAGAGTGTATAACAAGTTCCACATTATTCTGTACCCCCAGATTGCGGGAATAATCCTGGACAACTTTGCTCGAGGCAGAACTCGGCACGTCTGGTTCAGCATCTCTACAGATCTCAAACTGGACGCTGAGAGGTGAGAGGATGGTATATTTGCTTTAGGTGGCAGAGCTGTACTCTCCAATCAGAGGTTGCAATTGGTAGCGAAGATTGTTGTCTTTCTATATATACCCCATTTTTTTCTGGTGACAGAATAAAATGGGGCATATATAATACTGAAAGGTAACAATCTTCCCCACCAACCTCTGCTTGGAAAGTAGCAGTGCTTTGGGTTTCTCTCTTTATGCCTTAATTTCTTTGGTTGCATGGTATAAGTGGGAGGTGATTTTGATGGTGATGGAGTAAGAGTATAATACCTGATGAAATTATGTCATATACAGTCCCCTCCGTGGATAAGAATCATGAAAACCCCAAACACTTTTAGGTCTGTGAATGTAAGGTCAAGAAAACCTAAAATGTTTCCTTTTAGGTTTGTGAATTTAAGGTCCAAACCAAAAATACACTTGACAGAACTTGGCAAAAGTATCAAATTCTGTTGAACTGCATTTTCAAACCTTGCCCACAGAGACCTGCGTGATATCGGCTGCTACGTGAAGGTGATCGAGGGTTGCCAGCAGCTGGATAGGGAGACTAAAGTGTTTGGACTTCCGCCTGGCTTCAAGGAAGGAGTCATCTTCAGCACCTACGCTACACTTGTGTCTTCTGTACAGAAAGGAGGTTAGTTCATAAAAAGGAATGTCATTTATTGAGATTTACCACATGTGGAAGGATTCACATAACAGGTGACTATCACGTTTTCAGGACATCAATCCATAATACAGACTGTAATACAGACTTTTACTCACACTAAGAAGGACCCTACGCTTTTTGATAAGTGTTGTGGGATCCTTAACGTGCTCAAGGTGTGGCTTTCATAAAACAAGCAACCTCCACAAACTTCCTACAATTGACAGAAAGACGGGTACTGGTTAGAGCCTTGGCCTGTTGTATTAAAGATTACATGATGAAAGATTTCATACTTTGGTCATGTTTATCTTTCCTGCGTAGTCGGAGCATCTACATCTCGGCAGAGTCGGCTGGACCAGCTCATTAACTGGTGCGGGGGGCAGGACTTTGATGGCTGTCTCATCTTTGACGAGTGTCACAAGGCTAAGCACTTTGTACCTGTAAGTCCCTTTCCCAAGAGCACAACTTTGGTGCCTGGTAGGGATTTAACTGCAAGAGTACCTTTTGAGCTTGTTGGTAATTTTGTCAGCCTGCATTAGGCCACACCAATTTAATTTGTTGGTTCTCGGATTTTTTCAGAAAATATATGAAGCGACAGGGCAAAAAAAAATAAAAATAAAAACAGGTCTAGGCATCCTATTATAGGCTTCAATGTTACAAAATGAGCCATGAAGTCAACACAAAAGGCTGGGTTAAAATTTAAACATTGAATTTTGAACTTTTAATCAAACCACTGCAATGATAGATGGGAAAACTGTAACAACTAGGAAGAAAGGGACTTTCCTCAACTGTTGGGGGGCAAAACATGAGCATTTTTCAGTTGATTCAGAACCAACAAATTAAATTGGTGTGGCCTTAGTGTTAGTTTTCTTGCCACCACTTTGCTGTCACAGTCTGCATTAATGTTACTAAACTACATGTAGATACTCATTTTCACCTGAGTCAACCATAAGTGTAAAGTGCCTTACCTTAGCGCACGACAGATTAGAGATTTGAACCCAGAACCCTTAGATTCAACTGCCCTTACCAGAAGACTGCCTTTTGGTAGAATTGTCAGCCTGCAATGTTGTTAGAGTCTTTGCTATCACAGTCTAATGCATTAATGTTTAGAACTAAACAAACTGTTCTGAACCAACAGGGTAAAGAGAAGAACAGCACGAAGGTAGCCCTGGCCGTGGCGACTATCCAGCGACTGCTGCCCAAGGCCCGTGTGGTTTACTGCAGCGCGACGGGAGTCACCGACGTGAAGAACATGGCCTTCATGGAGAGGCTGGGGCTGTGGGGCAGCGGAGCAGCCTTCAAAGACTTCGAACAGTTTCTAGAAGCCATACAGAGACGAGGTCTTGGTAAGGAAATGTTACAGCAAGCAAGCTTTACCTGCACCTCTCAGAGAAGAATGGATCATACTAAAAACCGTCAATGCAGCAAATAAAAATCCACATACACCTACATTTGTATAATATGAACCCAGTTCATGGCCCAGTGCAGGCTAGGCGAAGGTAAAAAAAATATACTACTATATTGTAGTACTAATACTAATGGTCATAGTTTAAGGGGATATGCATTTAAACAGATGAATGAGAGAATTAATGAATGGATGGATGGATGGATGGATGGATGGATGGAGGGAGGGTTGAACAGTGGATCCAATAGTGAACAATGCTGGCAGCCTGTAGAACACTTTGGTTAATGAAGAAGATGGTGACAAACTGTGACATCCTCCCCTCCTGTTGTTGCTAGGTGTGGCTGAGATGTTAGCGATGGAGATGAAAGGATCTGGTATGTACATCTCCAGGGGACTCAGCTTCAGACAGGCAGAGGTAGGAAAACTACTTTTGTTACTATCATTTAACTTAAAAGTTTGGGTGTGTTGATAGACTATTTACATGATTAAAGCTCAAAATTTTGTTCTCTCACAAGGGATTGTTCTTACCCAGAGCTTTCGATCAACCGCTCTGGTCTTCTTCTATAGAGTAGCCCAGTGAGACTTGTTATGTGGCTTCTTTGAAGACATCAACACTGGGTCAAAGGTATCTGATGAACAATGTAGGCCCCCATCACCCATCACTCAAGCGCAATTTGATTGCTAAGCCCTATGATGATCGGATGATTAGCATACATGTGTTATTTACAAACAAGTGACCAGTACAAATACAAATGCTTGGGTACGTTTTTGCCGACAGTTTGTGACAAGTAGTGGCTGCTATCTGAAACGTCTGACCATTTCCAAAATCATATCTAGTTGCTTGAGTAATTGTTTTTTGATGATACTTCACATTGTTTGTTTACTTTGTTTGTTTGTTTACTAACAGTTTGTGACAGTGGAGGTGAACCTGACACCCCAGCAGGTGAAAACATACGACATGGCGGCACACGTCTGGAACGAGTTGCGGCAGTCGCTGACCACGGCCGTCGCGCGTACGGGCACGAACAACCCGCGCATGTGGTCAACCTTCTGGTCCTCGCACCAGAGGTTCTTCAAGCAGCTCTGTATGGGCATGAAGGTAAAGTTTTTAAAGGAGCACTATGGTCGAAAGACTCACACTCGCTCACTATCCAGTTTAGCATCTTTTTTAGTCCACTTCTCAATGTATATTCTTTAGATGTGTTATTTTCCAGTAGATGATCTATCAATGAATAGTTACATAATCTGCCAAAGTTTTGTAGAATTCCAATAAATGAAACATGTGTCATCTAACTTAAAGGTACCAGCGATTGTACAGGAGGCCAAAGAGTCCCTAGAAAAGGGGTACTGTGTCGTGATTGGATTACAAACAACTGGAGAGGTAAGGGACAACTCCAACAAGTTTTTTTTCATTGTTGTATTTAAACAGAAATAGTCCATTCAGCATTGTTCTTTCCCCTGGTGACAAATTAGATGAAGGGCTATACCACCAAAAAATACGTCTAACCCAAAGAAAGTTGTCACTCTGAGTATAAGAACCATGTAAATCCCTATGGTTTATATACTATATTGTACATGTCAACCTTATACATGTAATTAGAAAACATACATTTCACAGCCTAATCTGGAGTTGACTTTCACATATTTTCACATTTTGTACTCTGCACCTAAACATTCCTTAACCAGGTACATGTATAAATCGCTATAGGCTATATGATATATACTCTGTTCCGCAACCATAAAAACATCATACATGTATCCAAAATCATATCCAGTTGCTTGAGTAACTGCTTTTTTGGCGTGTCTTATTACCTGGATGTCTAACCTTCATCAACGTATCATACATGTACATGTATGTTCCACAGGCCAGTCTGGAGTGCGAGCTGTCCAAACATGGTGGGCAGGTGTCAGGTTTCGTGTCGCTGTGTAAGGAGATCTACACACGCTTCGTCCAGCAGCACTTCCCCACGATCATACAGGGGCGGGAGGAGAAGGAAGACTTCTGGTGCAGGTCTGCTAAAGACCTGCTGCTGGGATTTGCCGACAAGATCGGGCTGCCGAACAGGTTGGTATTGTATCCAGAGCTGCTAGCTAGCTATCCAGGATTTGATTATTCTGCTGGTGGTGTCCCTGCCACAGGGGTTGGCAGCAGTCGGCTAGTAGTACTGGTCATCACACTGGTATGAAGTTCTGTGCCTATCTAGTACATGTAGTGTCATCTGTACTCATATGGAAAAACCAAGCAGCTTAGTACACTTGCAGAAGTTTGACTTTTACTGATAGTTTAGTAAGAGACACTGGAATTGAGTTATGATGAGGAGAAGGAGGACTTCTGGTGCAGGTCCGCTAAAGACCTGCTGCTGGGATTTGCCGACAAGATCGGCCTGCCTAACAGGTTGGTGTGCATAGGTGAAAAGGTCTTTTTGAGACCATAAGGACAGAAGATTTGCAAGTTCGAGAGTTTGTATTTATTGGCAACGTGTATTACAAGTACATGTATAAGACACATTATGAGAAACTGTAAATTTTTTCCAACAGGAATATTACCAAGATTTTCTTGTATAGGACTGTTCAGCCATATCTGAAGCTGCAGGGCTGTTAACAGTTAGGATTTTACTGTGGTCAATACTGACTGAAGAAGGCAATATACGATGTGTGAAGGTTTGTTTATTCAATATAAGAATCCTAACCTCCATGCCTGATTTCTCCCCAGTCCCCTGGATGAGATAATAGACCAGCTGGGTGGAACACAGTGCGTTGCTGAGATGACAGGCCGACGCGGCCGTGTTGTGAGGAAAACGCAGAAGTCCCCACCGCAGTACGCCCTCCGAGACTCGGACACGTCCGGCGACATGGACAGTCTGAACATCCGGGAGAAAACCAGCTTCATGGACGGCAGGAAACTCGTCTCCATCATCTCTGATGCTGCAAGCACAGGTCTGTAGCAGGAGCGTCTGATTGGTTAAGTTGTTATTTGAATTAAGAGGTGTCTTAATCTAAAGCTGAGAGAGGCCTTTAGTTTGTAAGTGTACAGGTCTGTCATAGCTGTAAGTACAGTCTGTCATTGGATGTTTTAAGTTAAATCAAAAAGTCAATTCTTCAATATGTATATTTCTAGGAGATCTAGAGGTCTCTCCCAGGCTTAATCAGAAAAAGTGCCTTTTATTTAAGGCATGCACAATTTAGTCAAAGCTGTCAAGTTACTGCATAGAATGCTGTCTAATACAGCCAGCACCATTACATTGAAATCAGTGTAGCTTAGTTTGAAAAAAAAACTAAAGCATGTCAAATACACTAAAGAATTTTAGATAATGTTTGCCAAATTAGCAGTTACTGTAAACAAGCAACCTCTTACATAAGAGATCAGGTTTAGTTCATTTTCGCTGTACTCTCACACATTTACAAATCTACATTGGGGCTTTCCTGCTTCCCAGGTATCTCTCTACACGCAGACATGCGAGCAGCGAACCAGCGCCGGCGGGTACACATCACGTTAGAGCTACCCTGGAGCGCAGACAAGGCCGTACAACAGATGGGACGCTCACACAGGTCCAACCAGTCCAGGTGGGTTTAAGTCTTTTTATTTACAAGTTCAAGTTCAACAAGTTCAAGTTCAATTTCATTTCTTTTTTTTTTAAATCAGGGTTACTCTCTGTGAACGTGGCTGGTTACTGGTTACTAAAAGAGAGCCACTTTTCAAATTGTATACCTTGAAAAAGCAGTACCATGTATTTTGATTTGTAGTACATATAGCTACTTGCTAGCCTACCTACATCACACTTCTAGCAGCCCTTCCACTGGATAGGACCCTAGAAGCTTGATGACAAACACCTCTAAGTCTGCTGTTAATTTTTTGTTTGTTTGTGTCATAAAGTGGTCCCCTGTACAAGTTAGTCACCACAAGTTTAGGTGGAGAGAGAAGATTTGCCGCTGCTGTGGCAAGAAGGCTTCAGAGTCTGGGTAAGTTTCATGCAGAAAACATCTAAATTTAACTGTATTACAATAATTGCAATACAGTTAGAATTTTACTGTACATAACCACTTCTGACAGTTGAAGCTACTACTAGTAGTTATGTATTGAGTCATTGCCGATAAATTTTTGAAGAATTCAGAAACCATTAATGATAAAAATAGAAAGAATGGCATCTCTTTCCCTTGGTGAGTGAAGTTGTATTTGAACCATTGTTATCACACTGAAAAGAAATCAAAATCTGTTGTTGTGACATGGATGCTTTTTATAATAAGCTGTTTATATACCATGTATCTCTTAGGTGCTCTTACTAAAGGCGACCGGCGTGCCGCAACTGGCGCAGACTTGAGCGAGTTTAACTTCGACACCCCGTACGGACGGACAGCCCTGCGGAACATGTACTACGGAATCTGCCATGGTGAGATGGTCGCGGGGGTGTCCCTGGACAGTGTCACGCAGGGAAAATACCAGTTTGGGGAGTTCAACACTGCTATGCAGGTAGGACGCAGAGAGAGGTCACTTTGAATCTGGTAAAACAACCAATTTATATACCATCTATGATAGTGACTAAATGAAAGGGGGTGAGAATCTGCTGTTCATAGCATGATGGCTCATGTACATGTACAAACATGTTAGTGCAGGTAAAATTGGAGCTGTGGAATTTCATGAGCCATATTGACTATTACCACCTATATATGAAATGCAAAATATGGTTTCTGAACAGTGTTTAGTGATCCATATCTAAAGTATATAAATTCTGAATGATGCAGGTAAAATTTGTTTGGTGCAGGTAATTTTCATTGTTAACCTGCACTGGTCCTAAAAAAAAAAGGATTTCCAGCCCTGCTTACACACATACACACAGCTGCTTCATGCTTCATTTTTTCCCCAGGACTGTCTATCCCAGATGGGGGTTGTGGAGGAAGGCAGCGGGAACAGCGTGAAAGACAAGGATTCTGGGATGGTCGGGCGCTTCCTGAACAGGATTCTGGGATTGAGCGTGGAGCGACAGAACCTGATTTTCCGCTACTTCAGCAAGTGTCTGGACGCCAACATCGGAGCAGCCAGGAGAGAAGGAAGGTTAGTTGTTGTGTTACAGTACCTCATACTGTTGTCTTCTTCACTGACAGAAAAAAAAGACTTGTTTGACAGTTTTAGTATGATCCATACTTCCTGCATTCTGAGTGGTGCAGATAAAATTGGCTGGTACAGGTAATTTTCAATGTTAGTATGCAGAAAAAAGTATTTCGAGCCCCGATTGGGTAGTTTATTCCATAGCATGCTATCCTTCATTCTTGTGTATAATACTGCGCTTTTTCACATCCTTCAATTCAGTCAATAGAGAGAGGCTTCACATTATGTTATGGTACCATCTCAGCACTGTAGCAAACCTCAGTTACAGAACTCTTAATATCTGTCTTTCCAAAACAGCACAAGAAAATTTAACCTGACTTTTTCATTTTTGTGTCCCTAGGTACAACGAGGGTCTAGTGGACATTACAGGCTCCTCAGTAGACTTGGTGGGAGATCCACGGGAAGTGTTCCACGGAGTGCACAACGGGACCAACACAACCAGGTAGGCACGTCATGAGTGTACTGTAAATGCATTTAACTTTGCTGCAGTAAATATTTTGTATTTACTTTGCAAATCTGTCCCTCTATCCGGTTTATCGTTGCTCACTGATGCCGGGGCTTGATGGTATCTCGCCATTTGCCTCTGTCCTGTGGTTCTTTGTCACAGTGAATGTCAATACCCCTGCAGGTTAGAGTCTCAGCAACTTCACCGGCCAGCCATGCAGTGTCCCAACATTAAGTGATGCAATCCATGATTTGGATGCTCCTTTGCTATGGAACACTACAGGAATGATACAGGGCTGTTGGATGTATGAATGTCACCAATTTCTTTCTTTATCCCTAGGCACGTAGTGTTGTCGGTGGACCGAGGTATGGACTGGGACACGGCCATGGAGCGCGCTAAGAACCATGGGAAGGAGAAGGATGGGTTCTACTGCAGCCGGAGAGAGGTCAGAGGTCGTCGGCTCTACATCCTGGCCACGCAGAAGGAGAACTCCACCCACCTCTTCAAAGTGGCACGGTCGGGATTTTAGAAATCAAACTTTTCTTTCATAAGGAGCTTCTTCTGTGTGCAAATAATTACTTGTAAAATGCTACTTTTTACTTTCGGGTACGGAAGTACATGTATTGTTTTGGGTGACTGACTTGATGGGTTTGTCCTAGTTGCTTTCAGTTTCATGGTGGGTGGGAGGTGATTTTGACAGTTGATTGATCATGATAGGGAGGTCACCTGAAAGTCTTTTGACTTGGAACTTTAGGTTTGCTATAAGCCAACCCTGCATTTTTCTCTTTCACATGGTAGTAATGCCAAATATAATACTGCAGATGTCTTTGGAAAATGCAGATCTACTAGGTTAATATATTGATGTTGGAAAATGTGGTTTACATATGATCTTCCCACTGTAGTCCAAACACGGGGGTGTCCAGTTTTGATGAAGAGATTTCAGAGATCCTGTCCCGGTACTCCCACGTGGCAGAGGACAGGGCAGAACACGGCTGGAAGCAGCAGTATGAGGAGGCAAGTCAGCACTGCATCCACGGGCCTAACTGTAAGAATGGACAGGCCTGCACTGGTAAGGGGCATTGGATTTTCACTTTCTTCTGTTCTTACATTTTCACTGTCACAAAGAAGCAAGGAGAAGCAAAATTCCTTTACTAGTAGACTATAGTAGTCATGCATTTTTGACAATGTCAGTGTCTACATGTATCTGTAGACAATTCTTTTGTTGTGACCTGTACTTAACCCAGTGTGTATACATGTACAATAAAGGTTTTCATCCATTCATTGATCCTGTCCATGTGTGTATTGCACCCAGTTGGCAGTCGGTGCTACCGTGTCAGCCTGCTGTGTGGAGGGATTGTGACTCTCATGTCTCTGTTAGAGAGGACAGTCGCACAGTACCAGGCCAAGCTGCAACTCAGGTCAGTGAAGTCTTCATTTCTTGTTTTCTTTTTACTAGTTCTGAAACTACTGATTAGTTTACATCTTACATTGAAATCTTAGCAGTCTTGGCAAACGTTATTGCAGATTTGAAAGCGTGTTCCTTTCATCCTTGGCTGTCAGTGTGTAATACTTTTTTAGTACAATTCTAAACCTTAAGGTATGCAAGAATCAAATTTTCAACAGCCACTCTTGTGTTGGACTAAAGTTTAGCATTGCACAATAATAACTACCAAGTACCAACACAGATGAACTTCCATGATAATGCTTTTGTTTACTTGTTTGTTTGTTTACAGCAAGGTGGAGTGCAACCTTCGTGTGGTGAGGGTTGAGTTGAGGGACGGCAGGAGGATTGTGGGATTGCGTTACCCGGAGGTTCTCATCCCGCTGGCAGAGAAGGCGATGCAGGAACAGAATCTCCCAGAATCCATCATTCAGAGGATCAAGAACCAACCTACTGTGAGTGTGTTATGGCATGATATGGGTTTATGTGTCTGTTTGTCCTAATACTAGTAGCTTCTGATGCTTCTGTTGGTTGCAAAGGGAGTGGAGCACTAGTATTCATTTGGACGCGTGCGTGTGTGTGTGTGTGTGTGTGTGTGTGTGTGTGTGTTCACATGTGTGCGTGTGTGTTCGTGCATGCATGCGTGTGTGTGCATGTGCGTGTGTGCATGTCTTTCCATGTGTGTGTGTGTGTATGTCTGGTCTTGCAGTCAATTTTATCTACTGGTATGTTCTGTCTGATAGTTCTTTCTGTTCGCAAGGGAAGTCTGTTATCGTTTATGCCATAACTTGTTGTTCATCTAAAGCCACTATTTTCTTCTCCCCAGATCCTGAGTAACGGGATGTTGGCACTACCCTCCCAGTCCGCCCCTCCCCCTCTCCCTGCCAACAGGGCGACCTCAGCCGTCATCGAGCCAGCCTGTCCAGTCATCAGGAAGTGCCTCTCCCGTGCCACCACACCGCCTGTCACCATCAAAAACTTCTTCAAACCCTGTAGCACCATAAAAAGGACTACTTCTACTAGCACAGTGGCCACCAGCCAATCAGATTCAAGTGTGGAAGCGGCTGGCCAATCAAATGGTGATGCCACCGATTGCACCGATCCTGACCAATCAGGTGCAAGCCAGGCCAGCCAATCAAGTGGTGGTGCCATGGATCCTGACCAATCAGGTGCAAGCCAGGCCAGCCAATCATCTGGTGTAATCCAATCAGGGAGTGACCAATCACAAGAGGAGGAAACCGAAAAACCGGAAACAGAAACAGCCTTGTCAACTGTAGACAGTGCAACTGATGTTGTGGTACTCAGCCAAGATTCTTCATCAACTCAGGGATCCAGCTTCGATTCTGAAAACAAGTTTGGCAGTTCTCAGACCTGTAAGAACACGACTAACTTGGAGAAGCTCTCCGTCAAAAGGCCGTTAGGAAGTAGCAGCGCAAACCGTCCCGCAAAGAGACAAAAGAGCCAGAAATCAAACAGTCTGATGACCATGTTCAAAAAGGCGACGCAAAAGGAAGAAGTCAGCAAGTTGAAGAAACAGACATGTCCCATCTGTAATGTTGTCATGAAGCCGGGCACCACAAACGGGGAGCTAAACCAGCATATAGACAACTGTCTTATAGAGTAACTAAAAGTACACATCATTTTCAATATGACAGAAAGAACTGATTCAGAAGTAAAGGGTTAGCTTGTAGATGGTAGATGAATGTTGACAGCAACACTTCTGATTTGGAAGGTCATTTGTAACTTAAGAGAAGGGAAAACATGTAGACAAGTGTCTAATAGAAAAACGTAAACCTATACTGTCGACTGTGATACTTCTGGTTTGGAAGCACATTTGCTATTTTATAGAAGGCAAAACATGTAGACAACTGTCTAATAGAACAGCAAAAGTACACATTATCGTCGAAACCACAAACAAGTAAAGTAAAGGGCAAGCTGGTAGGTGACTGTGGACAGTGATACTCCTGGTTTAGAAGTATGTTTTGTAACGTCAAGAGAAGGAAGGATGTACTATAAGATTTTAACCTCAAACTGAAGGTTGAAGACAGTATACTGGCTTTGTATACCACACAGACTGAAGAATCTATGTGGAACAAACACATCATGTAGATAATAGGAGATGCGTAGTGAAGCTAGTCAATGGATGTGAAAGAGTCACAACTATATCTTCTCTTTTATAGTTCTAGAGGATATTTTCTGAGACATTTTACTAACTTATTATCACTATTAAAGTATACAGAAAATAATAAAACTTGCGACTGAACCGTTTCTTTGGATACATGAATGTCATAGGTCGAAAGGAAAAGAGATGCCAGAGAAAGTGAAGCAGAATTACCACCACCAAGTATGTCAATTGCAAGCCGATGGTGTTAGGGACCAAAAATGAATAAGGTTTTAATTTATCAAAATAAGAAAGTCTAGTGTCCGTAGCTAATGGACACTCCTCTAGCCAATGAATCCGCTAGCTCATCCATTTGCCACCGTATGAGCTGCTTTGAGATAACCACTGCTAGTGCGCAGGCAACACCTGAACGTCCTACCGTGTGTTGTGTTACATTCTCCTTATTTGGTCACGCGTCATGTTACCTGAGTAACCATCCTTGGGTGACCTCAGACGACACCCGACCCGATAGACGAAAGCAGCATGGAGGCAGCACCCAGACTTGTTCTACTGGTCTTAGCTGTTAGCCAGGCCCTGCTGTGCTGGGCAGGTAAGCTTTGGCTTATCATAGATAGTACTGGCGGTTTACAAACTGTTTCCTTTGAAAGCTAACCTTTATTCTGACGGCTAACTCACCATGAAGTTAAACATTAATCTGGCACAACCTGTCGGACCCCCCCCCACCGGCTTCTTAAGGTAGTTGAGGGAAATTTTCGACTTCATTTCTAACCCAGTACATTGAAACTACAACCAACTGTCTCTGGTACGTCCGTTGCAGTAGAGGTATATTTGCTTTGAATGCTTTCCCGTCCTTGTGTCGGTTGCTGTAATGGTTGAATGGCCTGTATTCCTACGGTATCTAGATTCAACTGTAAATCTGCAATTCAAATAAATTCCGAGTTTTGTTTCCACTTCATTTCTACCTCGATAAACCTCGAACTACCACTAAAACGAACGCCCGACCAGCTGAAGTAGAGTGATGACTTCTTTTCGGTAATTTTTGGCACACACGTCTGCCTGACTTGACCCTTAACAGGTGTGCGTTCCTTTGTGCTCTGTTAAACTCATGTTTGTTTAGCAGACGTATATCGCCTTACTGTTGTATACCCGGTCAATTTACAGGAAAACAAAACTCAGCCTTTGTTTGAATTGCAAATTTACGGCTGAATCTAGTAAATAAGGTACGAAGAAAGTTAGACAGATTAATTAGCCTTAGAGGCTCAGTGGGCGTTGCTCCATTGTACCGGAAGGGAAGTCCGTAAGTGTAAAGTGCCTTTCCCAAAGGGGTACAACGTCGGGGCACGGTGAGTATCGAACCTTAATATTGGTTCCGAGTCCAACGCTCTAACCGTTGCGCCACCGACACCACGAAGAAATACAAGTCTATATGCAGTGTTAATGTCCATCCATTCAATCGTTTATGAGTACCGCTTAACTAAGTACTTACAATACATGTATTTTCATTGCACATTGTACCATTGTCCGATTTGTCGTGCAATAAAGTTCTATTTTCCCAGGCACCACAGCGCAGCAGGTAGACAGCCCTGTAGTGAACACCGTGACCGGACAAGTCCGTGGGACCATCCGCCTCGCCACCGACCTGCCCAAAAAGCCAGTCTACACCTACTACTCCATCCCCTACGCCGCCCCACCGGTGGGGGAGCGGCGGTTACGACCCCCGGGGCCTGCCCTACCCTGGGGTGGGGTGCGAGACGGGACCAAGCTTGGCCCCTTCTGTCCGCAGGTATGTATGGCAAGATATTGGACATCTTACACCAAATTAGAATCTTACACCACGAAATCTTGTAATCTTACACCAAAACTGTGCCCAAAGGAATTCGTCCATCTTTCCCCCGTGTGTGTAAGATGTAATATTTGGAAAATAACCACTTTTTAGGAGCAGGTGTTCTACTGTATAAAAGCATTGCTTTTGAAAGGTCTTCGTTTTTTCTTGTGATAAAAGTATTGCTTTGAAAGGTCTTTGTGTTTTTTCTTCCAATGAATTCCCATGAGTGCAATAATTGTGATAAAATCTGGATACTTTAGGTAATTGGTTTGTAAGATTTGGTGTAAGATTCCAAAATGTGCTGTGTTTTTATGTCCAATATTTGGCCACTACTGTCCGCAGGACCTGATGTTACTGGAGGGCATGGATGTACCCATCAGACTGGAACACACCAATGTGAGCGAGGACTGTTTGACCGTCAACGTCTACAGCCCGACTTTGGCAGAAAACGCTGCTTTACCCGTAAGTATCGGATCAAGTTACCCTTGATTCTGCCTTCTGTATTTATGTGTATTTATGAGTGCGTTTCTGTAAGACTACCAGATCTTCGATAAATAATGTTAACTTGACCGTAGCATCTTCAGATCAAACCATACAACATCCACAACGTTCCAATGTATACGTAGAACCATAACAATCCGCTAGGGGCACAAAATCTATTCATTTCGAGGTCTCATTAAACCCTACATACATACCAAATACAAGACTTCTATAAAACATGCACACACAGTGTCACACACACACACACACACGCACACACACACACACACACACACACACACACACACACACACACACATACACACTAGCATGCCTGTCCTTGGTGCTGAACACTACACACATACACACACACACACGTTCAAACTTCCTTGTAGAAGGTAATCATCCTTGCCTTTAATGTGTCCATGTACCAGGTCCTCCTGTACATCCACGGCGGCGGGTTGATGGTAGGCATGGGCTCCCATCATGGGTTTGAGGGGCTGGCGGCTCACCAGGACGCCGTGGTCGTCACCTTCAACTACCGCCTGGCGATGCTGGGATTTCTCAGTACGGGAGACAGCCATGCACCCGGCAACTATGGACTACTGGACCAGGTTAGTCTGGGAACGTTGATATAAAATAGAGTATTAACTAGAAATCAGAGGTTTCGAACTGGCTTCAACTACCGTCTGGCGATGCTGGGGTTTCTCAGTACAGGAGACAGCCACGCCAGTTGCGCCCGGCAACTATGGACTACTGGACCAGGTTAGGCTGGGAACATTGGAATAGCTTTTGCTGGTCTTCACCATCAACTAGCGATGCTGGGGTTTCTCTGTACGGGAGACGTTATAGTTGAGGCCATATAAAATGTAAATCGCAACAGAGCTATTGCTGCTACCTTACCTCACCCTTACAACGTTTCTTCCCACCCATATTCAGGTCCAGGCCATGGTTTGGGTCAGGGACAATATCCGGAACTTCGGAGGGGACCCAGACAAAGTCACGCTGTTCGGAGAGTCCGCCGGAGGCGTCAGCATATCCTACCACTACCTGTCGCCTATGAGTAAAGGTTTGTTTTTATTATTATTATTATATAATTATTATAGGGTGTTGAAATTGAATGTATTATCCCAGAACCTTAGAAAGTCTGCCGAAGACAACTGAACGTTGGTAGATATATGTGCGGCAGTGTAATAATAGGTAATGAGTAATTGTGTCCTGTTCAAAAGGTCTGTTCAACCGAGGCATCTCCCAGAGCGGCATCTGGCAAACCATGCCATTCAACACCGACCCACTGCCGGTCGCCAAGTCGCTAGCAGAGGAGCTAGAGTGCGCCACGGAGACTACAGCCATCATGATGGAGTGTTTGCGTACCAAACCTTTTCAGGACATCATTGAAAAAAGCAACGTTCTGTTGGAACGGTTTGCCGTGGAACCGTTCGTTCCTACGATAGACGGGACGTTCATGAAGGAACATCCCATGGACCTGTTTGAACGGGGGCATATCAACAAGGTATGTACACCTACCAGAGCTCAGTCCTTTTCGACTAGCCTCCTGTGCAGGCCCCGCGGCGGTGGGAAAAAGTTTTTAACGCATTATTTTAATATAGCCGGCCTTGGGCGGAATGGAACCTTCTCTCGGCAGCTATGTAGGATGGCCGGCCATATTAAAATAATGCGTTAAAAACTCTTCCCCACCGCCGCGGGGCCTGCACAGGAGGCTACTTTTCGGCAAGCTTTCTAGCATTTTCTTTACTTGGACAGATTTCAACAACGTACCATTTCTGACAATGCTAAACAATATTTAGTTCTTCGTGGTAATTTGTTTAAGCTTTGTTCCTATGACATCAACTGTAAAATTATATTAGCCACACAAAACTACATAACAGATAGAAACAGAACGCCTTTAGCTACGTGTCCTGTTTTGCTTTCGTTATGCTTTCTTTTCTACTAAGAATAGAGTTTTGATTCACGCTTCAACTAGGTCGCTTATATATGAATTCACAATTTTTCAAACGTCTTCTAAAATTTATTTTTCATTGTAAAAGTGACTGCGGGTATAAGTTGTGCCTAACTTGAGTTCGCAGCCATTTTGTCTATGTCCTTTCATTTGTATCTATTACTGTCTTTCCAAATTAAAAAAAAAAAACAAGGCGGACTACATCGTTGGGGTGAACAACCACGAGTTCGGCTGGATGCTGGCACTGGCTGTGGCAGGGGAGTCGTACGGATCCGGCATGTCACAAGAGGACTATTCGGCCTTCGTACAGATGGTGGCGTACAGCAAACACCAGGTGAGGGAATAAGGTCCGCACTTAAAGACTGCGCGTGCCCAGTGTGTGTTGTGGGTGATATAGTAAAAGTGAAGGCACCTGAGAGATTAACAAACTAGAAAGGTAATGTCTTTCTATCTTTTTGACTAACAACCAAACAATCCAGGCGGAAAATCTTGTGATCGTGTAAAGCTTATAGTCTACACGTACACACTATACTTTAAGAGCACCATTATGAGATACCGTTTACAGTTAGATTTGCAAAGGTTGATGTAACAGGTTGTTCGGTGTAATATAGCTGGCTGCCGCTGTGCTGCGTGCCTCCGAAGCTGGTGAGTTACGTCGAAGGGCGGTTACCAGCTATACTGTATAAAGATGCAGAAAAATACATTTGAGGAGTTCTCACATTTTGTTGAAGAATGCGCACCTCACACGAGGATGAACTGAACTGAACTGAAGCTTAACCCACATCATTCCCATACGCTTAGGGTCCAAACCTGGAAAAGATCACAGAAGCGATACTGGCGGAGTACCGGGACCCGGACCAGCCGGACGACCCGATGGCGATTCAGCACCAGTTCACTCAGATGTACGGGGACTCCATGTTCGTCGCGCCGGCCGTGCTGGCTGCAGAGAAACATGCAGGTAGGCGGCGCTTCTTACGATCTTTTTAGTACATCGTAATTTAAAGTAGCCTCTACCAGGCTTCGGGAAGCGGCTGGGTAGACATATCGGCCTAACGGAGCCTGCCTAACGGAGAGATAACATGTAGCACCAAACTGCACTCTCTAGCGGACCAACTCCCCTGGCATGTTATCTTTCTATTTGGCCAATTTCTGTACTCTTTCCAACCGCCTCCCGAAGCATGGTAGAGGCTACAATGTGACAGGTCCTATCTAATATAACGGTGACTTAATTGTACTGCATATTTCCCAGCCGCCGGAGCTCGTGTGTTCCTGTATGAGAACCAGTACCGACCCTCGGTGTTCCCCAACAGGCCGGAGTGGGCCGGATCAGACCACTTTGACGAGATGCTGATGGTATCCGGATTGCCCTTCATGGAGCCCCAAGACCTTCCGGATCCGGTAACCTACAGCGAAACGGATAGGAAAGTCAGTCTGGAGTTCATGGCTTACTGGACGAACTTCGCAAGGACAGGGTAGGTTTTGACACCTAGATTTCTATTTTTCTACATGTAAATTTTACGTTGTGTTAGTGATAGCTTAAGTTTCTTTGCGAGTCATTTTGGAAGAGTGTCGACTCTTGTGCAAAAAGTTCTTGCTAAAATGAATTGCTATTTTCGTCGTTGTAAGTTTCAATTTCAAATTAGTGTTTTACGTTCATCCTATATTTCACTAAAGAGAGCCCAATTTTACATATAACAGATAATACTATAATGCGATCCCACTACATCATTTTTATCAGCTCTATGGGCTTTGTATCATCAACCATTATCGTTTGAAACTCGTATTGCTGAATGAGAAATAGGAGTAGCTTTATAGATGTCAGCCTTTTTAGCTTTAGTAGCTCTTAATCGCTTCACTACCAAAAGACTGGATCCGTGCATGTACATGTATCTCTGGCAGGGAGACAACGAAAGACTAAGAGAGCGTACTAAAGATAAAATGGCTACATCCAATTTCCGTAAATAATTTCATCAGGTTGGAAGATACTTAGGGTATAGAATTTTCTCCTTACACAACCGGGACGAGGGGGGATACAAGCTCAGCCACGTTTGGGATTGCATTCTCGCCGCAAAAGCGCCACCTACATTGGCGTTAAATAGCGGCGAGTTGCAGAACTCCAGTCAGAAGCTCTGAGGAAGGTGTCTGATAGACATCGAAACGTAAGCAGGTGAGAAACCATATGGTTGTGTAAGAAGAAAATTCTATACCCTAGGCTACATCCAAGCTAAATGGCTATGGCTACATTCAGGCTATAATACTAGTATGACAGGAGTTCTCCACACCTACCGTTGCAGGAATCCAGCCGACTCGACCGGCGGCCCGACAGACAGCCCCTCCCTGCCGGCCTGGCCGGAGTACACACCCGACAACCCGGTCTACATGAAGCTGGGCCCGGTCCCGACAATAGGCGTCGGGCTCAAGCCTCAGAGGATGAGACTATGGAACACAATCATCCCCAGTCTAGATGCAGCAGTAAAAGATGAACTATGACACAACTTCTTCTTTACGTATAGTTTTTAATAAATGATGTTTAATCGCCTTTGTGCAATTTTTAAATCTCTTGGAAATAGTTTGAAAATATAAACAACGCCACTTCTGAATGTGACCACTAATATTGGTTTGCTAGAGCACAAAATTAAGCCCTCCAGGTGTTGAGAGCCTTTGTAGGCACTGCTCAACTTATGGTTCCAAACGTAACTTACCACACTTTACACGAACGGAAACAGTTTCAAGTCTGCTTGAGTTTCTGTTCATTGGTGATATCGACAGTGACGAACTACAGACGTATTGAATTCGAAGTTTGTGTGTATTACATCCCCTTATACTCTAGAAGATGCCACTTCACTAGTATCCTCCAATATCGGTCGACAAATACTAGTAGCTAGCGATAAGTTAAGGTTGACTCCTGGGCTGGTCTCGACAATTTGCCCTTGTCTTCTCATGGGATCCAGGGTTTGAAGGCTCTCTTTCTCGCCTTCTGTGGAGACACCGGGCAACTTCTGGTCCGCCGTGGACTTGGAATTTTGTACTTGAGGTCTGTATGTGGACAAAATATGGTACAGATCTCTACCAAACTACAAGCAACAATCCTACAACAAATAAGAGCGTAGTTCGATCTATTCTCTACCAAACTACAAGCAACAATCCTACAACAAATAAGAGCGTAGTTCGATCTATTCTCTACCAAACTACAAGCAACAATCCTACAACAAATAAGAGCGTAGTTCGATCTATTCTGTACCAAACTACAAGCAACAATCCTACAACAAATAAGAGCGTAGTTCGATCTACTCTCTACCAAACTACAAGCAACAATCCTACAACAAATAAGAGCGTAGTTCGATCTATTCTCCTCTATTGGACATACATGTATACCCCCTGAGCTGGTTCTGTCATATGTACTAACCTGTTTGCTTGTTGAAGTTCTGCTCAGATACGGGTCTGGAGGGGTCAGCTTTCTTCCGAAACTCTGAAACAGGACGAGCGGGGTATGGATTAACAAAAATTGGAAATGTGACCTCAGCATTACAGAAAACGTACACAGAGCACGAAGACATTTTATATCGGTTCTATGCTCCGGGTTGTATATATGTCTTACCTTTTAGTTGGTAGGACCTGGACAGTTTCCAAAGACGGTCGAACTCTTCCAAGATTTCCTCCCAGCGCGCCGGTTTGGGGACGTGTTTTGGGTGGCGGAAGTCGTCGTAGATCGGCCGTTTTGCAGGGTGAGGGTCTGGATATAGAAATGTTACAAGGACGACCTTAGACCGATATCAATCAATCAATCAATCAATACCCTTTATTTATACTAGAAATGCCCTGTCGGCCTTAGCCGCTCTTCCCAGAGGTTCAGTTGAGGGGGGTTGTCACGGGAACACAATAAATAAGTAAATAAAATTTAAATTAATACAAAAATAAATTACTAAATACCTAACTTAATAATCATATCTTGTCCAAAATCACAATCCGCAAAATCAGTCCGCAAATCAAATTTCTCGACTACTGTATTCTTTGTTTGAAAGTTCTCAATGATGGAGCACACTGTGCATTCTCTGGTATGCCGTTCCAGATGATAGCCCCAGACACAATCTGTCCTATAATTAAAGATGCCATCTTGACGTTTGTCTCGACATGAATATCAGAAGCTTTGTAATGTGTCGCTTGGCACTTTTTTGCAGCCAAAGCGGTTTATGGGGCTCTATGATATGATAAAAAGTGTCACCCAGTTATCGCTGTAAAAACATATGGGCCAAATACATGTATCAGTATATTTTGAAACGTTGTAATTCAACTGTCATTAGCACAATTAATATAACGTGGTTTTCAAATCTGCCGTATGACTTGTCAGGGGCAATTTACCCGAATCTGTTAAAGCCTGAATTTGTTCACGTTGTAACAAGTACTAGTGACTTATCTTGAAAGTTCATCTGTGTTGGTAGAAGTCATTATGAAGTAAGTTTAAACTGTAATTTCCAACACAACAAAAAATTGGACTCACCCAAATTTTCGACTGTACAACTCGAGTCTTTTTCAAGGAATGAGCAATCCACCGCTTCCGTGACGTCACGCAGATAACACACGTGACTCCGTGAGCAGTGGATCATAGGTTGCAGAAAGGCTGTGGCGCCCCCCGTCTCTGTTGAGGGATGGCTGTAAAGCCCTGATGTAGATGGCCTCTTTAATCCCTCGTGCAAAAAAGTCCGGTTCTGTGTCCAAGATTTTTACTTTGTCCAGTGGACGTCACGGAAGCGGTGGATTGCTCATTCCTTGAAAAAGAGTGGAGTTGTACAGTCGAAAATTTGGGTGAGTCCAATTTTTTGTTGTGTTGGAAATTACAGTTTAAACTTACTTCATAAGTACTAGCGACGTTGTAACTAGGCTACCACGTACCATCGTTTGGGTACAGCACCGCCTCCGGATAGCTTGCCCGCTTGTAACGAGGGATGTAGAACCCAGGACCGATGCACTGTTGGCTGTGCTTCTTTCGGCCGTCTTTTCTGGAACCGTACGCGTTGTCGTCTTTCCGCGCGACCGGGTGCTGTCGAGCCTGGGCCCACTTCGAACGGTGTCTGTTTTCCGGCCTAAAACTTGAGTAAATTGTGTATAGAGCGTTACTGTACTGGACTAGCCGACCACAATTGCGGTTAAATGTAGAAACTACTTATTGACGTAAGAATAATGGGCTTTATATAAGACGTGATGGCAGAGACATTACAACAAGCAAAACACAAATCTTGTTCTAGAACAAGAAAAATGTCCCTCGTAGGCCTCGGTCACCTTCGTCGCAAGATCGCCAACTTAAGACATTGTTGGAAGAGGGCCTGCAAGCCCTTTTTCGTAAGGCGTAATCAGGCCTTTTTAGACTCCGTAATTCGTAGGCAGCCTTTGCAAAAATCAACGTAATTCGTAATAGGACATTAGCCACAAATCGTTAAGACGTAATCAGCTCTGAGACTTTAACGTAATTCGTAATCGGCGGCGAAAATTTTGGGTAATTCGTAATCACCCCCCCCCCCCCATGCAGGCCCTCTTGGAAATACTGTCTTAGATTCTTGTCGGCGGTTGGGTTTGCCACAGTCTGCTCAGATATTCTTTGCCTTTGGGACAATCGCACGACCTACGACGAATGTGATCGCGCCGTAAACGAACAACACTATCTCTGAAATGTTTGATTAAAAACAAAGATAATCTTTTGCGACAAAACCTTTTTTTTTTTTGCACATGATTATTATGGTGACAAGCTTCTACCTTCTACAGCCAATAACAGACGTGAATCACTCTTTACATCTTTCAACAATTTGTTTTAAAGTTTGTCCTCCGTACGATGTTGTCATCAATCACATCCACTTTTCCCTATGACCCCTTACCTCGAGCTCTCATGGCCCGCAGTATAAATGTCTGCAGCTCCCCATTGATATCTCGCAGGGTGGTTCCACTCCCCATGTTCCCGATTCGCCATGAATATTTCCGAGGACTGACGCGTTTTTTTTACGCGCAAATGACGCACCACGTCTTGTTACCGTTGACTTGACCGTGTTGTGCAGTCGCGGTAGATGTTTGACAACTCACTGTGACGTCAGATGACGTAATAAACCTCCCGAACTGTGCGCTCAAACAAACGGAAACGTCCGAACGATGTTCGAAAGAACACGATGTTCGAAAGAACGTTTAACCTTCTCCCTTCTACATAACCCCGGTGCATAGCCAGCAGAGAGAATCGGTATCCAAACTGCTACTGAAGTGTGCTGACATACCAGCTTTATTTTGTACCAACCGAATTTTGGTTGGTAGATAGCTCTTGGGGTAGGGAAGAAGTGACTGACTGATGTAAAGACCGTGAATGGAAGACTTTGTTTTTTTATTTTTTCGCCCGCCCTCTCCATTATTTTTCTAGAAAATTACTCGTTAACCAGGAAATTAAATTGGTGTGGCCTAAAACATAATTAGTTTTTGCTGACATTCTATTTATTTTATCTTATATGGTGCACCCAATTTTTTTTGTGCACCCACTTTTTCAGGTTGGGTGCACCAGTGCTCCTATTGCCAAAAATAAATTTCGAGCCCTGATTGCCAAACAGCAGTTACTGCATTATTCACCATCAAATCCTAAGCTTATCATCAAATTATCACAATGGCAAATTACTGTAATTATTTTATTTATTTATTCACATGGATTTTTGAGCATTGGATAGGAAGCACTTGTTGTGCTTATGTGAATCCGCTGCTCATAAAACATAATACAAATGTACACATAGAGATGACATAAAGTATAACATAAACATAAAATGAAAGTGGCTGGCGCACCAATACCTATAGCATAACATTAATGAGATTGGTCAAATCTTCCAGAGTGGTGGATATAGTTGAACACAATATCAAAGATACGGCAGTTAGTAGGGTATGGGAGAGAGGGGTTACCTGTAAGAAGTAAAGTACATAAATTACTGTAATTCATTAATATATAATTCATATTTGTTCAACAACATTATAATATTGCAAATTTTAATTTCATTTGAAAAAAAATAGAGCATCTTCATTATATCATATTTTATTTGCATTTGATTTTACCAAAATAATTTTTCTTTCTGCAAAACAACATCATTTCACTAAAGTTATTTTCACCTTGGAAAAAGACATCATAGAATTCTACATCATATATTTCTTTTAAATATTCATTTCTTTGCAACGGATATCATTAGCATTATATTATATACCAAAATATTTAAAGATCCAGAGTATGAACATTTTGGTACACACATACTCTTTTTAGAGTAGGACATCTCTCTGGTACAAAATATGTTTTACATTGATAGTCAAAAACACTCAGTTGTTCTTAACACATTTATATTAACAATGCATATATCATTTAGATTAGTGACACAATAAAGCACATTACTGTCACCTTCATAACTTTTCTTCAAAGTTATGATCACCCCCAAAAATGATTGGAACTGACCTAACATCCCTAGTAAAGGGAAGAAAGTCTTCACTTTTGAATCCATAAAAATAAAACTAATTGTAACACAGGACAAATTAACTGTGCAAATATAACTTAAAATGTCAACATAATTCAACCATACAAAAAAACAACAAGTGACAAAATGTAAATTACTCAGCCCAAAAGTTTCCTCCTGGTCGAGCTGTTACCTTAGTACGAGGGCCTGCAAGCCCTTTTTTGTAAGGTGTAATCAGGCCGTTTTAGACTTCGTAATTCGTGGGCAGCCTCCGCAAAAATCAACGTAATTCGTAATTGGACATCAGCCGCAAATCGTAAAGTCGTAATCAGCTCTGAGACTTTAACGTAATTCGTAATAGGCGGCGAAAATTTTGTGTAATTCGTAATCACTACCCCCCTTGCAGGCCCTCTAGTACGGGAAGTGCAACCATAACCTGTGACCTAAAGGAAGTGTAACCATGATCTGTGACCTACAGGAAGGGCAACCATAACCTGTGACCTACAGGAGGTGTACCATAACCTGTGACCTACTGGAAGTGCAAACACGACCTGTGACCTAGAGGAAGTGTTACTGTGACCTCTTGTTCACCCTTGACCTCATATGACATCCTTCCACATAGAAATCATTGAGCCATGACTTCATCACTTGGCAGGATTTATAAATACATTTTATGGTCATAACCTATGACCTATGACCCAACAGGAAGTGCTATCGTGACCCTTGACCTTACAGAAAGATGCTTGACCCTCCAATGACACTAGTCTGAAGCAGTAGCAAAAGGGTAAAGGTCACCAGCACCAGGATACCAAACAGGTAGGACGGCTTGATGGGGATATGGAACAACTTGGCCTGCAAAATTAAAGGCAAACAAATGTCATTCAAGCTAGAACTGTTTTAAAGCGATGTACGTCAAGTATTGAACTTCCCTTGTATAATACTGTAAATTTATTTGCTTTTGTTTACTTTTACTTTAAACTCTCAATATGGAAAGGGAGTTTTTTAAACTTGATATTGCAGCACAGTCAGAAAATATTAGGATGGGACAACGAAGCTATGGGTACAGGCTACAGTTAACAGCTACACTGTAGAAATGCAATGAAGATGTTTATCTGCAGTGTCACCACCAAATGAAACCACTGCTAACATTTCAGGATTTACAGTAAACCTGCGGTTGAACTTTATTTATTTATTTATTTATTGATCTTAAAAACGGTTGGGTGGTACCTTCAGTTTAGGAACTGATTTCCAAGGTAGCCCAACATAAGACAAAACAAGTTACAAAGGACATGCATGACACAATCAATTACTTAAACATAGAGATAATAAATAATATGAACAAGTATGAAAGAGTACAAGTAGTCAATCATTGGAGACAGGACATTTCAACCAAAACAAATAGTCAAAATCATAAGGCATAATCAGGCATGAATCGTGAGGCATGAACCGACCTTGAAGTTGAGGTTAAGGAGGAAGAGCAGGAAGGAGTCCCTCTCCAGCTGGGAGGAGTTCTGGTAGCCGAAGACTCGCATGTCCAGCCCGATCCTCTTTAGGCTCATGATGGTGGAATTCAGCCGGGCGGCCTGATAAGGAAATCAACAACTTGTCATTCACTTCACTTCACTTTATTTATTTATACAGGAAATTGCGCTCAGGTCATTTGACCTGTTTTTCAGACAATCCTGTTTTTTTAAAAACAATGCAATACATTGAATTTCACAAATCACAATAGCAACAGTTACACAATATACAATTATTCTACCAGATACGTTACATATCATGCATCTTTGTTAAGCGACGCTTAAATGTCCTGAACTCAGTCAGTGTTCTCAGTTCAATGGGAAGGTCGTTCCACAGCTGCGTGCCGTAGTACTGTAGGCTACCACGATATGCTGCCACTCTTGCTGATGGACAATGAAGCTGGTGGGGGTCATAGTCCCGTAAACGTTTAGCTGCTGAACGTGTGCTAGCCCTTAAGGACGGCGGTGACATCCATTTGAACAGTGCTGACATGTACTGTGGCGCTCTCCCGCGTACTGACTTGTAGACTGTAGCCAGAGAAACCGTTTCTAGCCGCTTACTAACAGACTCAAGTCCTGTCATTGAAAGTCACGTCTATCACAGTGTTCTGCAGGCTCCTTCTGTCATTAGATGGAATTTATTAGCATACAATTTATTGTTGACAACCCACATGAGTTGGCAAATGACCTGTCTACTCATCCGTCGAAACCGATAGAAGACTCCAGCATTCTTGAGCAGCAAAACATAATATGTGTCACAACAACATATTAAGCAGTAGCCTGGAATCCATCCGTGAATGCTGTGTCTCCGCTCCGTTCCTCCGCTCTGGGAGGGCAGAGCGGAGCGGAGCAGAAGGAGACACAGATGGATTCCAGGCTAATTTAGGGGGGGCCCGCAAGCCCTTTTCCGTAGAGCGTAATCGGCCATTTTAATTCTACGTAGAGCGTAGACGGACCGCTCTAATATTTTTGCGTAGAGCGTATTCGACGTTTTAATTCTACGTACTGCGTTGTAGCCACTTGGAATTTATCGTAAAGCGTAATCGAGAGGTTTCCGAATTCAGCGTAGAGCGTTGTCAGGACCCCCCCCCCCCTTACAGGCCCTCATTTAGCAGGAGGCAAGTGCTAGTAGTGGTCTACCCTGGCCCCCAGGACATCAGGAATTGAACTTATGCCAAACCCAGGCCGTCCTAACTGCTAGTCTAAAAGCTCTGAACAGTTATATGCCCTTGAATCCCACTGTTACACATATACAAGTAAGTGAGGTACTGAAATGAGATGTCTGCGGGCTATCCTGAATGTCTCATGGAGAGACCACATCAGAAATGAGGAAATCCGAGTCATGCTGGGAATGGAAAATACCATAATCGACGACATTCGTAAAAGAAGGCTGAGGTGGTTTGGTCACGTTCAAAGGAGACCCCCAGACTCTCTGGTATATGGGGCCTACCATCAGGATTTCACAAACCCCAGACCTAGAGGAAGACCCCCTAAAAGATGGCGGGACCAGATAGTACAGGACACGGGGTGGTCCCTCAAGTACGCTGAACGAAAGGCTAAGGACCGTGATGCCTGGCGGGAAAAAATGAAGAGGAGCAAGGGGCCATTTAGGCAGGCAGGAGGTACTGAACTGTTTTGCCATGTACAACCATACAGGGACACCCCCTGGTGGTTTAAAACATACCTGCACTAGAGGCACGATGAGGATGACCAGCCACAGGATGGGGAAGGTCCCTCTGTACACCCAGATCAGAACACTGTTGAACTGGTTCAGGAACAGGATCACCAGACCTGCAAAATACCACAACTTCAGGATAGTGCATTCACATAGCACGTCGGCAGAACGTACTGTATTTTCGCGTTTTTCGTTGGGTTTTTGGTCAACGTTGCATCAGAATTTTGCCTGTTGCAGAGGATATTCTTTCCGACATAACATTTGGAAACTACTGTCGAAATGCTAACCTTATATGAGCGAATACAACCTTATATGAGACATTCTGCCGAAATGCTATGTACAATACACATTCAGTAAGGATCTCGCGGGTGAATACCCGAATTTTGTCCTTATTACAATAGATATATAGATATATAATGTTCTAGTATATAGAACATTAAAAACACTCTTCATCGTGCACATGAAACAACATAGGTGAACACATATTAAGACGATTGCATAGGTGAACATAGGCGACTTCAATCTTAAGACGATTACACAATTAAAATCTATGCAGGTTAAATACGCAGTTATCACAAAGAATTTAGCTAGGTACAATATATATAAAACTATGCACTTCACACCTACCTAATAGTATGTTCTACCAACCTGATAAGATTATCATCAGAAGTACTTGAAACACTTTACAAATAGATCATGTATTGTAATTTTTTTTATGTTGGTAAAATGCTGTAGTATGGCAGAAATTGTCTACTGAAAATGGTTACTTAGTATATAATATATATACTTACCAATAATTGATAATTCAGCAAAGTTGACTGCACACAGGGATGTCATTTTGGCAATCTGTCCGTTTAGCTGTGAGATGGACTTTCCTGCATCCAAGATATCCTGAAAATACCAGAGCAAAGAGATACCAGAACATCAGAGCAAAGCATGAAAAATCCTGTGTGTTTCTACTGCTTTATAAATGTTTTTTTTTATTGTCCAAACAGTACCCGTGCAGTCGCAGCCTTTATACGGCTGAATTGATGCAGGGTATCACAATAATCAATACAAATCACAACAATTACAACAATCAAATAATACACATGATACACATGTTTGTTCCACAATTATTTTTGTGGAACTGTCACAAGGGTCTGTGCGGCTGCCATTCGGCGCCTCAATACGACTTTCCCCAACCGAAGTTAGGTACCCATTCACACCTGGGTGGAGTGAGGAAATCCGTGTAAAGTGCCTTTCCCAAGGGCACAACGTCGGGGCGCATGTTCAGACATGTCCCGGGTACGACTCGGAATCGAACCCGGGTCTCCCGGTTCACAGTCGATTGCTCTAACCACTACACCACCCGACGCCACATTTTGATGATGGCTAGTAAGTAGATGATGGTTTGGTCACATATGAAAATATATTGATAACTTTGCTGACACAAAATAGCATAGAAACTTTTGTTTGGATATCTACGTTTTTACAGATAGCGAACAGCAAAACAAGCAATATTGTGCAGATTTTATATAGAAAATGCAGGGTATAACAAGTCAAGGCAACATCTTATACATGTATACACATTTATTGAACTTACATGCATGGCTAGTTTAAGGTCGGTTGATTTTTCCTGCAGTCGTCTGAAGATGCCCTTCATGTAGTAAATAATCATCTCGCACTGCGTTGTGTAGTTCACTACTACAGCATAGTTCACCGCGTTGGTCACCAAGGCCCCCAACATCTGTAGACAGATCAGCATGATGTGCCAGCCTTTCCTGAAGTCATCAGGCAAAAAAAAAACAACTTATAGTAGCTTCCTAAGTATGGATACTTGTCAATCAAGACCCCATAGATCTCAAATTATTTTGGCCTGATGTGCCAACTTTTCCTGAAGTCAAGGTGCACAAAAAAAGCTGTGTGCAGAACGTGCAAAATGGAGCGAAACATAAAATGAAACAAATTACGATCTATATTTTTTCCAACACAACATCTGAAAAATATAGACAAGATGTCATTCTTAAATAGGCAAATACAAATGATGAAAATACGACCTTAAAGAAGACATTCTACCGAAGTGCTATGCACAATACATTATGGGTTTTACTCAGGCACAGTACATGTACATTCTGAAAAACTTAAACTGTTCTCCAACTCAAAATTTGACTCACCAGAAATTTTCGACTGAATCAAAGTTCATCTGAGTTGGTAAATTACATTATGAAAAACTTAAACTGTTCTCCAACTCAAAATTTGACTCACCAGAAATTTTCGACTGAATCACTCAGTCTTCCTCAGCTATCTGACCCAAATGCTGTGGACCATCAACCATCGCTCAACCGGAAGGGGGGCGATATCGACTTCAGACAACCTTTGACCCTTTGCTGACGTCACACGTGGGAAAAATTACGTGTCCACTGTTGGGTCAGATAGCTGAGGAAGACTGAGTGATTCAGTCGAAAATTTCTGGTGAGTCAAATTTTGAGTTGGAGAACAGTTTAAGTTTTTCATAATGTAATTTACCAACTCAGATGAACTTTCATGCTGACATGTACATTCTGTTGGCGTTCTTTTATTTACCATTGTACAGTAGACCCCAGGAGAAAAGCCATCTTATCCACACCAAAGGCAGCCACAAACACTCCCTGTACAGCCAGGGACAACACGACCCACAAGGCACCTGCTATCAGGTAGATCCTGAAACAACAACAGAACGGGAGGGCAACATTAAACACTGTTACAGTCTTATCTTAAAAGGGAAAATTAGTGTGTGAAAAAAATTAGACAAATTTTCTTTATTGGACTTACCTTGACATTTGGATCATTTTGGCTCTTGACACATTTCTAGACTGGGCTACAGATGCCTTGAGGAAGACCTGGTATCAACACAAAACAAGAAAAACATTACCTTAAATATTGTTTAAACATCCCTCCAAAACATATACAAGAAACATACACTCAAAGAGTTCATAAGAGACTTAAGAAAACTGGCCCACTAGCTTTGTAAATCAATGCGATTTGATTTGATTTGATTTGATTTATTTGAATTGCAGCAAGACCATACTCATGGCACACAAGCAGCTATTGCTGGTGTTGTTGATAGAAATATGAGGAAAACTTTTCACCTTTTCCATCAGTGCATACAGCTGCTCGTTGTCCTGTATACGGAAGTAGAAGAACCCTAGCAGGTAGGCCATGAAGTGCAGGATGTCTGGTACCACGTATGTGGTAAAGACATGTGAGCACTGGGCAGTCTGGGCGTAGGAGTCGATGTCGCTGGTGTTGGTGGCTGCTGCAGGGATGGTTTGTGCTGTGAACATGTCTGTCTCGTTGATGTAACCTGGTGTCCTACTGGATGATGTCTGTGGTACAGCTGTGGCTGGGGTTTCTGTGGGAGCCTGTAAAAAGGTGCACACCGTAAGTCAGCAAATGTCACTATAAATTGACAAATGACAACCTGTGCATTGTACATATAGGACAATATCTCAACAGATGCCAAAACACTAGAAATTCCACTATTGATTGAAAAAGCAGTGTCAATCTCATCTCGTACTACTGCTTCATAGTCTTTGTAAGGTAGATAAGTCTCAAAGTATGTCAGATACAAGTATATAGAAGAAGATGCCATACATTATACCTTGTCTAATAAAGTTAGAATGCAATAAATACATCCTTTGGGATGTTAAGTCTTCAGTGGTGTACAGTAGGGTTCTGTTTAAAGTTAAAAGTTGAAAAGTTTTGAACCTGTATGCTTGGCTAGAATACAAGCTGCCAATGCACTCTGTCTCAGCTATCAAAAAAGCACCCCAGATTATCTAATACATGTATGATATGTACCTTGACATCCGTGTGTATGTTGAGTCTGCCCTGACAGACCAGGATCTGGAAGATGTAGGAGAAGATGAGCAGGAAGAGGATAAAGATGGTGTACAGCACGTTCAGGACCTTCCAGCCAAGGTTGTAGGAGATGGACTCACGACCAAGAGCACGCCAGCCGATCTGAAACAGGCAAGAAATCAGAGACTTCAGACTTCCGGGAAATATTTTGGTAGCCGGGGTACCATCCGGATTTTCACTCCACAACGCTCGAAAATGATTCTTTTCGAAGCCCTGCGGAGCAAAAATCCGGATGGTACCCAGGCTAGTATTTTGAGTTTTTGTGCAAGTATTGGAATTGTATGATGAATGGGAAAACACCCATTGAATTACATCATAGAATGAATTATCACTCATATGACGTTATGATGTAACTCACTCTTGTACCACAGTCTACTTATGTTTCATACCATGATTACACAGTACTCATTCCAGGCAATCTCTTACTACTGGGTAGTACTTCATAATACCACCAAGGGCATACTCCGTCACAACCCTGTTAATCAACATCCAACCTCCTTTCTTGATTCCCTATTTACATTTCTTTGCTGTTTTTCTGCATTTATGATTTGAAGAGAAAAAAAAAAAAGAACAACGTACCAGTGCAAGTAGTCTCCCATACGGCTGTAGAACTTGCTTCTTACACTTCCTGAGGGCGGCCGATGTGCTGTAGTTAAACTCTGCATCGTTAGCATCTGTGATCTGTCAGCAAACAAAAATTACAGCAGGTTAAAATTTGCTTGATGTTTTGTATACATTTATTATTACCTTCCTTGCAGAAAACTTGCAGAAACTTACAGTACAAACACTCAGTGAGATATACCTCAAATTTCTTGTTTATTGTTTGTTAACTTAGTTTTATGTCAGGTACCAACCACTGCCAACACCACCGCGCCACATTCACCTGTACAACTTTTTGATTTTGTAGGCAGTGCACCACACATTTTGACATACATGTATTATTGTCTCATTTTTTTTTTTTTTTTTTGTACAACCATCACCGGTTGTGACAGGGCATTGACCCCCTACAATAAATTGGTCAGGTATAACTTTACACATGTACAGACCTCTACTTTAACTGCACTGCTCATGGATGACGTGTAGTCCCTGATGATGGTGATGTCAGGGTCGTCCACACTCCCACTCAGGTCACTGGCTATCATCATCTCACGGAACGGACGGTCATCCTGGTCAAGAACTGGTATTAGTGGCTACGGTAACGTCAATGTTTCTCTCTTTTTCAACCCTATCTTTAGTTAACATAGCCTGGGTGCAATCCTCTGTAGTTACTGCTGGCTCCCTACTGTTACTGGCTACCATGGAGCCAGCGACAGTAAGGACTTGGTGGTAGCTATAATGGAGTTAGCTAGTAGAGTTGACACATGTCAAGAAAGAAAGGGTTGCTGACATTCTATACTGACATACATGTACTTTCCTCTCTTTCAAACTGTTGTATCTGTCCTTGGTGCTGACTTAGCCTGCACAGCACCAATTCTACATGCACTAACCTGCATTTGGTGGTATATGATGCTACAATCGTCATCCTATCACACCATTTGTTTCCTTTATACATGCACAGTTGATACAGAAATAGATATAAAGCCAGTCAGTCAAGGTTTATTGCACAACAATACAATTTGTATTACAGATAATAAGAAAATACTAGCTGGTATGGGTCTATCAAAATTCTACATACAGGTTCAACGGGTTCTATGTCTGGCAGAATGTTAAAAAGGGGCCCGCAAGCCCTTTTCCGTCGAGCGTAATCGGCCGTTTTAATTCTACGTAGAGCGTAGACGGACTGCTCTAATATTTTTGCGTAGAGCGTATTCGGCGTTTTAATTCTACATAATGCGTTGTAGCCACTTGGAATTTATCGTAAAGCGTAATCGAGAGGTTTCAGAATTCAGCGTAGAGCGTTGTCGGGACCCCCCCCCCTTGCATGCCCTCTTAAAACAGGAACCACAACATTTTTCCTAGGCCTTACCTGAGACTCCGTGCTGAGCTCAGCGCCCATGTTGGTGTACTCCGCTTCCATGTGGGATGGGGAGTTTATACTCGGCTGGTTCTCAGTGGGGGAAGACATCGTCTGAAAAACACAGGAAATTCAGAAAACTTACTGACAGTGATACTCAGAAGGTACGAAGAGAAGTAATATGCTTAGTACTAAGCCTAAGGACCCCTACTCTTGTCATTGACATAATTTAGTGTGCTGGAGTCACAGTTGTGGCATGGGTGGGCCCCTCCTAGTATAACCACGCCTATAATTTAATCCATTGTGCATTTGATTTCCTGTCAAATTTGACGTATATAACAAGGACCCGTGCATTAAAAGCGACAGTCTAACGTCATTTCTTTATTATAGAAACAGGAACCGTATTAAGCATGATAATAATCTCGCGTTTGAACTGTGCAAAATTTCCGCAAAATTTATGAGGGATATCCAAGTAACGTACCCTCAATAGGCCACCCTATATCATCCATAAACGAACCATTTCAACGATTCTAGCGGCATTAAAGGCCCCAGACGTACACATAACACTCATATTTACCTCCGACTGTCAAATTTACCGGCTGTCGCTGCCAAATTGTGAGGAAAAGTTACGTTCAAAACTCGCCAGGCTGGAAAATATCGTCCGGTCCCGCCATGATGGTTTCCCAGCGTGCCTTGCGCAGGTTCTAAGTTCACAAGTTTCGTCATGGTTCAGACCAAACCATGCTCACCTCAGCCAGGTTGTGCAAATAAAATACCCTGGCTGGCGTACAAGTTTCCACCTTTCTTTCACGTATTAAAAACGACAATATCTTTCTCCTTGTACGCACAGAAGCTATATCCTTGTCCTTAATATCCTTATAGAAACAATCATCATCATCTGAAACGTCCAGACTGTTTCAATGGAAAAGCATTGCATATTCCAATGCACACAGAATCAACCCAACAGTAACTACATTAGAAGTACCATTAGTAGTAGTATTTATGGTCAGTTTTACTGTTAACCTTTATTTTTATCATGTCCCGGATCCTTGCAATTAGCCCTCGGGCATGAATTTGCATAATTTCTGGGATACTAGTAATATTTAAACCCAGACTGTTCAAATTTTCGCTTACCATTTCCATCCCCACTTGGCATTCCCTCTCGGTCGCCTCTTATGTCCTTGACAGCATGCTCTTGCTTGCGACAGCATTTTGAACTGATCGCCTGTGCTGACGTAGAAGTGAACTTTGCTCGGACTGAGCAAACAGGTAGTATATGGCGCCTCACTATTCAAGAGCGACCTCTTGCGACTTGTTTTATCATTACAGTATCACCTGTCATGACTAATAAAACAGGAATTTTGTTCGGTAGACGTTACACCAAGACAGGAAGACGTCGCAATGTGTTTGTTGAGTCGCCAGAACTTCCCATGCTAAAAAAACTTTACTCGCCAATTCTGCCTTCTACTCTTCTACCTTGTACATGGTGACTGAACAGCTAAAACCTTGAAAACCCTGTCAGGACCACTGTTTTCTGTCGGGAACCTGTCGTATACGACGTATAATGAAGAAAACATGTAACTTAATTGCACAACAATTGTACAGGGTACAAAGTATGGCATCTACTAACATACAGGACTAACTTGTACATAATTAACTACAATTTCATAAGGCTAACTTAACTAATACAAGAGTGGGTGGATAGTATTGTAAAAGCAATTAGCCTTCGGGCATGATTTTGCAAATAAAGTCTCAGTATGGGACACTGAGTTTTGACAATCATAAGAGGAATTTCTAAAATCTATATACAGTGTATAAAGCTCGAAGAAATTCTACCTTTGACCCACTGCGTGCGGTCAATACTTTCTCACGCGCCTCATATATAATTCTGTCCCGTCCACAAGGACCCTGAACAACCCTCAAACCTACAGCTGGGCCACTCAAGCACCTCTACCGCCCAACCGATGACCTAATCCCGATCCACCACAAAAACACCCCAGCGAGGAAAGTACAAGTGTGAAAGGCCGTCGTTCAGTGACGGTTGACAGACGATGGCTTAACGCTAGCGAAGTGTGGTGCCCTAGAATAGCCTCTACCAGGCTTCGGGGAGAGGCTGGAAAGAGTAGAAATTGGACAGATAGACGGATGTGCCAGGGAAGTAAGTCCGCGCTAAGAGAACAGTTTGCCGCCCGAAAAACTTTTTCTTTCTCTTAGCGCATGACCAACTCTTCTGGCATATCATCTATCTACTAGTATTTCGCCAATTTCTACTCTTTGCAGCCGCTTCCCGAAGCCTGGTAGAGGCTACTCTAGTGGCCGTGTGTGCTACATGGCGCTTTTGTTAGCGTGACAGAGGGAACATTGTGTCGGAAACACAGCGTTACACAGCTCAGCACTTCGGAAAAAATCATTATTCTGGCTTCGTACCAAAATCATTATTCTGGCTTCGTACCAAAAGCTTCGTACAATGACCAGTATGAGTATGGTGTATTGTGATTTTTGACACAGAGATTGACATATCGCTACCACTTCTCGTGCACGTACCTGATACAGTTTATTTACATACTCCCTGGCCATATGTACATACTTCAATGGTAAACACTGTCTAGAACTTTTGTTATAATGTACATTTCGACAAAAAAATGTTCATTGATAACGTGGTCACATATTATAATTTTATAATTATAAGGATAGTTACAGAATTACGTATTGAGGAAAAAGGACGAAGTTTTGTAATCGTTTCTAGGAATTGGTGACTATTTCTGTCTAGTCATGGCCCTTGTCATTGGTTTTAACTACTACTTTACCGATTGCGATCGTTGTGTTAAAATCATACAACGTAGTGTTGTAACAGGTGTCTTATACAACTACAGTGATGGTTGTGTGTTTTTAATTTCCTGTTAGCTTGAACGAGCGATATACTAGTATGTTGAACAAGTTTCCGTTTTTGCACAGGCTCACTGGGTCGCAAATTGTACCCTCTCTGGCCGGCTAACTCCCCTGCTATACTTTTATTTTGGCCAATTTCTAGTATTTTTCCAGCGATCCGCGGTGCCTGGTAGAGGCTACGTTTTGCCAACGCATCAAATTTATGAATCAGTCCCTTAGTCAGAGAGGTCTGGTCATAAAATGTAGGAAACGGGTAGAGAAAAACCAACATCGTAATGTGACAATACGTGTGGTCTTTCAGTGAAAGGCTGGGTATTAAAACAATGTCATCGATATACTCTTCTTTGTCATAAAGGTGAATAGCCGTGTAATAATATACAAAATGCATAAATATGAGTATGGTGATTTTGTTCCCTGGTATGTCGCAACACAAAAACCCATTCACTTAAACAATAGGATACAAAATGCGTAGAAAAGAAAACAACTTTGCTTAGTTGTCAGCAAGCTAAATATATACATGTACGTACTGTGTCATGTATGTACATGTATGTCTACCTTCATATTTGCCACAAATCCCCATATTTGGTTTTTATTTGCTTAGTCGTGGGTGTTTCTTTTCATGCGTGTAAGTACATGTTCAGAATTTTGTTCCTGTGACTAGACTAGCAATGTTTAGAAAAATAGCCTTTTCGTATATTGTTTTAGGTAATAACAACAAATTTCTTTGTTGGACACTATTTTGTACATCTTGTAAAATTCGTCATTTAGATGTTTACTAAATTGTCAAAAAGTTTAAGGCAACAAGTCAGTACTGCTGATAATACAAAACTCTTAACTTTCTTTCTAACTAAACTCTAAAGATATTCTACAGTATAAAGTGATGGAAGGAGACAGCCACAATCCCTTTGTTCTGTCCGCTTGTCTGTGCCAATGTTTTTCTTCAGAAACGTACACGGCTAGAAGGAACATACTTGAGTTCATACGATACTGCTGTAGATTGTGACAGTGTACACAGTTAGCATGTGCGCACTGTGAGTGAGTCACGCATTGCGGTTTACATAGGTACCGTTGATAAGGAGTATTCCGATCCCTGAAGTATACATCAATCTGGACCACACACAAAAACATAGCCCGAGTTCCACACGACACTAGATATCTCTTCACAAGATAAAAGGAACGACTTTCTTCGCCCTACTCTAATACAAGTAGCACTGTAGAACAAAAAGTCGGGGTCACAGAAAAAATGCCAGTGCTCCGGGTCTGTTAGTAGCGAGATTCAAACTGACAATTGGTGGGCAAATTCCGGAGCAGAGTCTTTCCAAAAGGCAGGGGTTTAGTTTGTCGTGCGGTGGCATGGCGTGTCTTCTCGGCAACGGTTGTCACTGACTCATATCGGCGAGAGCTGGAGATATGATTTCATGTTTCCCCATTCCTGCCGTTTGTTTTGTTCCAGGCGAGTCCACGACTTAACGCGGGTAAACTTTCTAGCGGGGGTAGAACAATCGCACCGAGCAGGTGTAAGTTACCCCGTATCCGGCCAAACTTTGCCGCTGAAGCAAAACGTGGAGCGCTGGCCGTGTTTGCATCATACATGCGGGGGGAGTGAGGAGAGGTCGGCGAGTAGGGGGACGTGTCAAAACTTGGTGTACGATTCCTTCGGGAGGACTCGTCTACGAACTTTCCCGAGAACCCACGACGTCGTGTCACCAACAGTCGGTCCCCTGATCGGTCATTTCCGTCCAGACTTCGCGTAATTGTATAATTGTTGTCTGGTATGTTTTAAAGAGAGGTGTAACGAACTCGCGTCCTTCCATTGTGGGCAGCCGAGTTTTTGACACTGCGCGAAAAAAGAGCGCTTTGTCTGCGCACATGAGGTCACAGGTAATTGGAACAAAACAGTGAAACCCAAGACGACAACCCCGGCACTTTCTTGAAGCACTATACCTGGGCATTTCAATATGAAAAGTGGCCGGCGCACACTTCCTGTAGTAGCGGCATAGTCGGAGTATGAGGGAGAGCACTTTGTCTGTGCCGCGTGTCTGACTAACTGTGGACGTCCTCCGCACTTTTCCTGGGATGGAGCGCAACAAGTGGACGTTTTTCAGCCGGCTCAAGTCCTTCCCTGCCGCTCATTTCTTCACGTTCCTGTTCCTGACTATTCTGGACCGTACGGAGGGATATTTCTACGGTCGTGTGCTGCCTGAGATCTATTGGAACCAGAACAACCCTATGTGAGTTGTTTATCTTTTGTTATGGACTGAGGGGAGTGCTGTTGTGTGAAGCCATGCTAGCTATGTTTGTGTTGGGAGTGATACGCCCTGTATTTTTCAGCTTGTGCAACTGAACGTGAAGACATTTCACACAGAAAAAATTGTGCGATCCGAGCAAGTTCTGTATAATATTATTGATTTCTAAGCAGCACAGGTATTTTACGACTCTAGAACGGCAAGACGGCCGCCGGCGTCATCAAAATTTCATGATCGTAATCACTCTTCCGACACCGTGTCGACTTTTTGTGGCTTGTTCCGCTTTCTGTATTCCCGACATGGTATTCTTACCACGTCTCGCTGCCGGCCGTGCGAAAACAAGCATTGATTGCATCAAATATACATCGGGTGGCCGAATCTACCGGCGAGGTTTTCGCCCCGAGGCTGTCTGTACCCCGACACACGACAGTTTGTTTTCCCTCGGATATTTGTCCGGCGGGGGTATGTCCTGACTCGAGCACCGGACTCCGCCTTAAAACGGTGATAAACCTTTCAAACTAGATATCTGATGGTGCCCAGGCCAAGTTTTCCTACAAATAATAAGTGGACATCATGTCCCCATACTGTAGAAAATGTAGGAAAACATAGTCTCCGCCTGTCTACAAACGCGGGTTCTAAAACAGCAAAATTTACACAATTTAGCCAAATAGGAACAATAATTTGCCAGGGGAGTTAAGCCTCCGTTGAGTTCATTTTCCCTCAAAATTATCCCTCCAAATCATCAATTATTCTCCTCTTTTTGCTGAATTCTACCAAGGAGGTTGAAGAGAGAAGGCCTTGTGGAGGCTAGGTAGGAAAAACTCTGAAGACCTAGAATAGGACCCAGTGTTCACCGCCAATCCATATTTTCTCACGTCGTTGTCTGAAACCACAGCCCTGCTTTCTCATGCACTCCGGTTTCTTCTCACCTACTGTGACTCAACACTAGGAAATCGACTTTCTCATATGTAGAGGAGCGAGCTTATTTGGAGAGAGAAGCCACGATTCTCTCCCATTGTTTATTGCTTCATTGTGAACCTTTGTCTGAACCCCCGTTCCCACATTTTTGCATGTAGACGGAAAGGTAAAGGCATGTACTGGAGTTAGAACAGGCTTTGTCCGCGGGGATAGGTGTCACTGTCACTGGAAGTTTTCTTAGCTTGGGTTACAAGTAGTTCTTTCCTTTGTACTATATCAGGTAGTTCCTCCACTTTAAAGACTATATTTTATGTGGTTAGTCACCTGTGTTATCTTATATCAAGGAGGTTTTGAAAATGCTTGTATCAACATTGTAGGACATAACATTGTGAATTTGAGCTTATGTCTGAGTTTAGACTACTAGTATCCATTTTCTCAATTTCTTGTATAGACTACATGAAACGTTATAACTACTCCTTGTCGCAAATGGGAATTGGTCTGGCACTCTGAATTGTCTCAAAAACAGGAAAATAGAGTTTCTGGTGGTCCATAACAAAAGCACAGTGTATCTATTGTCTAATTTTAGCCATTACACCTATAATAGAGACACCTGGTTGGAAAGCGATGCCATTGTGGCAGAGCGACCTTCGCGCCAGGTATCCCTATCTGTGACGTCCTTGTCAGACGACGTGATTTTACGCGGGAAACCTTCACGCCAAATTGACGAGACGTCGTTAGGCCCATCTCCAGGGTCTGTCACGCCCGCACCACACTTAACATTTTCCAGATTACATATAGCGGAAACAAGCTCCTAGGGACGAACTTCGAACTAAGACAGTCATTTGGGCACTGTTTGCGCATACTTGTGTGATAGGTGAGTGCGGGTATGGGACACCTGGTATGAGTAAGGCGATACGGGAACCTTTTGCTTCATTACTCACAAGAAAAACAGTCAGCACATGCGAGTTTGAAGCGGTTTTCGTGTCCCTCCACTTCAAGATACAAGGGATAGTTACTGTTCTTTGTTGCCAGGTCCAGTAAACGTGTTGTTTCTATAAACTCCAGGCGCAATGCCGCCTCTGTTGTGTAGCAAAACGATCGTGTAGGGTTCGGTTCGTTTTCACAATCAGTCAGCACTAAGCTGGCTTTCTCCGCCCAAAATTACCGTGCTAAGCAAAGAAACGTCCTGGTTTAAAGTCTTAAATCCAAGGTTCATACCGTCTTAGCTTCCATCATTCCTTGTCGCCTCTCCGTGGCCAGGAATTGTTCAGGTGTTTTCACTTGCATTTTCCCATGGAGGCCGGCACCTGCTCAGCAGTGTTAATCTGCTGAAATCCTGTGCCAGGCCGATATTTGCACAGCCGTGTGTAGGCAGACGTGTTCGTGTGCTGTAGACTACACAACTTTTAGTCACCTTTTAGCTTCTTAGCGTATCTTTAGAGTCTTATTTTGGGGCTTAAAGTTGAGGGAATAGTAGTATGAATTGTCTTTCTAAGGGGCTTAAAAATCAAGCCCATCGCTCTTCCTATATAGCTAACTGTTTAGATATACGTACATGTTCGTATGCAAGGAAAATTCTAGTCTCCAAGCAGAGGTTTGGGCTTATTTTGACGTGTTTTAGGCATTTTTATCGGACTTTCTTTTATAAGTGGCTGAAAAAATATTTCCCAGTACATAGACAAGACCGATAAAAAACGCATATAAACACGTTAATATAAGTCCAAGCCTAAACCTCTGCTTGGAGAGTAGGAAAATTCTTGTTAGTCTAATTTGATACGGTCTTCAATTCACCAGACTGCCCTTTGGGGCCGAATAAATGAGATAGAAATCGTCCATACATATACCACAATGGTAGATAATTTGAGAGAAAAGTAAGCTGGTCAAAAGAGTCGGAAGCTGGTTCTTATTTTGGCCAATTATCCAGTTATTCGCCTCCGAGGGGTGGCTGATGTAAACTTGATTTGGAAGGAAGCCAATTATTAAAACTGTCTGCTGCCAGCTCCCCTGGGGCTTCTTGTGTCTTACCTTTTTCATCGCTCTGTATTTCTTTCTTTCTATCGTTCTTTTTCCTAACATTCTGTCTCGCTTCTTTCCTTCTCTCGTTCTTGTCTAGCCTCTACCAAGCACCGTGGGTCGCTGGAAAAATAGTAGAAATTGGCCAAATTAAAGGGAATAGTATACCAGGGGAGTTGGCCGAAAAGAGAGGGTATACGTACATTTTGCGATCCGTGGTATAGTACTCCCTTTATTTTGGCCAATTTCTACTATTTCTCCAGCGATCCGCGGTGCCTGGTAGAGGCTAGTTCTTGTCTATGCGTGGTTGTGTGTGTAGAGAAATTTATGGTCTTTCACAGCTAAACTTGCGTGTTAAACGTGTGGCAAAGGTGCAACTTCGTAACGCTCCTGACAGCCGCCTTGCGCACTTCATGTTCCGAGGTACACGGATGGCTGGAGATACATACGTGTTTTTTCCTATGGAATACCGCGTTCTATAATGCCATGACCGTAGATTGGTAAGTGGGGAGGGGGGCAGCCATTGGACACAAACACTTGGGAAAATTTCTCATCTAACCTACCTTACAAAAACACTAACCTTAAACACTTCATTTTCAATATTATCAATTATTGATCAGTATTATTGACTAAAACTGAATTAGATGTCATATAGACTGTAGCCCTTTCTTGCGACTTTATGAAGAAAAACATGCCCGTTTTCACGCTCATCCATGCGAACTAAGCCATATCTGAGATCTTTAAGGCGTAAAAATCACCATGACATCTCTATGCCTTCGTTATAAACAGAGTATCGCTTTACAGTAGAGTGAATTCGAGCACAAAGACGTACATGTATGGAGAGGGAGGGGGTATGCTCTTTTCTGTTGAATTTCAGAGAAGCTTGAAGATATAAGGCAAATACCTACATCAGCGTTTATCAATGATTAACATTATTCATTGTCGTATATACGTCTTGCGACCGTCGTAAGATCGCAAACTGAGCATTCTTTGGACAATCGTGAATGTGTCCTGAATTCGTCTAGCTGTTTTCTTACGGGAAAGACTAGTGTTTAATATCAATTTTCGGCGTTTGGTTTTGTCACAGTCTGCTTGAAAATTCTAAGACATCAAAATTGTACGACGACCTACGACTAATTTGACCACGACGAAACTCAGTACTCTGTAGGCGTAAGATGCCCACACAAACAGCGTGCGAAGGTGAAAGTAGAAATAACTAGCTGCTATGCCAGACTCATTTTACGGAAAAAACATCTTAATACAAATTCTAATTTCCTGTCTGGATCTTAAGTCTTTGTCTGTATTACCAGATGACAACGTTCCTTTTGGATTTAGCGATGAAACACACCGAGGAGAATTGGAACCGTTTCGAGCTTACAGCGCTCTGCGCTGCAGTGATGAAAGGATTTGTAGTTTGATACCGAATCGGCGGAACGCAATCCTTCCACTTCAGAACCCCTCAACAGCCGATAAACTCAGCCGACCGTCCCGGCAGTGGGTACACAAACAGGCCCGGCAAACCGCCGAGTGGAACGGACGAGAGATGTTAGAAAAACAAGGGACGTCTGCAGTTGTACTGTAGAACAAAGACAGTTAGACAGGTCTGCAATATTGGCTTCTAATGCGAACACAGGTGTCGCTGTCTCTTGTTACTTTCTTTGTGTGCTTGTCTCTCTAGCTGTCTCTACCCTTTATTCATCTCTTTCTTTCTTTCTTTCTGCGATTTCTTTCTTTCTGCGATTTTTTTCTTACTTTTTACTTGTGCTTGTACATCCATGTACGCACTTGTACATCCATGTACGCACTAAGAACATATGAATGAACAAAGGGCATAAAGAACATCTTTAAATGTAGTTTAACAAGAAATCCGCTTGTCTGCCAACAGAATGTTCTTCACCTAACAGAACATGACGTTTTACTATAAATTCCCACAGAATTCCTGATTAGAATTAGGGAGGAGCCCCTAAAATCAGACATCATGGCTAACATTAGGGCTACACTTCGAAGTTCAGTCGTTTAGATTTATACTTCCTATATAATAGTACGTAGGTTTC